TTTCAAATTGTAAGGGGTTAACCTTGCTTTTTGTAGTAAAATTGGGCAAATTTAAATGTTTATGAAAAATCTCAAATTTTAAGGGTTGAACCTTGCATTTTTTTGCAAAATAGGGCAAAATCAGGTGTTTATGCAAAATGTTAGATTGTAAGGGGTTAACCTTGCATTTTTAGCAAAATTGGGAAAAATCAGATTTGTATGAAAAATCAAAAATTGTAAGAGGTTAACCTTTGCCCAATTAGGGCAAAATCAGATGTTTCTGGAAAATTGCAGATTGAAAGGGGTTAACCTTGCATATTTAGCAAAACTTACAATTTGAGATTTGTCATAAAAATCTGATATTGCCCAATTTTGCTAAAAATGCAAAGTTAACCCCTTACAATTTGAAATTTTCCATAAACACCTGATTTTGCCCTATTTTGCTAAAAATGCAAGGTTAACTACTGACAATTTGAAACGTTTCATAAACATTTAAATGTTCCCAATTTTACTAAAAAAGCAAGGTTAACACCTTACAATTTGAAATTTTTCATACACATCTTATTTTGCCAAATTTTACTACAAAAGCCCCTTACAATCTGAAATTTTCCAGAAAGATCTGATTTTGCCCAATTTTGCTAATATATGCAAGGTTCCTCCTTACAATTTGAGATTTTTCATAAAAATCTCATTTTGCCCAATTTTGCTTAAAATGCAACGTTAACCCCATTCAATCTGCAATTTTCCAGAAACATCTGATTTTGCCCTAATTTGGCAAAGGTTAACCCCTTACAATTTTGATTTTTCATACAAATCTGATTTTTCCCAATTTTGCTAAAAATGCCAGGTGAACCCTTTTCAATCTGAAATTTTCATGAACACCTGGTTTGCCGTATTTTGCTAAAAAATGCAAGGTTAACCCTTAACAATTTGCAATTTTTCATGTACATTAAAATTTGCCCAATTTTACTAAAAAAGCAAGGTTAACCCCCTTACATCTGAAATTTTTCAGAAACATCTGATTTTGCCCAATTTTGCTAAAAATGCAAGGTTCACCCCTTACAATTTGAGATTTTTCATAAAAATCTGATATTGCCCAGTTTTGCTAAATATGCAAGGTTAACCCCTTTCAATCTGACATTTTTCATAAAAACCTGATTTTGCCTTATTTTGGTAAAAAAATGCAAGGTTCACCCCTTACAATTTGAGATTTTTCATAAACATTTAAATTTGCCCAATTTTACCAAAAAAAAGCAAGGTTAACCCCTTACAATTTGAAATTTTTCATTCACATCTTATTTTGCCAAATATCACTAAAAAAAGCAAGGTTAACCCCTTACAATCTGAAATTTTCCAGAAAGATCTGATTTTGCCCAATTTCGCAAAAAATACAAGGTTCACCCCTTACTATTTGAAATGTTTCATAAACATCTAAATTTTACTAAAAAAGCAAGGTTAACCCCTTACAAGCTGCAATTTTCCAGAAACATCTGATTTTTCCCAATTTTGCTAAAATGTAAAGCTAACTCCTTGTAAACTGTTAAATCAATGCATGGAGTGTCCCATTTGACTTTTTTAAAACAAATTATTTTCCCAGTTTTTAGGGTAAAGGAATTTTCTCTTTCTCCTTTCTCTTTTGTTTTTGCGAATTAACTCATTCGTATGGAATGCTCATAGTCAATCAAAGAATATTTCACACATAGGGGCCTAAATTATATATTTTTAAATTTAATAGAGACGCATTGATCGTGCTATCATATACCATTCTAATACCATTGCGAATTACTGTATTGTTTGGAATGCTCACAATTAAAGACACGTTATTTGAAAGATGTATGAATAATATTTATATTACAATGTACATCTTTATTCTTTCCTGGTATAATTTATGGCGTTTCTTACGTCAATTGGCAATCGCGTCATTAGGCCTATATAATTCTAGTCAAATTGATCAAACGAAACTCCGTTTTGATTATAGTCAATTATGAAATATTCATTGATTTATGACATACACCTTTGTTTCAATTTTGATACTACCCGTAGACCTGCGGAGCAGCTGTAGATATCAAACTAAACCAAAGTATAAAAGATAGAGGGTAAAAAAAAATCAAAAAGTTATGTGCTAGTCAAGCTTTCAGGGATCGGTCTGAGCCATAACAATGCCCCAGCCGATCCCTTAGTTCTCTTCCGGGGTCTCGGCCTCCCCGACCAATACACACTTCCTTCCCTATCCATCCATATAACCCCGGAGGGCCAGGCACCATGTAAAAGCAAAGAGCTAAGGGAGGAACAGGGCGGCCCCTAAGCCCTGATCCTCCGAATGGACCACATGCCCTGAACCTGTACGAAGGCGCCAACCTGGAACTCGCGGACAGTACCAGCAGCAGTGCTTACCGATTAAGCTAAGGTACTGTTGGTACTTTACGACGGGAAATTAAATCTCTTATAGTGAATAATTGAACTCATACGTTAAAAACCAAAAAGACACCAGCGGGATTCGAACCCGGGACCCCGCTAACCGCGGACGACGAATCGTAACCACTCGGCCATTTCGTTACCTTAGAATTTTCCTTAAACTGAGAAAAGTTGTCTTTATAGGTGAGCAAACGCGCCAGGAAGATTACTTGGTCCATTTGCTTTACCTTAATGGGTAAAACAAGTCGATATAATGAGCCCAGTGTGTTTGGTTTGTTAGGAAGCTGCATAACACAGCCTAATGTGCAAAACAGTCGTGTGCTAGGCGGATCATTACGCAACAATGAACACCGCAATTGTGTATTTTCAAAAGGCAGACGCGTAGATTTCTACTCTTTGTATCTGGGCACATATTTCTTAAAAAGAAAAATAGAGACTGTCAGCGAATCTCCGAGAGTTGAAAAAAAGGATCGTCCCCTCGATAGACCTCAGACTCAGTAAAGTTCAACATTGGGCTCTTTTTCAACAGCTGTTTTTGCGGAAACTTTACATCTGGATTTTTTAGAAGCATCTGATTTTGCCCAATTTTATTAAAATATGCTCCAAATTTTGCTAAAAAAGCAAGGTTAACCCCTTACCATTTTAGATTTTTCATACAAATCTGATTTTGCCAAATTTTACTAAATATACAAGGTACACCTCTTACAATTTAAAATTTTTGATAATTTCTTTTTGCCCAATTTTGCTAGAAATACAGGGTTAAGCCCTAACAATCTGCAATTTTCCAGGATCATCTGATTGTGTCCTATTTTGCAAAAAAAATGCAAGGTTAACCCCTTACAATTTGAATTTTCCAGAAACATCAGATTTTTTCCCATTTTCGCTTTAAAAAAATGCGAGGTTAACCCCTTTCAATTTAAATTTTTTCGTAACATCTAACTTTGCAAAATTTCACTAAAAAAGCAAGGTTTTAATAATCCCTTACATCTGAAATTTTTCGGAAACATCTGATATTGCCCAATTTCGCTAAAATATGCAATGTTCCCCCCTTACAATTTGAAATGTTTCATTAACATCTAACCCCAAACAATCTGCAATTTTCCAGAAACATCTGATTTTCCCCGATTTTGCTAAAAAAAAATGCAAGGTTAACCCCTTACAATTTGATTTTTTTTTCATAAGCATCTAATTTTGCCCAATTTTACATCAGCTTATGCTAACAAATTATCAGGTAACTGGATCATTAAACGGGACAGGTGCACATCGGCCTTGGAGCTCAGACCATGTGTCATGCACTCCTCAATGTATAGATGATGCACATAACACTATGGGTAGTACAGGCACAGCTGGGGGTACTGCCCAAACAATGATGAACGCATTGCGTATGCTTATAGAATTACCCACAATTCCGTTTTTACCGTTTAGGTCTGGCTCTAATCACTTTACGCGATCCCCTGACGTCTCATACACTGACTTTAGGCAAAAAAGTCAGACTTTCGCGGTCTAGTAACCAGACTTTGACTCTTAAAGAAACATCGAATGAAAAGTGAAATATAAAATGCATATTGCAAAAGATCGAATGCAAAATACCGATGAAACATCGAATACAAATAGCTCGAAATGTCAAACATATGTGTGAAACATTGCTCACATATTTGAGAATATCGCAAATATATTGTAAAACAACACACACAATTGTATCGAAAAACATCGCACATTTAATGCAAAAAATCGAACATAATATTGAAAACATCGCACATATATATCGTCAAAAACATCGCACATATAAATTGAAAATCGCATATAAATGTAAAACATCGCACACATATATTGAACATCGCACATATATTGTAAAACATCGCACAAATATATTAAAACATCGCACACTTATATTGAACATCGCACATAAATGTAAAAGATAAGAAACACATATTGAACATCCAACATACTATATTGCAAAATATTGAATATTGCAACGTTTGACACGCCATAAAAGAGTGTTTTCTTATTTTTGTTTTCAATTAAAGCCGGCTTCGGCCTGGCAGATCGTGATCCGCGTTGACAGATGGTGACTGGTATTTGTGTAGCGCGCCCTCTTGGCAAAATGAACTAGCGCTAGTGCCAATTATTACACACTGTAGTTTTTAATTATTTTCGTCAACGGTTCCCGTCGTTTTTCGAGAGTGTTGTGGGATATAACACGACTTATTATTGGACGAAATTTCAATTCTATGCAGCTTGTTTTTCTTGAGTTATCGTCTCCACAAAGAGTGTTATGTTTTTGTTCATCTAAAAATTGTGTTAGCATTGATTTCTTTTCGCGATTAATATATTGTATTTACATTAAACTCATATTAATTCTATTCTTAATCAGTTCCCGTCAATTTTTAAACCTGTCGTGTCATAAATCACGATAAGTCTTTAGATGAAATTTCGATTCAAAGCAATATGTTTTTCTTGATTTATCGTCTCCACAAAGAGTGCTGTATTTTTGTTCAGTTGAAGCCGACTTCAGTTTGGCAGATCGTGATCCGGCCGCGTTGACAGATTCTGAATTAGAGACTTTACGGTGGTATATGCAAGCGCCCTCTATTGGCATAAATTATCGCCGCTGAAAATGACAACATTCCGGCTGGCTGACGATCGTTGTAGCGCGAAATTGTGAAAACGGTTGGTATTTGGAGACACATTTCCCATCGAAGTACGCCAAAGGTTTGGATCTGCTCTGCATTTTTACAGCCTGGTATTTATGCCGCTAAAAATTAGTAGATTAAGTAGATATACGCCTTTTTGTTAGATATTTTTCACCAGATATGTGAAAATCTCGTAGAACCCATTTCGTGATAAATTAAATGCAGGTAAATTCAAAAGTGCACAGTTTATATTTTGCCGGCACCGGTTTACTTTTAGTAAACGAGATCGTCTTTGATTCCTCAGCAAATTATCATTTTAATACTAAAAGAAAGCCGGCACAGCCAATTCTCAAATCCAAACATCCGGACGTGCCGGAAGTAGTGAGCTGCTAATCCACTGCCTGGGAGGCTGGGTGAAAAACAGCAGCACGCCGTAGCGCTTTCGAGTTGTCCAAGGTACGAGTTGCCCAAGGTATGAGATGACCTGTTACCGCCGTAGCAACCAGAAAAACTTCAGCATGCACACACAAACAAGAAGTCAAAAGGGCAGCGAGTTTTGTTTTCACCCATCGTAGGTCGTCACTGAGGTCAGTAAAGTACCATCCGTGACGTGACGCAAGATCCGAGAGTAATAATGATGTAATGATGAGCCAATCAGAGAAGGCCTCCATGAATTAACATTTATTAAACTTTAAGAAAACCGACACCGGCACAATATCCACTGGCACTGCCCAGTGCCTATTAAAGCCTGATCATTTGTTTGAACTGTAATGTTTCTTTTTTTTAAAGGGAATATACATCATTTGCTTTTGCTGTAATTTTCAGAAATGGATGGAATTGGGGGGTTGGAAATATATAGCAAATATAGTTACACTGACTTTTTTGAGGTTTTGGGTTCGAAAATGCTATAAAAACCAAGAAAAACGATCATTTTCCTGTAGTCTGGTTCCCTGACTCCATATAAGAAGAAACAGAGCAGTTTACATACATTGGGGAATTGTAAGGTCAGGGAACCAGTCTAGGTGGCTCGTACCCGTTCATAGGTTTGTAATCGATTGCAAACAAGTGCGATGGTCAATTGGGGCCAGTATTTGAAAAAAAGCCAGTTGTTTCCAACGCTGATCGGCCGATCAGCGTTGGAAATTGATACAAAAATACCACTTTTCTTTAAAATGACAGTATACCAGGTGCCATGATTTTACAGGATGCTTTACACTGTCATTCACTAACAGTCCAGCAAGGTAATTCAAAATGATTTGATAGTTTTATTTGTTGATGTTTGCAAATGTTGTATTTTCCCTTTAAAGCAAGACCAAGAATTTTCATGGCAAATTCATCATAGCAGTCCTAGCAGCATGCAGTAGACAGAGCCATTATGTCCACTTCGTAAGTTGTGTTTGTTGCCAAATGAAAGTTTCTATACTTGAACTTCCATTCACTTTCAGGTCTGTATTTTGTTTAGGCCAAGAAATAAAATAGTTCTGCTTCTGGTTTCCCTACCTACCCTATTCTGTCAGCCCCTACCCTAATTTTTTTTTTATGGGAAAACTGAGAAAAAAGCCCACCCAAACCATCAATTTCTTCCTTTTAACCTTGATTACCCACAAGCACCTCCATGTGATCGTACACAAAAAAGTGGCAAAGAAAAATAATTCCCTACCTACCTACCCTATTTTTGAATGCCATGTAATCGGAAGCAGAACTTTTTTGGGGGGGGGGGGCCTTATTTTTAATTTTTTAATTTTTTTTTTTTTTTATGAACGAGATTCATTCAAATCACCCCGCTAGAAGTAAGAAGCTGAGTCCAGTTTGTTTGTTTGTTTGTTTGTTGGGTTGCTTTGTGTAACCCTCAGCTAAAGTAAATTCACTTGACAGAATAATAATAATAATACTAATAGTTTGGTTTGCTTGTCAATAGAACATTACAGCAGCGCATCATGAAGCGCAGGAAGGACCTGCGCGAGTCTATGACTCCCACCATGGACCTAGAGATGACACAGTCTACTAGTAGGAACGGGGTGAGCCAATCAAATCATCCAAATTGAATCACATGAATTTGTCGTCCAATCAGATTGCCCTCCAGCCAAACAATTTTTTCCCACATTTCTTGTGGCATGCCTCCTTCAAAAGTTTAGAGGGGTGTACAATATTTTTCACTTTGATAATAAATGAAACAAAAGTAACAATGCATATGAAACTAAGAACGCACGTGTGATTTTTTTAGTCAAATAAAAGCTGTTAAAATAGTCATAAGTGTCGTTTCTAATCTGTTACGATTTTAAGCACAAAACACCTGTTGTTCCGGTACGAGAAGAGTTTAATTGAAAAATGTTCCCTGAAATTTCCATTTTATTTAGACTGTTGCAATGGAACATGACGGAGTTGAAGAAATGGAGACAATCGTGGATGTAAGTGAAGATGGAAATTCACAAAGCTGTCTTTAAATCTTGGGGATTTTTACATTTTGTTATTTTAACATATTTTAATAATAATAATAATAATGTGGGAGGCTAATCATCCTTACTCGCAGCTGGTATGCTGAATTGCGAAGGATGCGGCTACAACGTGGTCGGGCCGCTGGCACGTAAAGGCGCCTATGGCTGCCGGCCACATCGACCCATATATGACCACGGAGCACAGCCTGAGATCGAAAGTGTTTGATTTTTCTGGAGGGAGAAAAACCCTCGTGGCACAGGAGAGAACCAACGCACAACTCTACTCATTAAGCATTGTTGAAGAAACAAATCTTAAATTATATGTATTTTGCAGGAAATCCCCCTTAGGAAACTGATGTGCCTGATTTGTATTTGTTGAACACAGAAAAATGACTCAAAAGGGATTCAAACCCATCACCGTTTGAATACGTCACTAGTGCTCTACCAACTGAGTTATCCAGATCTGATCTGGCAGCTTCCCAAAATTGTTTATTTTTGTTTTCGTTTTGCTGGTCAGGGATCTTTTATATTACAAACACGCGCACTGGTGTGTTCCAACAATTATAATTTTAGGTGAAATTTTGAGTGAATATTTTTCCTGCTTTTAAAGTTTCATCACTTTGTTTATTTGTTTACATTTTTCTTTCAGCCAATGGAGGAGATCCGGGAAGCCGAAAACCTGGTGGAGAAGCTGACCTCAAATCGCGAAAAGAAACTGAAAGAGGTGAGATGATCGTCACCAGTTGCAAAGCAAAGAGAGGGGGGGGGGGGGGAGTTACCTTCCCACCCCCTGACAAATAATAAAGAAGGAAAAGAAAATGAAATGAAAAAAACCCTGGAGAGGCCAGACACACCAAGCATACCCAGCTAAACCCAACCCAACCCAATCCAACCCAGCCAAACCCAACCCAATCTATCAAGACCCAACCCACCCCAGCCCAATCCAACCCAACCAAACCCAACCATACCATACTCAACCCAACCATTTTCCCAGCTAAACCCAACCCAACCCAACCCAACCCAATCCAACCCAATCCAACCCAATCCAACCCAATCCAACCCAGCCAAACTCAACCCAATCTATCAAGACCCAACCCACCCCAGCCCAATCCAACCCAGCCAAACCCAACCATACCATACCCAACCCAACCATACCCAGCTAAATCCAACCCAAGTGTGTATTTGCCTGCAATTAATCGGGGACCCCCTATTGTCTCTCTTTTGCTTTGTACCCTGACAAAAAAAAAAAAAAAAAAAAAAAATGAAAGGAAAAAAACCTGGAGAGGCCAGACACAGCAACGGTGCTATTCAGTACTAATTATTCATATTTGTACTTTGAACAGCGCCTCCGAGCGTCAATTGATGACTAGCCCCTGTCTCCTATTATTTAAGTTAGCCTGAAGTTTTTGAGTTTTTTTGCTATTGGTCAGTTGTCGTCTGCCTTGGAACCTATTGACGACAGCAAGCAGACGCCTTCCAAAGCCCCAAGAAGGAAAGTCAAGCGTCTGGCACCGGAGAGAGAGATTGAGACCATCCCAGAGCAGTTGGGGAGCAGAGAGGATGATGTTGGGCAACAGGAGGAGGGAGAGATGGGCGACGAGGGCAAGGGCAAGAAGAGAAAAGGCAAGGCCAGGAAAGACAGTAAAGGTGAGTAGGGGAATCGCTTGGATGGGATGTTGGGGGGGGGGGGGGGGGGGGGTCACACACTTTCACCACCTCCATTATGCATTAAAATCATAACCTGTAGACAAAATCGTCCTGCTGATAAAACAGTCCTGCTGTCAAAATCATGCATACGTCGTCATATACATCGCAGCAAATAGTTCCACCTGTTGTCGGATAGTGCCTTGTCAATTTTTAACAGGGCCTGATTGGTCAGATGGTGTCCCCGCCCCCACCCCCAACACCCACCACACCCCCAACCAACCCATGGTCTCATTATAACTTCATTTATCGGTATTTTTCTTCAGAGCCAATGAGTATGGAGGAAGCCGTGATAGCTGCTCAGACAGGTGTGGTCATGCCGGAATCCTCCAAGAACCTGAATGCATCCATTAGGGAACGGATCAAAATGAGGGTCATGAAAGCCAAGGTGAGATTAAGAGACACCCAAAGCCAACTTAACCCAATCCTACCCAAACTTAACCCAGCCCCAACCCAACCCAGCCCCAACCCAACCCAGCCCCAACCCAACCCAGCCCCAACCCAACCCAGCCCCAACCCAACCCAGCCCCAACCCAACCCAGCCCCAACCCAACCCAGCCCCAACCCAACCCAGCCCCAACCCAGCCCAAACTCAACCCAGTCCCAACCCAGCCCAAACTCAACCCAGCCCAAATGCAACCCAGCCCAAACCCAGCCCAAACCCAACCCAGCCCAAACCCAACCCAGCCCAAATGCAACCCAGCCCAAACCCAGCCCCAACCCAACCCAGCCCCAACCCAACCCAGCCCAAACCCAACCCAGCCCAAACCCAACCCAGCCCCAACCCAGCCCAAACCCAACCCAACCCAGCCCCAACCCAACCCAGCCCCAACCCAACCCAGCCCCAACCCAACCCAGCCCAAACCCAACCCAGCCCCAACCCAGCCCAAACTCAACCAGTCCCAACCCAGCCCAAACCCAACCCAACCCAGCCCCAACCCAACCCAGCCCCAACCCAACCCAGCCCCAACCCAACCCAGCCCAAACCCAACCCAGCCCCAACCCAGCCCCAACCCAACCCAGCCCCAACCCAACCCAGCCCCAACCCAACCCAGCCCCAACCCAACCCAGCCCCAACCCAACCAGCCCCAACCCAGCCCAGCCCAAACCCAACCCAGCCCCAACCCAGCCCAAACTCAACCCAGTCCCAACCCAGCCCAAACCCAGCCCAGCCCAAACCCAACCCAGCCCAAACCCAGCCCAAACCCAACCCAATCTATCAAGACCCACCCCCAGCCCAATCCAACCCAGCCAAACCCAACCATACCACACTCAACCCAACCACACCCAGCTAAACCCAACCCAACCCACCCCAACCCAATCCAACCCAATCCAACCCAGCCAAACCCAACCATACCATACCCAACCCAACCACACCCAGCTAAACCCAACCCAACCCACCCCAACCCAACCCACCCCAACCCAATCCAACCCAATCCAACCCAGCCAAACCCAACCATACCATACCCAACCCAACCATACCCAGCTAAACCCAACTCAACCCACACAAGTGTGTATTTGCCTGCAATCGGAGACCCCCTATCTTTTGTTTGTACTTTAACTTTTTAGGAAGACCTCCCATATGTTTTGTACATGAATCCAAATTGGGGACCTCTCGGGAATTAGGGACCCTATTGTCCTCTGTTGTTAAACGTCCCCTATTGAATGCAGAAACAAACCCAACCCAACCCAACCAAACCCAACCCTTCCCAGCCAAACCCAACCCAGCAAAGAATTTCAAGAAATAGAACCTTCAAATTCCCCATTCAATTTTTCTGGAATTTCAGGAGAAGGCGGAAGAAAAAGAACGAGAAGAAGTTGAAAAGGACCCAGAGAAGGACCTGCCGTCTCGCCTTCTGCGAGGTCTTCGGGCCAGAGATATGGCCACCAGATTTGATGATCCTTCATTTGTAAGTCATTAAAACGTGAATGTCTTCCACCCTTCGTTAACAATGTAAAAGCTGGCCAAGGCCCAATTCATGGCACTTCCATGCAGAAACCATTGCTGAGCAGAGTTTGTATGCTAAGCAGATATCAGCTGAGTACCAGTCACTACCATTATACACAACATGATATTTTGGCTGGTAACCCATTTTAGATCAGCATTTTGTGCTAACCAGATTTATGAGCTCAGTTGCTCCTTGAAATTGGCCACTGTGTCTGACCAAAAAGTTTGGATTGATATAAAATAGGTTTTTTATGGGTGATTTTTATGATTTTTGTAGTTGACCAAAGAAGAAGAAGAGGAAGACAAGATACTACAGCAGTCACTGGCAGCCAAGAGCAAATGGAAAGCGGCCTTCAAGGCCATCAAGGCACAGGTAAGGACAGATAAAATGAAAAGTGGCCTTCATTTCTGTCAAGGCATATTGATTATATAAAAAGTGGCAGTTGCCGGCAGCCAAGAGCAAATGGAAAATGGCCTTCAAGGCCATCAAAGTACAGGCAAAGACAAAGACAGTTTGAACCAATGGAAGCCAAGATTAGATGAAAAGTGGCCTTCATTTCTGTCAAGGCATAAGTAAAGATGATATGGAAACTGGCCTGCAAGGCCATCAAGGCACAAATAAGGACAAATTGAACCAATATCAGTCAAGATCAATTGGGGAGTGGCTTTTAAAGCCAATGAAGTACAGATGAAGATGGGATGGAAAAATGGCCTTCAAGGCCATCTAAGAACAGATAAAACGGATAATTTCTGTCAGAAAGAGAACATTGAAAGTGGCCTACAAGGCCAGTATCTAGGTTTACAGGATTTGGCCTTCAAGCCTTTCAATACGCACAAAAATATGAACTTTACCATAAAGTTAAAAAAAGTTATATTTAAAAAAAAATTATGCGGTAATGAAAACAAGACTCCTTTTACTGTTTCCTTTTCAGCAATCTATACTCCCTTCCGAGGACGAAATTTACGATTTCTTCACCCGCAACTTTGACCCCGAGCCCGAGGAGCCGCCTAAACCCACCGAAGAGGACGACGTCCCACCAGAGGACCAACCGGGCCCAAGCACAGCCCCACAGGCAACAGAAGGGCAGGCGGAACCCCCCGCTGGCAAAACAACGGCGGGGTCAAAGGGCAAGAAGGAAGGGGAGGAGAAGCCACTGCTCTCAGAGTTTTTCCTCGATCGGGAAAACTGGAAGGATTTCCCGACGGAGATGAAGGGGCCGGAATTCATTGCTCTTCGAGACCGAGAGGACCTGGAAAAGGGATATTATTTCATTCCGAGTGTTGCTGCAAGTGAGTAATGGAAAAAGTGGTAATGGAAAAAGCACAGGAAATCTTGTCATGGAAAATCTGGGAAAAGGTCATGGAAAAGTGGCAACATGAAGGGATCTTTAAGAAGTATGGTTGCATTGTAGAGCAGGATTCTCTCTATTTTGAGGGTGATTTTGATACATGGCAGTCACGAAAAAAAATCTTGGAAACCCATGGAAAAGCATTGAAAATCATGGAAAAACATCAAAATCTGGGTATGGAAAGTTATGGAAGAGACTAAAAGTTATGGAAAGGGGCACATGACAGAATCTCACAAGGATAAGTATGAACAAGTACAATGCCATACTCTCAAGTCTCATAGAGAAAGTATGGAAAAAAAATCTGTTCTGGAAAATCCTGGAAAATGTCATGCAATGGGTTCATATAGTTCATGGGGGAAAAAAGTTGTTAAATTTCCTCGCAGGAATCCATTCCATGAATTTTTATCTCCGCTCTTTCAATTCTGTAAGTCTCTGTACTTGTTTTGAATTCAAATTTCTGGATGAAGGATTGATTAAAAAAGGTCAAATTGATTGATTTTATTAAATCATTCTTCCTGGACAGTTCCTGCTGAGGAGAAGATTGTCGGGGATGCAGAGCCCCGATTTCTGGAGGACGAGGGATTCTACGTTGGAGTCCGGCCGGAGATATCCACACGGAATCAGAACGTGATGGAGCATCGACTGCTGAATCGACCTGATAAAGTAAGAATACAAGAAGTCTTGAAGTTTCTAGTACATGAGGATTATTATTATTATTATTTCTGGTAATGAAACAAGGATTCCTCAAAAGTGCCCTAGGCACTGTAGCTCGCAAGCCTGAAGAAACCTGCAGAGAGGAGACAATGAGAAGAAATTACAGTTTTAGAGGTGGGAGGAAAATCCCAGAAGAACATTCTGGGGAAAACCCACGGAATCAGGTAGGGACTGAAAACCCAATCCACATATTGGCCACGGCGGGATTTGAACAGCGGTGGATGGCGAGGAAAGTACCGCTATGCCAACCTGACTCCCCGACGATGCAGGTAACACATCTCTAATCCTCTCGGCACAATTCAAACTTACGTCTCTGATATCTGTGATGCAATCAGTGTCCCTGTCCCAAATGGCCATGGGACAACATAGAGCAATCTCGGGCGCGAACTATAGGTAACCAAAGTTTGACTGACTTCACTCCAATAGAGGGTGGTTGGTCAACTCTGCTCTAGTCGACCATTTGGAACCTGACTGAGTTCTATTGCTGGTTACAAATAGCCTCATGCATCATCGGGGAGCCAGGCCCAAGAAGTTTTGTGACGACCCTTTGACCATCATTTGACTAGAGGCGTTCGCATGTTGCTCTTAGTACACAGGCGTAAGTTACGTCAGGAATCATGAATCAACCACTAGTCGACTAATGGTCCTCACCCGAACTTGCTCTTTGCTGTCTGTCTCAGTATCCAAAAACATTACAAGTCTATAATTATCTTCTGTATTTCACACAAAAAATAGGGTAAGGAATGGTTTGGTGATGACGGCCGCATCAAAGTTTTGCCGGACCCGCTGAAAGAGACACCGACCAGACCTAAAATTCTTAGCAACGAAGAACGGGAGCCATTTCTGCAGGTTGTGTACAAAAAGGTGTGTATATTGAACTTTTTTCTGGGTGTCTTATTGAATTGGACTAATTTGGCATTGGGATATAGGCTTAAAGGCATACACAATCATTCGCAATTCATGCATTTTGTTCGTTGCCGATAATAACGCCGCTGAAGTATATTCAGCTCAGTGGATAAAACACTCTTTTCAAGAAAACATGAATAACCATTCCAACTGTTTGATACTGAAACAGGATTTCGTTAATACTCCTCTTTATTCCCTAAAATCAGTCATATGACTGATCAGTGGTAATCCCCTACATTTCTTGATTCTCTAAATGACAGCAAGCCAGACGGAATAATATCACAGGGTGTTTAGTATCAGTGCCATCTTTAATCCAAGCAAGCTTTTTGATAATAATTTGGTAGGTTACTTTGGGGATAAAACACACGATCCTATCTTCCTTCAATGATGATCAGGCCACTGTGAAATTGATTGATGATTTTTTTTTTGTGCCTGATATGTATGTATTATACACTGTTTCCTCTCCAAACATTGCTCCAACCTTTACTTGCCAGGCCGTGACCACAGAATTTGACCACCGTTACATCGACGGTCTCGGCGACAACCTCCGCGCTCAGTACCAGCTAGACATCGACGTCAACATGCTGGTCTTCACCCATCATTCCCTGTTTAGCAAGGAGCACGTCCTGGCCTCCAAGCTGCAGCAGATGTACAACCAGTTCTTGAAGAGCAAGCAGAAGAACACGGCCCAGTACTTGAGTGAAAAGGTACGGAACACTGATATTTGACTTGCTTTTAAAGGTACTATACAATATTTGCAATATAAAATGAACAAGAACTAGGTGCGAATTGGAAGCCGAATCAGACCGAATCAAGCCTAATGATTGCAGAATAAAACCGAATTGTAGTGATTTTGTCAAGAATAGCATAAAAATATCTCAAGAATCATCCAGAATGACCCGAAATTTTGCCGATTAAGTGTATTCATAATTTATTCTTATAATATTCGTACAGTTCTTAAGACATTCATAATGATTCGGCATGATTCTGGACTGTTAACACCAAAAATAACTCTATGAAACTTGTAAGATTTGCTGTAAGAATATCCTGACTTAGTTATGAATACAACAAGAATTAACTGAGAATTGTATTTGATTCCCGAATCACGCCGACAATTTTGAACATATCCAAAATTGTCGGAGTGCTTCCTGATCTTTAACAATCTTTCACCGAAACTAACAGAGTCATCCCGAGGCAGGCAAGAACCATTCCCGATTTACCCAAGAATTGCTATTCGCGGCGATTCGGCTTAAAAATCGGGAATGTGTGAACGTAGCATTAAACAAAGTTGGTAGCTTCGCAGCTGCATGGTATTGGCTTCCAAAATCCTTGTATTGTCTTTTTTGGTGACTACTTTTTTACTTAATTTGTGATTTGTTTGTTTGATTGATTCTTCCCTCCTTAGCTCCAAGCGTTGAAGTTGGCGGTGCATAACCTACAGAGCCAGCTGCAAGACCTGAAGTCTCGCAAGATGGACCCGGAGGCGTCCATCGTAGACCAGAGCTCTCAGAGGATGATGGACTACAAGAACGAAATCAGGTCGGAAAGTACTGCTGATCCATAGAGCTGTATTAAATTACTAGAGTGCTAACTCCTCATTCGTTTGCGCGGAGACGCTTTGAAGCCGTCTTGGGCGCAGACATTTTGAATTCATGTGCGTGTTTGTAGAACATAATGAAATGAGATGGATTGAATTTTGAAAGTGTACTCTAAATACAACGCGCAAGAAGAACGTACGCAAACAACTTAAGCGCGGCACGACAGTTTAAAAAGAAAGTCACGGTATCATCTGCAGCGGATATGCGCACGCGTTGCGCTGTTTGCATAGAGCAAATTGAAACGCTCATTTGCTGATCGTGCGTTTCGGTTTTGGGCGTATCGGCTTCGATAACTCATCTGTATAGAATACAAAAGCAGATATGCAAATAGCCGTACAAAAGCCGTCCAAAATTTCGAGTTTTCCATAGGTTTGTGCACAAACATGGATGCGCCCAGCAGGCATCACTTGGTACATGAGTCAGCGCTCTAGTAATTTAATAGAGCTCTATGTGCTGATCTACCTAGCATGACATCCATACATTTTCTCATGACACACTCATGTAAATAGGGTGAAGGTATGGGCTGAAGGTATGGGCTCCATGCACAGGTCAGACATTCGATTGTTTTTGTTTGATAAAATGCAAAGATTTACTCGGCAATACTTTCTCGAGTAACTCCAGGGGTTGGCCAATATGCGTTTTTTCAAATTTGCATGCGAGTGTGAACAGAATCCTCAAAACCAGGCCCCCAAATACTGAGTTCTTTTCGTGTCTACAGTTAAATAATTTACTCTGAGATAGTCAAGCTCCGTGAAGAATTACAAAGAAAAGTCAATATAAGATATTGTGAGTTTTTTAAAGGGAATATATATCACTTGCTTTTGCTGTAATCTTCTGAAATGGATGGATTTGGGGGGTCGGTAATATGTAGCAAATATTGTTACACTGCTTTTTTGGACGTTTTGGGTTCGTAGATGCTATAAAAACCAAGAAAAACAATCACTTTCCTGTAGTCTGGTTCCCTGACTTTATTTAAGATGAAACGGGGCAATTTATAGACGTTGGGGAATTGTAAGGTCAGGGAATCAGTCTAGCTGGCTTGTACCCGTTCCTAGGTGTGTAATCGATTGCAAAAAAAATGCGGACTAACTAAATATGGTCAATTAGGGCTAGTATTTGAAAAAAGCCAGTTTTTTCCAAAGCTTGTCGGCCAACCAGCGTTGGAAATTGATACGAAAATACATGTATCAAATGTTGTATTTTCCCTTTAAAATCATGCTTACAGAGATGTTAGGAGATTGCGAGATAACCAGCTACTCCACGATCGTCAGTTGCTGCGGAACATCCTGAAGGTCTGGAAGGACGTGAAGGCGCTGCGTGAGGAACAAGGCTGCACCAACACTCCCGTCAAACTCAGCATCCACAAGTAAGCTGATTTCATGGAACTGCAAAGCAAAAAAGAAATGCTAAGCACAAAAACATTCGGCCTAGCCAAAGAAGGTTACCGGCTAAAATACCATGTGATGTTTATCCCGCTGGTTGGTACTCATGTGGTTTTTCGTTCAGCACATCAAACTACTCGCCAATATTTTGCCCTGCTGCTCAAAAATGCCAAAAACCCGCAAGGAAAAACCAGCAGCATGATAACGTGCCGACTAATATTTAACCCTTTATCAAAAATTCAATCCACTTGTTTTTGCAATTTTTATACAGCTACTCACCAACAGTCATATCACATTTCTGATTAGCACTGTGACTTATGGAATTCCATCAATATAGAAAAAACAGATAACTCGTAGGTACAGCTAGCTTATCAATCACCTACAGTCAAAGCATAGCTGTACCAAGTTTAAGACGGACACAGCCTGTGAAACCAGCTCCATGTAGGAATGGATTCCTAACTGTTGGAAACAGTCACTTGGTCAATTTTGACAACTGACAGCAAGTTAGGGCGCGGACTACAGTTAACCATAGTTCGACTAACTTCGCTTGAACGCAGGAAAGATGGACCACTCTAGCCGACTTATGGAACCAGACATAGGGGCACAGTTGCATCACTGGTTACCAATAGCCGCGTACATCATAAAGCACCACGGGGAACCAGGACCAATCAACCCCTAGTCGACTAACGCTCCTCGCCCGAACTTGCTTTAATACGGCTTGTTCAGTTTGTCAGATGAGGAGAATTAATGTACGATCTTTGTCTCCTTGCAGAGAGGAAAGCAACAAGGTCTTGGACCAGGCGGAGTGGAAGGCAGCCCTGGAGGAAGACGTTGAGGAGATGAGGCTGGAGTATGAGGAAGACCACCAGGGGGAGATGGAGCGATACCGGACCCAGCTAGCTGCCTGGAAAGAACAGAACAAACTCAAGGTCAGTATAAAGGCATATAGGATCATTTGCGTTTATCCCAAAAGTAGCCTGCCGAATTATTATCAAAAACCTCACTTAGATTAAAGTGGTACTACTGGTACTAAACACCCCGTGAAATTATTCCGTCTGGCTTGCTGTCATTTAGAAGATATCAATAAAAGTAGGTGATTTCCAACTATCAGTCAATTGACTGATTTTTGGAAATGGAGAGTGTTATTGACGAATCGTGTTTCGTGATCAAAAGGTTCTGCGTGGATTTTCACAGTCTTCCTGAAAATTGTAATATCTACTGAGCTGAAACTTCAACAGGTTAGGTTTTGAACATTCTTCTTTGGATTTTGAGCGGTGCTGTTATTGGAAACAAATAAAAGGCAGGAAAAGCAAATGATCCTATATGCCTTAATAACTTGTGACTTGAATTGAGACTGGTCGACTTGTGATGGACCTTTTGCGTGGATTTTCACTGTCTTCCCGAAAATTGTAATATCTACTGAGCTGAAACTTCAACGGGATAGGTTTTGAACATTCTTCTTTGGATTTTGAGCGGTGCTGTTATTGGAAACAAATAAAAGGCAGGAAAGCAAATGATCCTATATGCCTTAATAACTTGTGACTTGAATTGAGACTGGTCGACTTGTGATGGACCTTTTAGGACTTGTAGGGACTTGTGATGGACTAGGCAACAACATTACACCAGTGTATAAACAAATTCCTATAGAACACCGACCTTATCTTTTCATTCTTACAGAAAGCCAAGAAGAAGAAGAAACGTCAGGGTTCGCAAGAAAATCTTGCAGAGCAGGATGAGGCAGAGGAAGATGCAAATGAAGCAGCTCAGATCCCTAAACCAGTTAAACCTGATTATGAATTCAACGAGGAAGAAGCAAGTGCCAAGGTGACAGAGAAGATGTACAAGTGTAGACGCCGCCCTGGTAAGTGTTCCCTTTAAACCGGGTCACATTCCTTAATACCCGGTTAACTAACCCTGGTTAACGGCAGTTTATGTTGTTAGTTTCTTAAAAACAAGAACCACCGATAAACTTAAAACCTAGTTTATGCCTGACCTTTTTAAATCATTCAAAGTTCTGCAGACTGTTTTGTCGGTGTGGTACTTTCCTTGCCTTCCATCGCTGTGACCGGGTTCGAATCAGTGGCGCACGCAGGATTTGGCTTGGGGGGGGGGGGGCTCACAATTTTTTTTTTCAAATTTGTTAGAAGGTAACATTTTTTCAAAAAATATTGCCCAAAATTTTTGGCCGCAGAAAAAAATCCCATTGGAAGTAAGGGAAGAATGCAAATTTAAAACTTGGGGCAACTCAGGGTTGAACCTCGAAGTACCACTATTGTAAACCCTGTAAAACCTCATAAAACCTTGAGGTAAAAAACCTCAGGTTACCCCCTGTTAAAGTTTGCATTCTCCCCGAAGTTTAAAACTATTGTGGACTTCTCCGGCCAATTGCCGAATTGTAATAAATAACATAATTGAATTCAATCCATGCCGTTCTGGTTTCTTAAGGCGAGCCAATCATAACGCCGGAGCTGAACAACACCGCCGTCATCACGCCGACCCACGAGTGCCCCAAGACGGAGCAGTCCCGCCGCTCCGACGTCCAGCGGTGTAAATGCTTCGTCAAGGTCCTCTTCAACCACAAGGAGGTGTCCAGAACGGCAACCAAGTAAAAACGCCATTTCAAATATTTACATCCTTGATGTCTCAGATTGACGAAAGAGATTTAGGGCCTGCATCTTTTAAACATTTTCTGAGACAAAGTAGGCTGTTGCAAAATACTTGTACTTTTGTAGTCCTTCCAATGTCATAGACATTTTCTAATTTCTGATATCTAAAAAAAAAGATAAATGCCCCCCAAAAATCTTCCCAGTGGTCTACTACAAAAAAGGAGTACCAAAACTTGCTCATTCCTCATGAGTCAGCATTTTTCGACAAAATAAAATTCCTTTTTTAGGGGAGTGGGCCAAAACGTTTTATATGAACGGCTTGTGTTTTCTGTAAAAAATGGAAGGGGAAAAAATATTGCAGGAACTTTAATAAAAGCTATTAACAGCTTGGATTTCCTTCTTTTTTTTTCTTTTTCTTTTTGAAATTTAGTGGTACAGATTTATACTGTTTGTTTTGTCATCTTCAGATCATTGACGGCAGAGTTCACGATCCATTTTGGAGAGATTTTCAACATTCAGATCGTCCAGTGGCCCGAGAGTGTTATTCTTCAGGTGAGTCATGGTTTTGACAGAAGAAACTAATGAGAGTTAAGCATTGAACTTCAGAAAATGAGTTGTCAAAAAGCTTTTTTTTGGGTGGGGGATTCCAGAAGGTTCTTAGCAGAAAGGTCCAGGGAGTTGATTTTTAAGCATGCCTGTATGACTTGGTTAAGTGGGAATTCAAACAGAGCAATTGACAAAAATTATGACAAGAAATGTGAAGAACAAATAGTCGGGTTTGTTCATAGTAAGTTCAAGAATGACACTATATGTCGCTGTACCCGCTGCCATATGAGATTCAACCAGCCAGCCAAGGTCGATGGTCGATGGTCAAGCGGTATTAAGACATCCGCACTGGAGCGCCGTGGCCTCGTGGTCTGGAGCATTGAATTCGTGGTCTGCGGGTAATTCTGCAGGTTGTGGGTTCGAGTCCAGCCCGGGGTAATGGTGCGTGTGCCCTTGGGCAAGGCACTTTGTCACTCATTGCTTCTCTCCGCCCAGGAGTAAATGGGTACCTGTGAGGGCAGAGATGGTTATTGTGATTGAATAAGCTTGCTTGCGCCTAACAGGCAGCATCCAGCTGTATACTCCCCAGGGAGCTGAGATGGTATTTGGAATGTTTCATTGGCCCAATGAGCAGGGTAATAATGGTGTGGCGCCTTGAGCACCAATAATGGTGGATAAGTGCGCTTTATAAATACCCATTATTATTATTATTATTTTTGTAATATTATTAGTAAGCAGGAGGTCATGGGTTCAAGTCTCGCCAAAGTAAGCTTGTGAATTTTTTTCTTGCAAGAAGTTGGACAACACCAAGTATACAAGTGTGTATGGAATTCATTGGTGAAGGGAAAACCACAATATCGAACTGGCACTATACTTAGTCTGATAATTCAGGGTTACTTGATTCGTCAAGATTTTTTCATTGAAAGTTTTTTCATTGAACATGTTTCCCCTTGTATTTAGGTTTATGAGACAGGAGTGTTGAGTAACACCCTGTTAGCTGAGATCTACTCGGCCGTTCCCGAGACCCAGGTCACCGCCGACAAGATTCACCTGGAGGAGTTTGAATTCAGCAGTGACCAGCATATAGCCTATGATCACAGCGCTGTGGGCAGTGGTAAGAAAACATGAGGTTTTTTGTTTAAAGGGAAAATACAACATTTGCAAACATCAAAAAATAAAACTACCAAATCATTTTGAAAAACCTTGCTGGACTGTTAGTGAATGACAGTGTAAAGCATCCTGTAAAATCATGGCACCTGGTATACTGTCATTTTCAAGAAAAGTTTTATTTTTGTATCAATTTCCAACGCTGGTCGGCCGACCAGCGTTGGAAAAAACTGGCTTTTTTTCAAATACTGGCCCCAATTGACCATTGCACTTGTTTGCAATCGATTACACACCTATGAACGGGTACAAGCCAGCTAGACTGGTTCCCTGACCTTACAATTCCCCAATGTATGTAAACTGCTCTGTTTCTTCTGATATGGAGTCAGGGAACCAGACTACAGGAAAATGATTGTTTTTCTTGGTTTTTATAGCATTTTCGAACCCAAAACCTCAAAAAAGTCATTGAACCAAAACGTGAGACCATGATTCAGTAAATTTAAAATTTTGAATATGGAGCTTCCTGCTCTGAAGAACAACCAAAATTTGATATTGTGTTTTGCCCTGCCCCAACATTTTTTTGGGTATTATTTTCGTTTTTATAAACTCTATATACTCAAACCCATGAAAAATTCCATCTTGTGAAACAGGAGTAATGTATTTCCACATTTGTGACCTGTTCTGTCAAAAGCAGACGCTTCTGGGCAGAGGTTAAAATTGAGATATGGCCAAAACACGCTGTGGGGGTGATTTTTTTCGATTTTCAAATTTTTACATCCTTGTAATCCTGAACATGTCTAAAATATGCTATATAGTTTGAAACCCTAATTTGAACTCTAAATATAGTATTTTTGATGATTTGTAAAGGTATTTCAGTTAAAGAAATGTCTGTTTTGTGACATTCGTGGCCATTTTCTCTGTTTTCTACTTTTCAACACAATGAACTTCAAAATAGCATAACTCTGCCCCGGAATGACCGGTTTCAAAAATTAAACCACCTATTAAAAGGAAAAAGAACATTTTTTAACAATATGCAAAAATCTCATTTTTGACCTTATGCCCAGAAAAGTCTGATTTTGACAGAACAGGTCACATTTGGATATAATCACTAGGAAATACAGAGTGTAATAAGGGCCTTTTCCCTCAAAAATGTTTTTCATAATTTGTATGCTAGGAGAATCGAACTGTCCAGCAGAGAGTTTCCAAATTCTCATCGAAAGTTTGTAATAAAAAATTACGATTAGGCCAAAAAAAATAAATAAGCGGTCTCTGGTCAGACCAAAGTTCCGGAATTGATGCGGCGATGCGTTTTTTTTTTTTTTTTTTTTTTTTTCAAGCTTGGATTGTACAGACAAGGTGGGTACTATTTTGCTTTTGTTGTGTCCTCATTTACATTGGGGTCCTTCATAATTTGCCTTGGTGCCCTCCATCATTTGCCTTGGTGCAATTTCCCCATTCCTTGGTACAAAAATTTGAGGAGGTACGGCAATAGAGGGCGCTGTTGTAGCTTCCGTGTTAATTTGAAGAAAACAAAAAGGTTGACGCGCATGATTAAAATCGACGCTCGCGCTGACCAGAGACCGAGTATTTTTTTTTTTTTGGCCTTAGTACAAAACTTAAAAAAATAAAAAACAGTGATTAATCTTCGCCTTGTCTGCCTCCAAACAAAGGTGTGTCCTTCCAGCTTGGTGGAGGGGATTCGGCGCAGGAGTTGACACTGCTCACGTCGGGGGTTCTGATGTCCAGTGTGGCGTGGGGGCTGGGGGATGATGAAACACCCCTAGTGCCACCTGCCAATCAGAACACAAACGCTCTGAGGTATGCACAGGTTGACTCCTGTACTAGGGTTTTGTTTTTGTGTGTTTTGTGTGCGTTTGTTTATGGTGTAAATCGAGGACACACACGTGCAACATCATCGGTGAATTGAGGACAGGAACCAATGATTAGAAAAACTTGTACAAAACCAATGAGAGCTGTTGCGAAAAAGTACAAACGAAGGAAAAGGGAACAGGAACAAAAGAAAATGCCCGATTTACACCATTAACAAACGTGTGAGGTTGTCTCGCAGTCACTATGTGGCCATGTGAACAAGAGATGTCCACATTATGCAGGTTGTGTTGACATTATGTGGACTAAGCTGTGTCCACATAACGTTTCGCCCTCTCTGGAAAACAGGTTTAGAGGCATTTTCGGGTTAGGGTTATCCATCGCAGAATGAAGAAAAACATGCAAGTAAATCAAAAAACAAATTTGGGGTTGAAAAAGTTTTCACAGTTTAAGTAAAGTTATTTTTTGTACCGAGTTTTCTTAACTACACGAAAACAAAGGAATGTCCACATAGCATATGTAAAAAAAACATGTGTGTGTGTGTTTTTTTGTTGTCTGCATACAGATGTTCCTTTTTAGCACTCATGTTATCACTGCTATTTTATAAAGGGTGTGTGCGTTCAGGAGTTGTTCCTGAGTTGATTGGCCGCTTCGCAGGGGACAGGCGGCACTGCTGCCTCCTCCGCGAATCAGGATTTTGCTGAATTGCACGAAGTTTTTAGCAAAAAGGAAGGGTACGACTCTGCATTCATTTCAAATTTTGTCTGATTTATTGCAGTGCCGTTAAGCATCTAGATGCTGTGGCAGCCATCGGAGCTACCGGGATGATCGACCCAGAGAGACTGGCCAAGTGGGTGGCAGAAGCACGACTGGATCCTAACGACCCGGCTAATGCTAACCTGCTCTATCTCATGAAGGTATCGAAACTGTCGGTGACAAGTCAGTCACATGTCAATCACAAGCCACTTGCAAGTCAGCCACAAGTCATTCAAAAGTCAGTCACAATTCAAAACACAAGTCAATCACAAGTCAGTCACAAGTCAATCACAAGCCAGTCATAAGTCAGTCACAATGCGGTCACAAGTTAGTCACAGGTCATTCAAAAGTCAGTCACAAGTCAAATCATAAGTCAATCACAAGTCAATCACAAGCCAGTCACAAGTCAGTCACAATTCGGTCACAAGTTAGTCACAGGTCATTCAAAAGTCAGTCACAAGTCAAATTATAAGTCAATCACAAGTCAATCACAATTCAAAACACAAGTCAATCACAAGTCAGTCACCAGTCAATCACAAGTCAATCAAAATCAGTCAATTCGAATCACTAGAGCTTATGTGCTTCACGAAGCCTAAATAGCCTTTTGAAACGTTTCTGCACATCTGTTCCTTACTCTATAGTCTGAACTGACTCGCGCACACTGTGAGAACACTTGGTCTAAATAAGTAACTAACAACATTTGATATTAAACCGGCCGAAACATTACATAAAATAGCCGCCGAGACAATACATGAAACAGTACTAGTAGTTAATGCCTGTATATGAATCCGCATTAAACATCAAAAATTAATCGCAGCAATTGTGTTGTTTATTGGCCACCGTACTTTTGAATACGCGGGGGAGTATCTGGCCGAATACACGGCTGATATAATAAGTCAATCACAAGTCAATCACAAGTCAATTACAAGTCAATCACAATTCAAATCACAAGTCAATCTTAAGTCAATCACAAGTCAGTCACAAGTCAGTCACAAGTCAATCACAACTCAATCACAAGTCAGTCACAAGTTAATCACAAGTCAACCATAAGTCAATCACAAGTCAATTACAAGTCAATCACAATTCAAATCACAAGTCAATCATAAGTTAATCACAAGTCAGTCACAAGTCAATCACAAGTCAATCGCAAGTCAATCACAAGTCAATCACAAGTCAATCACAAGTCAATCACAAGTCAATCGCAAGTCAATCACAAGTCAATCTTAAGTCAATCACAAGTCAGTCACAAGTCAATCACAAGTCAATCGCAAGTCAATCACAAGTCAATCACAAGTCAATCACAAATCAATCGCAAGTCAATCACAATTCAGTCACAAGTCAATTACAAGTTAATCACAAGTCAATCACAAGTCAATCACAAGTTAATCACAAGTCCAATCACAATTCAGTCACAAGTCAGTCACAAGTCAGTCACAAATCAGTCAAGTGAAGGTTCTAGACTAACTTTTTATATTACCATCCCCATCCAGGATGCTAGGGCAGAGGATGGCCAGGGGTACAGGGTGCCAGACTTCTTCCGTCTGGAACAGCTTCAGGAGGAGTTCAACTTCATGACGGATGCTGAGCTCGCTGCCCTCAAACGTCTGCGACTGATCGAGCTGCGACAGAAGGAAGCGCCCGAGTTCCGCAACTACAAGATGATCCCCGTCCTGGAGAAAGAAATTCCGGACACTCTTATCACAGTGAGGGTTTGCTCCTGTTTTTGGACTCTTTCATTTTACTATGTAGAGATCACAGGGTGGATCCAAGGGGAGCTGTCGGAGTTAGCTGACCCCCTCCCTAATCCTCCTCAGACTGACCCGTGTTGGTTTTTTTATATTAATGGAAAATAAATCACAAATGTCCTTAAGTTCCCTGAATAATATTATCACTCACTAGAGCAAATCGCGATTCATTGCTGCACGCCTTTGGTCTTTTTATACATTGACTGTCATGCCTCATCCATCCCAATCCCCTCGCCCCCCCCCCCCCCCCCCCCCGGGATTTCAACAACCTAAGCCACCCCTTTTTGAAAGTTTGCCCCTGCCTTTCTCACTGCACAGTTCATTATGTCCGGAGCATTTTCCGAGTAAAGAAATATCTTTGATGTTATTTCTAGTGGCATGCAAGATAAATCTTTACAAGAGCTATCATTTGAAGTATTTGAATAGAATTTAAACCCGTTAATTTTCTCTTGTGTTTCTGTGTGGAAACGGACAGAGAGTTGGAAATAAAACATCCAATAAAATTGTACTTTTTTAACTGTTTTTTTTTCATGTAGGAATATGAAAAACGTAAGAAAAAGGAAGAAGAAGGAATTGTTGAGGAGGACATGGACCCACACAGAGTAGCTGTCGCCAAATTCCTTGGCAAGGTAAACTTTCTGTTCAATAAGTCGATGAACTTCTCAATGAGATTTAAAATAATTTAAAATAAGTCTCTAATAACAATTGCTGCTGAGGTGAAATATCCTAAGAAATACACCAGGTAAATGAGACAGTATTGTGGAATGGTTTTCATATAGTTTGGAAATGGCCTCCTTGATGGGGTATGTTATTGTGAACTGCCTATGCTGAGACTGAACCATATTTCGGATTGTGATCTAGGTTCGAGAGCGAGTGATTGCCCGATTCCGAGCAGCCCAGCACCAGTATTCACTGCAAGACGTCGTCAATGAAGAACAGGTGCCAGACATCAGGTGAATCAAACACAGAATCTCTAAAAAAAAAACAAAGATTGTGTCAAGTTTTGTGTCGTTTGTTTTCTTTCCTGAAACTCCAGAGCCACTTTCCATAAAATTCCTCACAAGTCCTCACAAGGCAATCGCAAGTCCTCACAAGTTCTCACAAGTCCTCACAAGTCTTCACAAGTCTGCACAAATCTTACAAGTCCTCACAAGTCCTCACATGTCCATCACAAGTCCATCACATGTCCTCACAAGTTCTCACAAGTCCTCACAAGTCTTCACAAGTCTGCACAAATCTTACAAGTCCTCACAAGTCCTCAAAAGTCCTCACAAGATCTCAAAAGTCCTTACGGGTCCTCACAAGTCCATCATAAGTCCTCACAAGTCCATCACAAAAGTCCTTATAAGTCGTCACAAGTCTATCACAAGTCCTCACAAGTCCATCACAAAAGTTCCTAGGAGTCCTCACAAGTCCATCACAAGTGAATTTTTTTTTACCAGACCCGTGATTGGCTTAACTAAAAATGTCCATAGTCATGTTCAAGATAACCTGTTTATAGTCCCTATACTACCCCAAACCGCTCTGCTTATTTCTCCCCGTCACGCCCCAAAACCACCCAAGCACTCAATGGTTATTATGGATTCTTCAGGGAATGAATACAATGTTATACAATGCAGTAAAAGTGCTAATGGGATAAACTGATATACTTTTTTGTTTCCATTACAGCATGCTTGGGGGGACACTGGTCAAGCTGTTCGAGCCCCGGCGTCCGCTCCGGCCACAGCGTAAGGAGAGGAAGACAGTGACCGCTCAGAATCTCTCCGGACTGGACGTCCGACTCCTAGTCAACATCGAGCGGGCAGTGGACATCCCTATTAGAAGGGGCACGGCAAGGTACCATCACACCGTAATATCTTTGGATAAACATTAAAAGCAAAATTGAAAATCTCGTATTTCCGTGTGGTGAAGGTGGGGTCCTGACAATTTCTCTCGTTTGAGTTCATTATTTGAATTAAAAGAAAATAAAGCTTATTACTTTTTGCGCCTGAGAGAATATTTTGTTAATCCAGATCGGGATAGTTGCCCTAATCATAACCCATAAGAATTTGTCCATGTAGGTTACTGCAAAGTCATGAAGGTTTGTTGCTAAAATGACCAGGGACTAAACATGGACTAGACTAGCATAAGGACAACTAAAAAAAGCTGAGTGAATGCTGTATTTTCCCGAGAAAACATCACGATTTCAATTCAAAAGTTGCCGAGTCATGTTTGGAATGGTGCCCGTAATGAGCATCCAGGACACGTTTTCATTCAGCCGATTGCAGCTATGCAATATGTCAGACACTGAAATATTGCAAGTGCGCGTGTGTTGTGCCAATGCTTGTGCGCACCCATTCACGGCTTTGCGAAATGAAAAACGAACTACTGACGGAAATTTCCAAAAATGGGTCTTAAGACGCATCTTTGGAATGACCTTCTTTCATTGTTTTCTTCAAAATGACAGCATGCCAGAAAAAAAAATTCACAGGGAGTCTAGTGCCATTACTATCTTTAAACCAAGTAAGATTTTCAACAATAACTTTGTCAGTTACTTTTTGGATAGCTGCAAATGATATACTCTACCTTTAAAATGTTGGTCTTGAAAATATTTAAAACAAATTTTTTTGTTCATTATTAGGCAAGCTGGAACAGGACAGACTCAATCTGCAGTAAGTATAGAAGCCTGTTGGAACTCTGAATGCTCTGAACTTTTTACCTGGTCACTTATTGTTGCATGCAGAAGTGATTTAATGCATCTTTGTCACCGGACATGTATTTTTGATAAGTGATCAGTTCGCGCAAGGATTTTTCGTGCACCTTCAGATCTTGCGTGTGAATGTATTAACAAATTTTATGGTACCTAAAGAGCAACAGTGACTTAAGTATGCGATCCCATCTGGAAAATTGTGGCCTAAGGTCACAAAAGTTGGTGAGATAGAAACATGCTAGGAAAATCTCTTCTTGGAAACCTTTTCTTTCGTAATCGTATTTTAAAGGAATCCTTCTAAGAGTTTCTCGAAAAATGATGTGTTATTGTTTGAACTATCAAATAAAACTGCATAATTCTTTTAAAATTTTCCAGCCTCAAGTGCGACCGTTTGTGGAAATTACGTTCCAGCAGACCGTTCAAAGAACCAGCGTGACCGAGGGACCCAACCCCAACTGGAACGAAGAACTCAAACTTCCATTCATGTAAGTCGGAGAAAATGGCAAACAAGTGTTCAAAAATATACTGTAAAATCACCCATTTTTGTCAATTTAAAGTTAAAAGTTTAAATTTCATTGGAGACTATTATCTGGAACAGTCGAATTTTTGATCCGATCTTTTTTGCCAGTTTTCTGGTTTCTATTTTTTTCATTCTTTCTGAATTCCTATTTGGTTTGTATATAAATTTATCACACTGGACATTTCTTGATCTCTGATCAGTTTTGTAAAATTCCTTATTTGGGTGCCCACAAACAAAGACATCGACAGACTACGAAACTGCAAAATAGGGCTGGATGGCTCAGTTGGTTGAGCACAGGTACAGTTTTCTGAAGGTCGCTGGTTCGAACCCTTCCTCAGTCAATATTCAATGGAATATTGATATATTTCATTACATTATTAGAGAGGCATGGGTGGCTAATGTGTAAAGTGCTTGCCTCTGGCCACTGTGGCCCGGGTTCGATTCCTGGCTCGGACCATATGTGAGTAGAGTTGTTGTGCGTTGGTTCTCTCCTATGCCACGAGGGTTTTTCTCCGGGCTCTCCGGTTTTCCTCTCTGGTCATACATGGATCATATGGCGGTTGCCAAAGGCGCCTTGACTTGCCAACAGCTGGACCACGTTGTAGCTGCATCCCTCGCAATTCAGCTTCTCAGCTGCGAGTAAGGATGATTAGCCTCCCAACTTGTGATTATGATTATCATTATTATGTTATGCCACAGAGCACCCAACGATGACTACTCCTCGGCCAACCTTCAGACCGTCAAGGACACGATCTACATCCACCTGTTTGACGAAGTGGTGACGGACTTGTTGGAGGATGACCGAGACCGGGGTACCAATATCCACCAGCGAATGGAACGCAGATGGCTGGGCAGTATCTCAATGCCCTTCACTACAGTCTACTTCCAGGGAAGGGTAGGTTTCCCCCTTGACGGAAAAAAAACCCAAAGAAAGAAACGTTAGCCTAATTAAAACCTTTTCAGTATCATATGTTGATCTAAGTCATTCTTTTTCATTTTTCATTCTTTATTATTTTTACCACATCTCATTTCATTATGTGACAAGGCATAAATACATACATGTAGTTTTGGGTAATATAAAGTTCGAGCTTGTTTTACAAAATATATTTATACACTTTGGACGCATTATTTTCTAATTAGAGATGGTGGAAGGGGATCCCCAAAAAGCGGAGCTTGTCGAGTAGGGATCCCCTTTAACATGGATTAATACAAACATTTAATGAAAAACAAATGAAAAACAATTGAACGTATAAATTTTAAATTGTACATAACACACGGAAAAACATAATATTGCTGATCAGAAAAAAAGAAATACAGAGTAGTCATTTTTCATTTGTCCCCTCTCCACCAACACCTTTCAATTTTCCGTCCCGTCGTCTCCCCCTTCCCCCTGCCGTACGTCTTTGGTCACATATTTCAAGCCCCAGGGTGGGGATTTTGGTCACTTACAAACATTTTGACCATTGCCACACTAGATGGAAAGGCAATCGGTTAAGTATGCCCCACCCATGTATGTGGGGGATAGTCACTTCAATTTTTCCCCAGGGGTGGGGATTTTGTCACTTCAAAAGTGACAATCCCCACATCTTGGTTGGGGCAGCTGGGGGGGGGGGGGGGGGGAGGGGGGTTATCAATTAAAAGGGGCATTATATTTACCTGTCGGACAATAAGAATCCATGAATCAAATGGTGTTTGCCATTTACCAATCCTGGTTTGAACTACAACTTCGGCTTGGGCTGCCGCATTATTTGAGGTTAATGATGTGGAGACCCAGGCTCAATATTGGACTGCATGCTATATCAAGAATATCACATTCTACGATATGAGGACAAAATTTTGATTATTTCCATTTGGGTTGAACAACGAAGGTATCTTAATAATTTAAATGCAAGGTCAATGAAGCCGAACCTGGAAATTAAGCCAAGATTTCGTAAACACGTTGTTAAACTAAACAGGCTGAACCATAGGTTTTATTTATAATAAGCAAACCATGACTTGTTCACATACCCAAGGTTAGTGGGACGTTCCGCATGGAAGCCCCCATGGTCCTGCTGGGATACGATCGCAGCTCGGAGAACGTCAATCCAGGCTCCGCCAACGCTACGTACCTGACCCTGTTCATTACCATTGAGCCGCCGTTAACATCACCCGAGAAGCTGAAAGAGAAGGTGAGATAGCTCGCTGCTTAGCAAGAAAAAAATAACAGCTAAATGAAAGCTGCTTAATGCTTACAGTTTGGTTTGGACTGAAATAATTATAGAAATCCAATAGGTAAGAAAGCCTAACAGTTCTTGCTTAGCATTTATAAAAATTAACGCTTAGCAAATTCATTTGCTGAGAAACAAAATAGGCTAACTGCAAACCACACATTGTTGACATTTTGTAAATCGCTTAACATGTTGGAAAGGTATTTGTTTTTGCTTAGTTTGATTTAGCAGTTCTATTTCTATGATTCAAACATCAATATGGAGTTTGCCATTCGCTGACATAATTTTTCATAAGCACTGCATACTCAGTACTCTCCGAGGGCTTGCAAGCAAAACATTCACAAGCTTGCTCGGTTGGGAACTGAACCCACGACCTCCTGCTTACAAGTGCAGATGTCTTGCCACTCAACCACCAAGCATGGCCAAAAGTACAGCCACGGCTCCCCAAGCGCATAAAACACACACGCGGAAAACCATGACAACGACGATGCAGCATACCAGGGCAGGCTCAAATCTGATCAATTATTATTTTATTTTTTAAATAAATATTTTATTAAAATATGCAAATATTGATTCAAACAATTGCATCTCTATTCACAGTTTGATTCCAACGAGGATGACAAACTCCTTGCCTACGCCGAGAGCTACCAGACCGAGTCGCTGGCCAAATTCCCCAAGCGGGAGCTGGTGACCACCGTCATGGACATCAATGGCAAAGCGGTCTTCATCACGCGCTACTTCCGGCCGATCAAGCCGCCCGACGAAGTGCTCGGCGACAACGTCGGCGTCAAAGCAGCCGTGAGTTCATCACAAGACCTATTTTTGAAATCTCGATTGTTTCTCAAACATGGGAAATTTCAGACTTTCATTTCAGAAGACATACCTTGACTTGGGTGGCTAGCGATCGCCTCTTACCCCTATGGCCCTGGTTCGTTCCCCCCTAGGGAATCATATGTGAGTGGAGTTGTGCGTTGGTTCTCTCCTGCGCCACAAGGGTTTTTTTCCAGGCCCTCCGGTTTTCCTCCAAACGAAAAATATCAAACACTTCTGGCTGTGCTCCACGGTCATATATGGGTCGATGTGGCCGGCAGCCATAGGCGCCTTTACGTGCCAGCGGCTCGACCACGTTGTAGCCGCGTCCTTCGCATTTCAGCTTTTCAGCTGCGAGTAAGGATGATTAACCTCCCAAATTATTATTTGAGTATGAAAACTTTGTATGAACTTTGCAAAGAAAAATTGTGAGGAGAGGAAGTATTAACACAGAAGCGTTTGTACCTTTTGCAATTTTCAGACTTGCTTTGCCACTCACTTCCCTGGTTTGGCTTTTGAAAACTCCCCCTTCGTGGTTTTTGGGCCAGCCTTGTCTCATTCTTGACTAGTATTAGACTACATCCGAATCAGCTGTCTAGAGCTAGGTCTAGGTCTGCACCCGTTGAAAATATGCGGGGACGCGCTGACAACAGACGCAGCTGTAGCTCTGGAAGCCCGTTTCGGACACGGCCTTACAGTCAATTCGGGCTATAGGCATAGATTGCATGGATCATGCAAGGCGAGTGCCATTTTTTTGCACAGTATTTCAGTTGTGATACAAGAAATTTCCTGAGTCAAATGCATTAAGGAAGTTCCTGTTGATATCCTTCTTTTGACATTTAAGTTGATATCATTGTATGGGCCTTATGCACAAGTTGGCCATTGTTGTCGTGTTCCCTGAATGTATTTCATAAACTGTGCACTGTTGAATGGGATGGTGCCAGACTATTTATTCACTATAGCCTCATTTTTTTTTTAAAATGTGGCTTAAAACATTAGAGTATGTTTAATCACAAATTTTAAATTATTCATCAGAGCAGACTGGTATTAATTTGTAATGTCTTTGCTTTCATTTCTCTACACAACTTCCAAAAATGAAGATTTTACCTCACTCTCAATCCAATATGGCCGACTCGTGAATAAGGCCCATTAATGATTGAAGTTTAACTTTGTCTTTGTTACAGGAGAGAGTGGCTCGCTTCGTATCCTTGATTCCCTTTGTCTCGGACAGCGTTGTCTACCCAGGCCTCTGTGATATCTGGAGCACCTGCGATGTGAGTATCACATTATATAATAATAACTAATAATTGTGCATATAAATCGCTTCCATTGTATCAACAATCTCAAAGCGCTTTACAATTATTACCCCGTTCATGGGACCACACGGTAGCCGATATATACAGTGTTCAATTGGTCCTCGACCCTCACAGGTACCCATTTATACACCTGGGTGGAGAGAGGAAATTGCAGGGTTCAAACTCACGCACCTTCACACATGAGTGAAACACCGTAGCCACTGGACCATGGCGTTCTACGGACCATGGCGTTCTACGTGAAGCCTGGATGGGAATTTTTGGGATCTATCTGCTTCCTTCCCCCCCCCCCCCCGAACCCCTTCCCTCCTCCAGTAAAGGAAAAACTTGGTCTAGCCCTCAAAATTGTAGTGGACATTAGATGCAGGTTTTCATTTCACAAGAGAGTAGTTTTTGGGGGGATTGGGGGCTTGGTAGTATGCTGCTTTTTGCACCTCACAGAAATGACCAGTCACCTGTGAAGGCAACAGTTATCAGAAACTGTTTCTTTGTTCATCTGTACAAGTGTACAATTTTACATCATCGTTCTGCAGAAGTGTGGTGGTATTAGCTACTTGCAGATCCTGGTTCTGGTCAACCATGGAATTGTGGTCGCCATTCTGTGCCAGCCCTTACAGCACCAAGTCTTTTGTGAATCGCATGTCAACATTTGCGCAGTCCAAAAGTCCTCACTATGGACCTCATTCATGAGAAAGCCATTTTGGTCGGGTTCCCTGACTGTATTTCATTAATTGTGAACCGTTGAATGGGATTAAATATGGCCGACTCGTGAATAAGGCCCATTGGTGAAAAATACTAACTGGTGCCGAATTTTCAGTCAGCAAAAATTCTTCACCGGTGGAAAGCAGATCCATGAAGTTGGGTCCCTTTCTTGTCAACCTTAACATCCCAATTAATGTCTCATTTCCCCCTTCCTCCCACCGTTCCGCACCCATCCAGCAATTCCTCCAAATGCTCCAAGGCGACGAGGAGGAGCACGCCGTCCTCCTCTGCAACTACTTCCTGCACCTCAACAAGAAGGCCTGGCTGATCAGCGGGGCGGCCATCCCCGAGGGTCCCACCACCTACGTCCTGACCCGCGAAGACGGTGTCAGCGGCAGCGGGGGTTACTGGGTCTGGAACCCATCAACAGGGGAGCACTACTCGCAGTTTGACAGCTTCTGTCCGCTGAAGTCGGTGGGATGCCTGGTGAACCACGAAAACGTGAGTCATTTTTGAAAGTGCCGTTTCAATTTTTAGCTTTGGCTTTTAGAGATGATAGGCTTCTGATGTAACTTGATCATCCAGCATCCCTCAGTCAACTTGCATCCGTCTCAGCTTCACCGGTTTCGAGCTTCACCAGTTTGCATCCTTCTCACGCCTCACCGCACCCATCCTTATAACATCGCATCACTGTTGGAATCCCTCATTCTCCTGACGACGGGCAGAGCATACAGTTGGAAACGTTGAGTCCCTCCGGTCCTTTTCAGAACCACACATACTCAAAAAAGCTTTATTCACATGGTGCTACCGCAAACTTATCTTGTCTTAGTAACTTGATAATTCAAAGATCATTTGCTCTTGATTCCTTGGCTGCAGATCTGGTTCAATATTCAGCTTCACGAGGAGCCCATCCGTATTGACTTGGACGTCACTAAAGCCAAGATGTGGAAGCCGTTCTTTGGTCGGAGCTACCCGAACCCAGGCCTATCCAGTGTACAGGTATTATTGATTGATTCGGAAACAGTATCCGCTAGTCCGAAATTTGGGACGCTCAATACTGTGTATGAGAGTCCCAGAACTTAAGGAATTGAAAACATGCAAAACAAGAAAAGAGACTGGCACATGAAAAAAAACAGTCCAGCACCCCTGTAGTACTGCATCAGCCCATTGTGTCAAAAGAAATGTCTGGTATCCAGCTCTGTTTCTACACATTCTCTATAGTCGTGCCACCAGACTACTGAAGGTCAATCTTTCCAAAAAGTTGGACATTTACCAGTCTAGTCTTAGGCTTCAAATTGAAATCACTTGGCTTCACTCTCAGGTGCAAAATGTTGAAGAAAAGTCTCCTTTTAAAATTGATTTGAGACCTCAAACTTGGCTCAAACTATGAAAAAAAGTCTGGTTCCTTTTTACACAAAAACATTATCATTCAGTACTGTTATTGGATACAGGGAACATGACTGAAATGGTGGCAGCAAGGTCTATAATGAAATTACCAACCATTGACAACTAGTGGTAGTTGCTTAAGTTGAAAATTGACATCTAGCTTTGATATGTTTTATTTCTGTGCGACTTTAATTTTATTTTTATAAAATAGATTTGATTGTTAAATTGGATCATAAAGCACCATCTGTTTATAAATGTTTATTTATTGTGTATCTTCATGCATACAGCCAACTGAGCTGAATTATTATCAGACAGACAGAGAATATGTCGCAGACCTACAGGACAAGTAAGTAGATTTGAAGTATTTGATTTGATTAGATTAGATCAGATTTTGATTCTGATATCGATGAGGTAAATTATTTGATTTTATTGACGTGTGATTAATTGATGTTTATTGATGCGTGATTAATTGATGTTTATTGATGTGTTGGTTAGTTAGTTGGACTAGGTTTGGTTGGATGCTTTGGGCTGGGTTGGTTTGGGTTGGGTTGGATTAGGTTAGGTCGGTTTGGTGGGTTGGGTCGGTTTGGTGGGTTCGGTCGATTTGGTGGGTTGGGTTGGTTGGGCTGGGTTGGGTTGGGCTGGGTAGGGTTGGGTTGGGTTGGGCTGGGTAAGGTTGGGTTGGGTTGGGTTGGGTTGGGGTTTGTTTGGTTGGGCTGAGTAGGGTTGGATTGGATTGGGTTGAGTTGGATTGGTTGGGTTGGGTTGGGTTGGAATGGGGGGGGTGGGTTGGGTTGGGTTGGGTTTGGCTGGGCTGGGTTGGGCTGGGTAGGGTTGGGTTGGGCTGGGTTGGGGTGGGTTGGGCTGGGCTGGGTTGGGCTGGGCTGGGTTGGGGTGGGGTGAGTTGGGCTGGGTAGGGTTTGGTTGGATTTGGCTGGGTTGGGTTGGGCTGGGGTGGGGTGGGGTGGGTTGGGTTGGGTTGGGTTTGGCTGGGTTGGGCTGGGTTGGGTTGGGCTGGGTTGGGTTGGGTTGGGCTGGGTTGGGGTGGGGTGGGTTGGATTTGGCTGCGTTGGATTGGGTTTGGTTTGAATGGGTTGGGCTGGGTTGGGTTAGACAGTTTGAATGGGTTTGGCTGGAATTGGCTGGGATAGGTTGGGTTGGATTTGATTGTGTTGGGCTGGGTGGGATCTGTTAGAATGAGTTGGGTTTGGTTGGGTTGGACTCGATTGTGTTGGGCTGGTTGGGGTTGGGGTCTGGTAGGATGGGTTGGGTTGGGTTATACAAATCAAGTAATGTAACATAACGAATCACACTTCTTGCAAGGATTGAGAAGAAGCTTCGAGACTGCATCATGGCCTGGCGGCCGCGCCACATCACCCGCTGGAACCGCTACTGCACCACGGTCTTCCGAAAAATCCTACGCAAGCTGGAGTTCAGTCACGCAGGCACCGACGAACACCAGGGAGAGCTGCAACAAATATTGGACTCATACAATGTGAGTTCAAGAAAAAAAGGGTTTGAGCTAGTCTTTGCCGGAAAATCCATCGAAAAGATTGGTATGAATTGTGGAAAAAAACTGTTGTTTTTTTATAAAAAATCGCTCACTACCCCCAGGACTCTATTGGAAGAATTTTTTTTTTTTCAGTATGCATTCTGCAAGAAGATTATGATACATTAATCCTGTTGGAATTGGAATCAGGATGCTTGTATTTTAAAATTTGAATTTTTAAAAAAAATTCCACCTTCAATGGGTCTTGTTTTTTACTGCAATTTTTTTAATTGGAAAGTTTATGAACTTATGAAATGCTTATGAAAATAACTTATTTTTCAGGGTGTCGGAAAGAATGGGCGTACAACTGTTGGTAGTTTAACGTTGTTTAGGTAGTCATACACAGCGGAATGCTACAGAAACGAGTCATGAAGCGTTCAACTGAACTAAACTTCTCATTTTTCAAACTTGCTGACATGTTGATATTTATGGAAGTCGTTTTTGTTTTTCACTGGTTCCCAACCACAGCTCTGCGGTTTCCCACTGCAGATGTCCTACACCGAGATGCGCACGGTGGTGGAGAAAGTGCGGAGCACCAACGTGCACGCCAACGAGTCGTCCGACGTTGAGTTTGGTCTGGCCGTGCACATACACGCCTACCCTAACAGTGTACTGTCTGTCTGGGTCTATCTGGCATCTATGACAAGGAAGAGATAGCACTCCTCGAGAGGTCAAAAATAGAACATGTGATTGTCCTTTGACCAACAGACTTTGTTTAATAAAAATGGGTATTTATATTTAAGGTACAGTAGATCATTTATCATTTTTGTGCATTTTTTTTTTCGTTTGAAGCAACAAAAAGTGCTCAAAATCTAAAGACGGGTGCCCAACAACTAACCTGATGAAGTTTTAGCTCTGTGAATGCTGTGTATTCTGAGAAAACAATATTCTAGGATCTTGGTTTTCAATTGAAAAGTTGCAGAGTCATGTTTTGAATTGCGCCTGAAATCAGCATCCGCCACAGGGAAAAAAAACATTCCTTAGATTCAAAACTCTCTATTTATTAAATTGTTGTTCAGTTTTGAAATTTTGCAGGTCACTTTTATTATTTTACAATAGTTCCACTAGCTGACACATCCTGCCTAAACTGTATTTTGTTTCTGGTTCAGAGCATTTTTCTGTGGCTCCTTTGTTGACCTAGTCTGTGGTGCATAACTTGTTTTAGAGAGAAAAGTATAAACAGTTTTAGTAGTTGCGGTCCGGGGGGGGGGGGGGGGGATCGAGTTCAATCAACAATTTTCTGTCAATGACAACATGTGTGTGTGTAAATCACTGGCTTAATTTAACCCTCCTATGAAAACATGCATTCTGAGCCATGCTGTTACTAGGGTCAATATCGGTCAAGACCCCCATTGGTTCGTTAAAAGTATGCCAGGGGGTGTAAAAGGAAATTTTGACCGTTTGTGACCCTTTAAATAGCAGGAGGGTTCTTATATTGCACTTTATACCCTTAGAGGTCTCAAAGCACTTCACAATTATTACCCCTGGTCATTAGTCTATGAAAACAGTTTTCTGCAGTAGGTAGAGACCAGATTAGATCAGCGCAATCTGATCTCTACCTTCACAGGTACCATTTATTCTGGGTGGAGAGAGGCAAATTGTAGTAAAGTGTCTTGCCCAATAACACAAGCACCATGTGCCTTGTCAGGGTTTGAACCCACAGACCATGGCACATGAGTCAACCTCGGTAAGGCCAAAAAAAAAAAAAAGTCGGTCTCTGGTCAGCGCGCGCGTCCATTTTAATCATGCGCGTCGATCTTTTTTTTTTCCAAAATGTTCCTCGGTAGCTACAACAGCGCCCTCTATTTCCGCACCTCCTCAATTTTTTTTTAACCAAAGAGCACCAAGGAATGGGAAATTGCACCAAGGCAAATGATCGAAAGCACCAAGGCAAATTATGGAGGACACCAATGTACATGAGGACACCAAAAAAGCAAAATAGTACCTACCTTGTCTGTACAATCCAAGCTTGAAGAAAAAAAAAAAAAGCCGCGTGGCCGCGTCAATTCCGGAACATTGGTCTGACCAGAGACCGAATATTTTTTTTTTTGGCCTAACCATTGGACCACAGCGCTATAGTAAAAGCCCAAAAGAATTTCATTCACTTTTTTTGTTATCAAATAACTGATCTTCAACTTGAATAGTTTGGAGTTACACCCACTGTTGATGTCCAGTTGCGCTTCAGTGTTCATCTGTTGTTTTTTTATTAAACTGAACGTGTTGTTGGCCATGCAGCTTCAGTTGCATGGCCAGAAATACTTGGCCCAGAAATACTGCTGGGTGATTTAATTTATCGTGAGTATACACGTACTAAGTGTATTCATCGAGATAAGTTGTCAATTAATTTATTATACCCAGTAACTAAAATTTATCATCAAATCTTCCCTGTACTATTCTGACCACCTTTAAACTTTTTTGACATGAATTTAGATTGTATATCTTGAAAGTTTTGGCCGGGCCGATGTTTCCTATTATGAAACCAAAATGAAGTGCATTGTATTACTGTCTGTATATTGAGATTCTATTCCGTCCATTGCATTTTTATCACATCATATGTATATACATAATATCTGTAAATATGTACCAGAGATTACTGAAATAAAGACGACGTCATGTGGATGACCACTTCGCTGCATTGATTTTTGGTGTTTGCACATGTATATTGTAACGGACAGTCTATGCACACTTCTGTTGTCATTGCTTTCTGCACTAGTGCTCCGGCGGAGGGGCTCCGGCGGCGCGCACCTGACCTGGTTTGGGGTCTGGCTAGCGCGCGCTCCGGAAATGGGCTCTACAAATAGGTTGGCTAAGTGGGGTTCTTTTGTTCAATTGCGCGGGAAGAACTTGGCTGGATTCCAGGGTTGGGTAAAGTTGTAACATTGTAATACATTTTGTGAAACTGTGCATGTATATGCTGGGAATTGATCAGTTGCAGTTCTGGTAGCGGTGCGGCAAGTTGCCCGCAGAGTCCGCTTGGCGAAATAAATGAGATCTTCCTTCAGAGTTAGAAATCCCGTCTGTCTGTCCCCTTTTCTTGCGTTTGGCCGGATTTGGCGGACAAGAGCCCAGTAGGATCCCGCTACAATATCATAACTTGTTTAGTATCTTAAAGCTAGTCCATCATTTGCAGCCATCCGAAAAAGTAACTGGCGTATTATTGTTGAAAAACATACTTCGTCGAAATTTCAATTTGAAAAGCACATCTGTCCAGAAATTGCATTGGAATATGTTCTAGGGTCCTATAGGCATCTTTCCAGCCAGTTTGAAGCAATTTCATTTTTTGACCAAAATTGAAAAAAAAACAAGGGGTAAGCCTTACTTTTTTGATGAAATTTGGCCAAAAAATGTTTTTCCTCCAAACTATGCAGAAATACCTTTCAAGGCAAGAGGAGCATCAATCAATATTCAAACACCCAATATATTGAAGATTTGGACACGAATCTTCAATTTTTAGAGGAAAAAGCAATCAGGGACGCATTGCTAGCGGTCGCCCCTAGAGGTAAAAGGTCCTCTAGGGGCGACCGCTAGCGGTAAAAGGTCCTCTAGGGGCGACGGCTAGCTGTCGCCCTTAGAGGAAGAAGGTCCTCCAGGAGCGACCGCTAGCAGTCGCCCCTAGCGGAAGCACGTCCTCCCGGGGCGACTGCTAGCGGTCGCCCCTAGGGGTAGAACGTCCTCCAGGGGCGACCGTTAGCGGTCGCCCCTGGAGGTAGAACGTCCTCCGTCTTACTTTTTTGATGAAATTGGGCAAAAATAAGTTTTTTGTCCAAACTATGCAGAAATACCTTTGGAATGTGTTCTAGGGTCCTATAGGCATCTTTCCAGCAAGTTTGGAGCAATTTCATTTTTAGACCAAAATTTAAAAAAACACAAGGGGTAAGCCTTACTTTTTTAATGAAATTTGGCCGAAATTTTTTTTTCTCCAAACTATGCAGAAATACCTTTCAAGGCAAGAGGAGTATCAATCAATATTCAAACACCCAATATATTGAAGATTTAGACACAAATCGTCGATTTTTAGAGGGAAAAAAATCGTTATTTTTGACTGATTTCACCCCAAATTTTCGTCGAAATTTTAATTTGAAAAGCACGTCTGTCCAGAAATTGCATTGGAATGTGTTCAAGGGTCCTATAGGCATCTTTCCAGCCAGTTTGAAGCAATTTCATTTTTTGACCAAAATTGAAAAAAATACAAGGGGTAAGCCTTACTTTTTTGATGAAATTTGGCCAAAAAATGTTTTTCCTCCAAACTATGCAGAAATACCTTTCAAGGCAAGAGGAGCATCAATCAATATTCAAACACCCAGTATATTGAAGATTTGGACAAAAATCTTCGATTTTTAGAGGGAAAATAATTATTATTATTGACTGATTTCACAGCAAATTTTCGTCGAAATTTCAATTTGAAAAGCACATCTGTCCAGAAATTGCATTGGAATGTGTTCTAGGGTCCTATAGGCATCTTTCCAGCCAGTTTGAAGCAATTTCATTTTTTGACCAAAATTGAAATGAAAACACAAGGGGTAAGCCTTACTTTTTTGATGAAATTTGGCCAAAAAATGTTTTTCCTCCAAACTATGCAGAAATACCTTTCAAGGCAAGAGGAGCATCAATCAATATTCAAACACCCAATATATTGAAGATTTGGACACGAATCTTCAATTTTTAGAGGAAAAAGCATTCAGGGACGCATTGCTAGCGGTCGCCCCTAGAGGTAAAAGGTCCTCTAGGGGCGACCGCTAGCGGTAAAAGGTCCTCTAGGGGCGACAGCTAGCTGTCGCCCTTAGAGGAAGAAGGTCCTCCAGGAGCGACCGCTAGCAGTCGCCCCTAGAGGAAGCACGTCCTCCCGGGGCGACTGCTAGCGGTCGCCCCTAGGGGTAGAACGTCCTCCAGGGGCGACCGTTAGCGGTCGCCCCTGGAGGTAGAACGTCCTCCGTCTTACTTTTTTGATGAAATTGGGCAAAAATAAGTTTTTTGTCCAAACTATGCAGAAATACCTTTGGAATGTGTTCTAGGGTCCTATAGGCATCTTTCCAGCAAGTTTGGAGCAATTTCATTTTTAGACCAAAATTTAAAAAACACAAAACACGCCTTACTTTTTTGATGAAATTTGGCCGAAATTTTTTTTCCTCCAAACTATGCAGAAATACCTTTCAAGGCAAGAGGAGCACCAATCAATATTCAAACACCCAATATATTGAAGATTTAGACACAAATCGTCGATTTTTAGAGGAAAAAAAATCATTATTTTTGACTGATTTCACCCCAAATTTTCGTCGAAATTTCAATTTGAAAAGCACATCTGTCCAGAAATTGCATTAGAATGTGTTCTAGAGTCCTATAGGCATCTTTCCAGCCAGTTTGAAGCAATTTCATTTTTTGACCAAAATTGAAAAAAATACAAGGGGTAAGCCTTACTTTTTTGATGAAATTTGGCCAAAAAATGTTTTTCCTCCAAACTATGCAGAAATACCTTTCAAGGCAAGAGGAGCATCAATCAATATTCAAACACCCAATATATTGAAGATTTGGACACGAATCTTCATTTTTTAGAGGAAAAACAATCAGGGGCGCATTGCTAGCGGTCGCCCCTAGAGGTAAAAGGTCCTCTAGGGGCGACCGCTAGCGGTAAAAGGTCCTCTAGGGGCGACGGCTAGCTGTCGCCCTTAGAGGAAGAAGGTCCTCCAGGAGCGACCGCTAGCAGTCGCCCCTAGAGGAAGCACGTCCTCCCGGGGCGACTGCTAGTGGTCGCCCCTAGGGGTAGAACGTCCTCCAGGGGCGACCGTTAGCGGTCGCCCCTGGAGGTAGAACGTCCTCCGTCTTACTTTTTTGATGAAATTGGGCAAAAATAAGTTTTTTGTCCATACTATGCAGAAATCCCTTTGGAATGTGTTCTAGGGTCCTATAGGCATCTTTCCAGCAAGTTTGGAGCAATTTCATTTTTAGACCAAAATTTAAAAAAACACAAGGGGTAACTTTTTTGATGCCTTACTTTTTTGATGAAATTTGGCCGAAATTTTTTTTTTCTCCAAACTATGCAGAAATACCTTTCAAGGCAAGAGGAGTATCAATCAATATTCAAACACCCAATATATTGAAGATTTAGACACAAATCGTCGATTTTAGAGGGAAAAAAATCGTTATTTTTGACTGATTTCACCCCAAATTTTCGTCGAAATTTCAATTTGAAAAGCACATCTGTCCAGAAATTGCATTGGAATGTGTTCTAGGGTCCTACAGGCATCTTTCCAGCCAGTTTGAAGCAATTTCATTTTTTGACCAAAATTGAAAAAAATACAAGGGGTAAGCCTTACTTTTTTGATGAAATTTGGCCAAAAAATGTTTTTCCTCCAAACTATGCAGAAATACCTTTCAAGGCAAGAGGAGCACCAATCAATATTCAAACACCCAATATATTGAAGATTTGGACAAAAATCTTCGATTTTTAGAGGGAAAAAAAATCATTATTTTTGACTGATTTCACCCCAAATTTTCGTCGAAATTTCAATTTGAAAAGCACATCTGTCCAGAAATTGCATTGGAATGTGTTCTAGGGTCCTACAGGCATCTTTCCAGCCAGTTTGAAGCAATTTCATTTTTTGACCAAAATTGAAAAAAATACAAGGGGTAAGCCTTACTTTTTTGATGAAATTTGGCCAAAAAATGTTTTTCCTCCAAACTATGCAGAAATACCTTTCAAGGCAAGAGGAGCACCAATCAATATTCAAACACCCAATATATTGAAGATTTGGACAAAAATCTTCGATTTTTAGAGGGAAAAAAAAATCATTATTTTTGACTGATTTCACCCCAAATTTTCGTCGAAATTTCAATTTGAAAAGCACATCTGTCCAGAAATTGCATTTGAATGTGTTCTAGGGTCCTACAGGCATCTTTCCAGCCAGTTTGAAGCAATTTCATTTTTTGACCAAAATTGAAAAAAATACAAGGGGTAAGCCTTACTTTTTTGATGAAATTTGGCCAAAAAATGTTTTTCCTCCAAACTATGCAGAAATACCTTTCAAGGCAAGAGGAGCACCAATCAATATTCAAACACCCAATATATTGAAGATTTGGACAAAAATCTTCGATTTTTAGAGGGAAAAAAAATCATTATTACTGACTGATTTCACCCCAAATTTTCGTCGCAATTTCAATTTGAAAAGCACATCTGTCCAGAAATCGAATTAAAATGTGTTCTAGGGTCCTATAGGCATCTTTCCAGCAAGTTTGAAGCAATTTCATTTTTTGACCAAAATGGAAAAAAATACATTTTTTGACCAAAATTGAAAATAACACAATGGGTAAGCCTTACTTTTTTGATGAAATTTGGCCAAAATATTTTTCCTCCTGATGAAATTTGGCCAAAAAATGTTTTTCCTCCAAACTATGCAGAAATACCTTTCAAGGCAAGAGGAGCATCAATGAATATTCAAACACTCAATATATTGAAGATTTGGACACAAATCTTCGATTTTTAGAGGAAAAAAATTCAGGGGCGTATTGCTAGCGGTCGCCTCTAGAGGTAAAAGGTCCTCTAGGGGCGACCGCTAGCGGTAACAGGTCCTCTAGGGGCGACGGCTAGCTGTCGCCCTTAGAGGAAGAAGGTCCTCCAGGAGCGACCGCTAGCAGTCGCCCCTAGAGGAAGAACGTCCTCCCGGGGCGACTGCTAGCGGTCGCCCCTAGGGGTAGAACGTCCTCCAGGGGCGACCGATAGCGGTCGCCCCCGGAGGTAGAACGTCCTCCGTCTTACTTTTTTTATGAAATTGGGCAAAAATAAGTTTTTTGTCCAAACTATGCAGAAATACCTTTGGAATGTGTTCTAGGGTCCTAAAGGCATCTTTCTAGCAAGTTTGAAGCAATTTCATTTTTGACCAAAATTGAAAATAACACAATGGGTAAGCCTTACTTTTTTGATGAAATTTGGCCAAAAATATTTTTCCTCCAAACTATGCAGAAATACCTTTCAAGGCAAGAGGACCACCAATCAATATTAAAACACCCAATATATGGAAGATTTGGACAAAAATCTTCGATTTTTAGAGGGAAAAAGTCAGGTTGGCGTAGCGGTACTTTTTTCGCCTTCCACCGCTGTGACCCAGGTTCGAATCCCGCCTGGCCCAATATGTGGATTGGGTTTTCAGTCCCTGCCTGATTCCGTGGTCTTTCCCCAGAATATTCTTCTGGGCTTTTCCTCCCACCTCTAAAACTGTTACTTCTTCTCATTGTCTTCTCTCCACAGGTTTCTTCAGGCTTGCGAGCTACAGTGCCTAGGGCGCTTTTGAGGAATCCTTGGTTTCATTACCAGAAATGATAAATAATAATAATAATAATAGCTAGCCGTCGCCCCAAGAGGACCTTTTACCGCTAGCGGTCGCCCCTAGAGGACCTTTTACCTCTAGGGGCGACCGCTAGCAATGCGCCCCTGATTGTTTTTCCTCTAAAAATTGAAGATTCGTGTCCAAATCTTCAATATATTGGGGGTTTGAATATTGATTGATGCTCCTCTTGCCTTGAAAGGTATTTCTGCATAGTTTGGAGGAAAAACATTTTTTGGCCAAATTTCATCAAAAAAGTAAGGCTTACCCCTTGTATTTTTTTCAATTTTGGTCAAAAAATGAAATTGCTTCAAACTGGCTGGAAAGATGCCTATAGGACCCTAGAACACATTTTAATTCGATTTCTGGACAGATGTGCTTTTCAAATTGAAATTTGGGGTGAAATCAGTCAATAATAATGATTTTTTTCCCCTCTAAAAATCGAAGATTTTTGTCCAAATCTTCAATATATTGGGTGTTTGAATATTGATTGGCTCCTCTTGCCTTGAAAGGTATTTCTGCATAGTTTGGAAGAAAAACATTTTTTGGCCAAATTTCATCAAAAAAGTAAGGCTTACCCCTTGTATTTTTTTCAATTTTTGTCAAAAAATTAAATTGCTTCAAACATGCTGGAAAGATGCCTGTAGGACCCTAGAACACATTTTAATTTGATTTCTGGACAGATGTGCTTTTTAAATTGAAATTTCGACGAAAATTTGGGGTGAAATCAGTCAATAATAATGATTATTTTCCCTCTAAAAATCGAAGATTTTTGTCCAAATTTTCAATATATTGGGTGTTTGAATATTGATTGGTGCTCCTCTTGCCTTGAAAGGTATTTCTGCATAGTTTGGAGGAAAAACATTTTTGGCCAAATTTCATCAAAGTAATGGTACTAAACTCCCTGTGAAATTACTCTTTCTGGCTAGCTATCATTTTGAAGTAATCAACGAAAGAAGGCCTTTCCAGCGGTGCGTCTTAAGACGCACCGTAGGACAATTTATATTAGTACCGGTTGTTCGTTTTGTTATTCGGCGCAGCAAGTGTAAAGGAGCAGAAAATAAGTTAAAGTTTTTCCCTAGTTTCAGATCTGCTACCCGTCTTTTTATAGGAGTACACCCCCTTTTCACCCGTGTTTAGTTTAGTAGTGGCCTCCCTCTTCCCCCATTGTTTATTCTGGCCCCAACTTCCTGTGTAGCTTTAGTCATGGAGGAAGGAATTTCCTCCATGCTTTAGTTCATTGACCTAGAGGCTCATTCAGCAGACCAGCATCACACAGGCAAGACATATAAGCCCTACTCTAGCTTTAGTGTACATTTTCATCCCGATCACAAGTGTCCGCTCCCTTTTTGGTAAGTTTCATGAGTTTTCATTACTTTCCTTATAATTGTATAAATCCAGTTTTATATTTGCCTTTATGATACTATTATCCAGTTCAGTATCATTTTAGCTCCTTTTAAGATGAGTTTTTTCCTATACATGAAATCGTTTGTGTCTCCGCTCTTTTCTTACAGAAGTCGTTTTAACTAGCCTTTTTGTTTAGAAACTTTGAAACGTTTGATTACTGTTATAAGTTTTTATTCCAATTTGATTATTCTTTTGGCTCATTTCTAAACATTTGAGGTGTCCATTCTTTGAAAGTATTGAAGTTGTGTGATTCTAGCATGGAGGAATAAAAACACATCCTCCACGATTCTAGTAAGTTTTGTAAAATAAGTTTGTCCAAGTTTTAATTGCTTGAGTCTAGGATTACCTGCATTTAAGTTTCATGTGTATGTTATCCACAGAGTTTAAGTTCCTTTTTCTTGCATTTTGAGTTGATTTTCATATTATTCTAGGTTTTTTAGTTGCTCTTTTTGACTTCATGTACATAGACCTGTATCCATTTAGCCTAGACCATGCTTTAATCCTTTGTTCCCTCCTTCCCAGAAGTAATAGCTTATTGAGACAGTCCAGAGGATTTGCATATCATTATGAGGCCCATTGAACTGTGCAGTATCTTGCAGTCCATAGTGCGTTAATCCCTTGTGCACACAGTGGCAAACTTGCATTTGGACCCTTTTGTTGCTTAGAGGATACTTTAGTACATGGATTGTAGTTTCATATAGGAGTCCCAGCTTCAATGCATAGAACAGCCGCTTTTGCAGACAGTCTTTAGAACCGCTTTTCGGAACGTCCACTTTTGACAGAAATTCCTGCAATGTTTTCACGTTGAACTGCCTGACACATCCCCAAAGTTCTTCATCAGTGACTTCAAGGTTCATGCTGAACAAATTACTCAACTTCTTAAAACGATAAAAATAAAATGATAATTATGGTTACACTTTCAAACTAGGCGCTCTTTGTACGTACGGGTACGACGCGACGTGATTTCCTTACCAACAATTTTTCCCACTGTCCTTTGCGCGCGCATGCGCAGTGGCAAAATCGAGCTATCTGTTATAAGGTCCCTATTGAAAATATTTGTGAAAAAAATTTGCAACACAAAAGAAAACAAACTTTACAGCAGCGATATATCTTAAATTCGGGCAACCTTTGGTGCTAAATTAAAATAGCTGTAACATTGAGGTTTCTGCCTGATATATGACATCACAACTTTTGCTCATGAAATTCATGAAAAATCAAGAAATTCATTCCGCCCGCCGGAAGTACACAAAATCACGTACGCCTCTCTGATTCATAGCCGTGCAAAAAACATAAATGAGGTTTTCGAAACTCCGGCCTCGTCCGCGTATGGGCTTCACCGCTAGCAGTTGTTTCAAAGAAGATTTTGTACTTGTGTAAACCAAATGGAAATTCTCTGTACTCTGACCTCAAATCAGAGTATTTTATGTTCCCGGAAGCAGATGGACACAGATAATTGACCCAGCATCTCCCAAGTTTATATCGGACTTAACATCACCTATAGTCACTGCCGAAACGAAGCCGACGTTTCGAAAACCTCCACAGGTCTTTAAAAGGGATGTGGCTGATAGAAGTTTGCACAGCAGAAATCATCATTCATCAGCGCAAACTGTCCAGTTCAATGCATCATACCTTCACCACACATAGGCCTAGGCGAAATTGCGAATAGGGTTTACGATCTTTTATCGAGGCCCAATCCGTGAATGTCGCGAACTTTAAACGGACGTGCACACAAACATAATCGCATGTATTTGTTTTCTTACTAATACATGTAGTATACTTGTGTGTCACTTATTTAAACCCAAAGATAAAAGAGACGTTTACCACAACTTTGGCAGATCGTTTCGGATCATCCCCCCGGACGAAGCCCCGTCGGAAGCCAACAAGAAAACCAGAACAATTGGCTTTTGGATCCGCAGCAGCTATAGGCGCAATGACCGGCTGCAGACCGTGGCTGGACAGGCACTGGGGCTGGGTTGTCGTAGCCGCCTCCTTCCTGATGTACCTGGTCAGTACCGGGTCTCTGGGTGTTTTCGTGCTCCTCTACGTGTACTTCGAGCGGGAGTTTCAGGGATCTGCTGTTGCCACAGGTACGTGTGAGCAGATACTCCCGGGTCAGCTGTGTAACTCGGAGTCTTAGGGTCGGATTTGACCCGACACTTTGCAGGCTCAAAATGACACGTTCTCCAAGTTATCCGGGCCACAATGAAACGGAAAAAAATTGATCCAAATGCGAGGCAGGCTTTTTTTTACCCTGAAAAGTGTCATTGTGACTCAGAAAAAATAATGTCGGGTCAAATGTCGGGGGGGGGGGGGGGGGGACTGGGGGCGAACTTTTTTTATGGGGGGCGTGCGCGCCCACGCCCCCCTCCCGTAACTACGCCGCTCAGTGCTGTGGCGGCTTAGCTTCAGTAAAACACTGGACGATTATCCTTCTTCCTCTTAAGCTCGGCACAAAGTTTGGCTTTTGACCTGGAAGTTCCATTGGACTGTTGGGGAAGTGTTCAAGTGCCGTCATTACGAGAGAGAACTGAATTTAAACGAAATGTGGCCCTGTTTCTCCATCGTAATCAACCTTTTATTAGCTTTTACCCTGCTCTGCAAAGATACATTGCAAAGATACATTGCACGTAACAATAAAATGGAGGGCGGTCATATTTTATGTACATAGGTCAGTGGTCTCGGTCAGTGCGTGCCAGTTTAAATCATTTTGTTTGGTTCTAAAGGTCAATAACGAGGTGGACTCTGAGACTTGGAAGATGCACGTTAACTTTAGATCGAATCGTGAATGAATGTGTGTAAGAACTAAGAATCAATGGCGCATTAAAGGGAATGAACATCATTGGCTTTGACTGTAATTTTCAGATTTGAACTATTTGAGGGTTTAGTATAATAGATCAAATATTGTTACACCGACATGTTTGAAGTTTTGTGTTCCAAAAATGCTGGAAAAACCAAGAAAAATAAAAGCGTTCAAGTAGTCTGGTTCCCTGACTCCACTAACGATGAAATGGATCAATTTATAGATGCCAGAAAAATGTAAGGTAAGGGAACCAGTCTAGCTGGCCTGCACCCGTTCATGAACATGTAACCAATACTGCAAACAAAATTTGGACACAAAAAAATGGTAAATTTGGAGCAGTAGTTGAAAATAGTTAGGTTTTTCCAACGGTGGTCAGCCGACCACCGTTGGAAATTTATACAAAAATACCACTTTTCTTGAAAATGACTTCACACCTGGTGCCGTAATTTTACAGGATGCTTTAGACTGTCATTAACCAACATCCTATACAGGTATTTCCTAAAAATTTGGTAGTTTTGTTTTTCGATGTTTGCAAATGTTGTATATTCCCTTTAAAGGGGGAGGGTTGCACAGCCGCTAATTGTTATGATACTAGTAAAATGCATGGTGCCAACAATAATAACTGGAATGCTTAAGTCCTAAAATTTATTCTCAAAGTTGCCTTAGAATGCAGAATTAGGAGATCCCCTGAACACCCCCCCCCCCCCAGCAGCTGTGGGCGTATTCGAAACCCCGTTCTCGTGTTCAATGAACACGAGAACAGGGTTCCGAATGACGGGAACCAACACGCGACTCTCTCACTCCCCACTTTTTGGGGAGTAGATGAAGAACGTCAATAACAAAGATGGCGGATTGATGCCGCTATCGGAACTTGCGTTAATATTCATGTATACAATTGAAAGTATTCATTCAGTGCCGGAGCAGTGACGATGAATCGAATAAAATTGTATTTGCCAATTTTTTTTATAGCTGTTTCGGGGTTTCAATTATTATTAATTAAATTAATTGCCCCTTCTTTTCATTCGGCGTCTTGTTACAGCAGCTGCCATCTTGAATTTTCGCCCGGCTGCACTCCACACACATCCTCCTGGATCATTTGCATTTGCAAGATTTTTGAACACGTATGCAAATGAGGAATAGTCTGGTGTCTGCATGTGCGTTGCATCAGCGTCCCTTCGGCATATTACCCCCCCCCCCCTCCCCCCCCCCCCCCCTTTGCGACGCCCATGTTCGGCACGTCTTCACTCAAAAATCCCCCTCCCGTTTCTGTAAGCTAGTTCCGCACCTGGAAGGAATTTTCACCCGTTCGACAAGATTTACTGCTTCTTCTCATCCATGAACAGTTTGCATTCCAAGGGCTAGAACGGTGAAGTAGACTCTTTAAGTTTTCTTCATCGTAAGCGGCCTCACTTTGCTAAGATCTTGCTTCCCCTTCTTATAACTTGTTAGTTCCTATTATAAGTTCATTAGTTCTCTCACGTAAGCTGACCACTTAATTATGTCTGGCGCTTAGCGTTGTGGTTAGCGATTTCCATTAACCCCCCCCCCTAAGATCTCGGCCATCGAGTGACAAACAATTTTGGAACTCGATACTTGCATAGAACAACTCCTCGTGAACATAGCCAAGAAAATTCATGACTATAGGTCAAAGGGTTTTGGAATTATGGCTAATTAATTATTCATATGTACGAATGGTACATGTAATTCTGCACTGTGTACACGACGTATATGGGAAAATTCAGTTTTCACGGCGCGGCAACCCGTGGTCCGATTATTATGTTTTTGGTATCAAAAGATGCGCAAGGCTCGAGGCTAAAAAGTCAAACAGCTCAGGTCGCAGAATTTTTTTCAAGGCTATTGCGGAAAAAGATGAGGGGGGGGGGATTCATTAAAAAAAAAACCAAAGAATACATTTCGTGAATTTGTTTAGATATTTATTGACCATAACAGGATGGATCGGTTCCTTAGGCCATGGTCTTCTCAACGTCATGTCCTTCGTGTCCAGTCCGCTCTTTGAGCGCTTCGGCCATCGGAAGATCATCATCTTAGGTGTGGTGCTCGCCATTGCCGGTATCCTGGCAACCAGCTTCACGCATGCGCTCTGGCAGGTAGGTCATGCGTGTTCTAAAATGGGGAGGGAGGAGAGGGGTGAGCTGGGCGCGTAGGGGGGGGGGCAATTCTGCATGGGTTTTCTACAGCTTCTGAGCACCATGACCAGACCAATTTTGAGCAACTATTGCAGAGAGCATCTGCTCCTTTTAAACACTGGCTTGCACAATGCCTCCGCCATTTTACTGGTGGCCTTTATGAGTGCACAGGGTTAGTAAATGCGAAACCCAAATGTCGGGACCACTGGTTTAGTTAAGTTCTGCATGTAGCACTTTTAAAATCTAGGATATAATAGCCCAACTAATAAGCTTTATTTAGTACAAGAATCATTCGAATCGCTCATGTGCTTTTCAAGTCACGGCATTTTAAACACAACCACAGTTTTAAAGTTATGTCCACTGATCACAAAAAGGTCAGTGTTCTTTCAGCAAAACGAAAACAAATCACGTAAGGATGACTTGTGTGTGAATTGTTTTCGTTTTGCTGAAAGAACGTAAGAACGCACACCTATTTTGTGATCCGTGGACAGAACTTTAAAACGGTGGTTGTGCTTAAAATTCTGTAACTTGAAGAGTACTTGAGTGATTTGAATGATTCTTGTACTAAAAGAAGGCTTATGAACTGGGCTTTCATATCCAATTTTTTTTTTAAAATGCTACTAAAAATGCAGAACTTCACCAAAACAACAGTCCCGACATTTGGGTTTCGTTGTTTTCTTACTCACCCTGTACAATGGTTCTCTTAACGAGTCAGTGAAGGGTCCCCTGTAAGTGAGTTCTGATAAGTTAAAACAAAGCTATCATTTTTTTTCCTGTCCAGATTTACCTGACGTTTGGAATAATCTTCGCCATCGGGCTGAACTTCCTCTGTAACCCTTCCCTGAACATGATGACCGTGTATTTCCCAGGACGGAACTGCGCGAGGGCAACCTTAATTGCCAACAGCGGCCAGACCGTTGGCAAGTCATGACAATTGAGGTTGTTTTTTTCCCCTTCAAAACCCCGGGTTCGTCGCCAACTTCTGGTCCATCAGTGGCTTCAGAGTTGCAAAGAATGTCGAAGTGTCCAAACCAAAGGGATTCTTTTTGTTTTGTTTTGTATCTGTTGAAATTTCCTCCGAGCACAAGTACGCCAAGATTCTTGACAATTTTGCAATGACAGATAATTGCCTCGGAAAATAATTTGCATTTTGTTAGACCAAAAAGGCAGCAACGGATGAACCCATTATAAAGTTAGAATGATTTCTAACAGCATAACAACATCATCTACATCTACATTCACATCGATCGTATAATTCTATTCTTTCAGTGCTTAAGATCTTAAAACCAAAACGTCCAGTAATGACCTTGATGTCGTATCGATCGTGATGGCCAAAATGGTGTTTCAGTAATGTTTCATGGTACGACACCAGTCACATCAAACTATTTTGCTCTATCCATTCGTCACACATACAACATTTTTCTCTACAGGGTGAGTAAAAAAAAACGAAACCCAAATGTCTGGACTATTGTTTTAGTGAAGTTCTGCATGTAGCACTATGAAAATCTAGGATATGAAAGCCCAATTCATAATCTTCCGTTTAGTACAAGAATCATTCAAATCTCTCATGCACTTTTCAAGTTACGGAATTTTAAACACAACCACTGTTTAAAAATTCTGTCCACGGATCACAAAAAAGGTGTGCGTTCTTTCAGCAAAACGAAAACAATTCACACACATCCCTATGCGATCTGTTTTCGTTTTGCTGAAAGAACACTTACCTTCTTGATATCCGTGGACAGAACCTTAAAACGGTGGTAGTGTTTACAATTCCGTAACTTGAAAAGTACATGAGTGATTTGAATGATTCTGGTACTAAAAGAAAGCCTATGAATTGGGCTTTCGTAATTAGATTGTGCAAGGGTTAGCCTACATGCAGAACTTCACTTAAACAATGGTCCCGATCTTTGGGTTTCGTTTTTGTTTACTCACCCCGTAGTTCTTTGCTAATATTTCTTTTCAGGTACCTTGCTGTTGACTCCACTGTTCGAAGCGGCCTTTTCTCAGATAGGTTGGCGGAAAAGCCTTCAGATTCTCTCCGCGGTGATTTTCCTGACCTGCCTACCGCTGGCTATGGTCTTCAAGCCTCCTAATCCAAGGCCCATCAAACTCGACCAGGAGGCAAGTCTTTCTCCTGAGGAAAAGGAGAAATTAAACATGGTGGACGTTAATACTCATGCCCTCACTGGGGAGATGGAGGAAGCAGCGTGCAGGCCAAAGGACAAAGACGAAGATTGTGACTCGAAAAATCGGTTGAAAGAATCCTTCTCCGCCATAGAACGAAGACTATCTAGGGAAGAAGAACCGATCAGTGCTGATACGGGAGCCAGCGGAGACGAGTTCTTATCAGCCGAGACGGCAACCACATTGATACCGTCAAATGATGAGAAAAGCCCGATGTCTGAGGCACGAGGTGAGAATGAGAGAGCCACGGACGAAGGAGAGTCGATCAAGCAAGATGAGAAGCCGTGGCAGAAATACATCAACCTGATCAAGGATCCCATACACTGGTTCTTTTTCCTGGGCATACTGTTAGTGACTGTGACGATCGTGTTCAATTCGGTTAACCTGGTAAGATACGGGGAGAAATCTTCATTACTCTCCATGAGTAGTGAAAAGACGAGGGTGTACTTGTTGACTTATTTATAATGGGTTGCTTATTTAGAACATCATACCAAAGTCTCAAAGCGCTTCACAATTATTATTATACCCCTGTTCATCAGACCAAGAGACCAGTATGCCGCAGCAGCTCGAGATCAGTGTAATGTGCAGTCTCTACCCTTACAAGTCTCTAGGTCGTTGGTGTCTATACCTTCACATTTTTACTCCTGGGTGGAGAGAGACAATTGCAGCAAAGTGTCTTGCCTAAGAACACAATTGGCACCATGTTCCCCGTCCGGGTTCAAACCCACGTTACGTCTCACGTGAGTTTGACGCCGTAACCATCGGACCACGTATTCGGCCTTGTACGGCTTACGCTCATCACTTTGTATGTCGCGAGAGAGGTTGGGTTGGTGGTGTGTTTTTTTTAAGGGGGTGTGATATCCCCGACCCTCTTTTCCCCTCTTTTTTCGGCAAATACGTACGCCGCAACTATAGCGCCAAAGATATTTAGATTGTGTCAAGCCCTCCCCTATGTTTTTTTTTGCTTTTCATTTTGCGGCGGTCAGGTGGCCGGGAAAATAAATTCTTGTCTATAATATCAAGCACGGAGAAATTTGCCCGTGTGTAGGGCAGTGCCTGGTAGTAACCGGAGTTTTTGTGATGTATTTTTCTTGTGTCAATATCAAGGTCAGTTGTATGACCACGGGCGGTATTGCCGAACCCACCGCGGCGTGGCTGGTCACCTTACTCTGCGTCACGGACGTGGTATTCAGGGTTGCACTGTCCATCGTCGGCGATCGCCTACCGGTGAAAATCCTACTGATCTCCGCGGTCTGCGTGGTGGGTGCTGCCGGTTCCTTTCTGCTGACGCGTGGGACGTCTCTGTGGATCTTTGTCGTCTACTCAGTCGGTAAGTCTTGTTTTTTTTTCCACGGAAGTCACCCGGCTAAATGTCAGTCAAGGTATAAAGGCTACTTATGCAGGGAACAGAGATGGGTACACGGGTCGCCTGCCCCTGTATGGCCCAAAAAAAATTAGCAGTGCGGTAAAGGTAGGTGCTAAACAGGCTAAATCCCGCCCATTGTATACGCCCAATGCATGAAAAGAATGCCAGTGAATGACCATTCTAAATGAATCATAATTTTGTGCCTTCTTGAACCAACTGAACTAGGCTTGCCTTGTTTTTTTTTTTTTTTTGCCTTCAAACCAACATAATTCTGTATGATGTTGAAAAACCACATAGGTGTTTAATGATTTCCACATCTTTACAGTTGCTGGTATTGAGCGGGCCACGATCTTTGGCACGGGATTTGCCTGTGCCGTGGAACTGTTTGGAGCCAACAGGGCGGTGGAGTCGCTGACGTCCATTATGATCGCCTTCGGGATTGGTGGACTACTAGCCTCGTCCGTGGCAGGTGAAGTGGCGTAGTTATCAAGTTATCAAGTGCCTAATTAATTGTTAGCAGGTGCATGCCTTAGTTATAACTCCCTTATATCAAGTTGTCAAATGCCTTAATTGAAGTGCTGTATACAGCCTGTCTAAAAAAAAAATGGTACAATCAGAAAAAAAAATTGGTTAAATATGAAATTTCAAAATAAGTCATTCTTACTTGGCATAATATTAAAGTACAAAGACTGGGCTTTCCAATAGTGTTTGTTTGATCTCATTTGCTTTTGTCAATTCAGAGATATAATCAGTTTAGTGCGATACACCAAAATCGATTTCGTGCCACTTTTATGCATGGGCAGAGTTGTTTCGAGTACTGTGCCATGCTGTCTTGAAGCTCACAAAAGATTGCAACTTGGCAAAAGAAACAAACTCGATTTTTGTGTTCCGCAGTAAACTGGAGTTATCTCTGGATTGACAAAAGCAAATGAGATGAAACAAAAAGTATTTGAAAGCCTGTTTTTTTTCCTTTAATGTGATGCTCAAAACGACCTACTTATGTTGAGATTTGATATTGAAAAAAAAATTGTTTTCGATTGTACCATTTTTTTTTGAGACAGGCTGTAGTTGTCAAGTTATCAAGTACATCAAAGTATGTGCCATAGTTATCAAGTTATCGATTGCCTCAGTGGAAGTGCCGTAGTTGTCAAAAATCCAGTGCCTTATCTATCGAGTTATCAAGTTATCGAATGTTGTTATTTATTAAGTTATCAAGTGCCTTATAATAGTTATTCTCGAATGCCTGAGTTATCAAGTTATCATGTGATTTGCTATAATTATACTAATGTCGTAGTAATTTGTGTAACTCAATTTCTTTCGCAGGCCTTAGTTATGACCTCACCGGTACCTACCAGACTACTCACTACACGTGCTTGGGCATCTGGGTGTTGTCGGGTTCCCTTTTCGTCATCGTGTACAAGTGGAGGTTAATATCGCATCACTGCAGATCACACAAGTCCAATCGGTCTCACATAGAGAACGATATATGAAGCTCGACCACTGACGAAAAGACAACTGTCTTGTCTAGTTTTTGTTATACGCGTTAAGGACGATAATGACACTGATATAAGATTTGAGGCTTTGCATGGTGGGGTATCGGTATCGTTTCGGTTTTGCGGTAACACCATGTGGTAATAACCAAAGACAAGTTCTTTTAGAACTTACAGCAGGACTGTTCTAAACAGAACAAAAACTACTTAGCAAGTTGATAATAAGCAGGACAAGTTCTTCTCAGAACTAATATCTTCTAAGCAGTAGTTATTACCACATGGTGTTACCGCAAAACCGAAACGATAATGACACTGTTATTGCTGTATGTTATGCATATTAGTTGTAATAAATGTTACTAGGAATGAACATCGACAGGAATGACAAATTGCAAATTCGAAAGGCAATTTCTTAAGTAGTAGGTTATGAACGAACATATTGTTTTAGCCTGGTAACTGTTTTTATATTTACATACATGTACTTATTAAATGTGGAGCAAGATTAGATTTGTGCATGCACAAAAATCAAACCTTAATAATGATAACCCCTATAGAGGCACTGATGATGACATGCATACGTACAGGGCGACCATCAGTGCAATAACGGTCGCCCATGACGACACAGACGTGCATACTAAGACTAATCAATATGATAATTAATTTCCCTTTTTTGTGGCAGTTTTAACCAGATACTTGTTGTATGCACATTATATTATACAAATTTATACAATTCATTTACATTATAGTCACATGCCTTTGAATATTGGCACAGATGTTCTTCGAGCTTTTGCGATTATAAAAGTACATGTATTCGGCACGCATTTGGGGTATGATTTCTTCAGGTCACATAATTAGAAGGGGCAAGCAAAATCTCACACTGGCTACACTGTGCTTCATGTTAAAATACTGTATAATAACTCGGTGGATATTGTACATGTACATGTGTGCAATTGACACAGAAAGTCCTTGCCTTTGTAGGTCTTCTAAAGTACTTATGTTGTTGTTTTAAAAGGGAATTGGCCCAATAAAGCAGGAAACTGTTGGAAATGACGAATAGGCCCTCTAACCATTTCTATTCGATTCAAATTTAAATTTCTTGAACTACGTCCAACAGTTTTCTCGACATGCTCAAAGCGTTATTCGTGTGTTTGGGCCTTATTAACGAGTTGGTCATTTTTGTCGAGTTTCCTGAATGTATTTCATTAATTGTTAACTGTTGAATGGGATGGCGCCAGACTATTTATGCAAGCACAATGCAGCCTTATTTTACTGTCATGTTTTTGTTAAATATGGCTTTAAACATGAAGGAATGTTTAATTACACATTTTAAATGATTCATTGAAGCAGACTGGAATTTACTTGTAAATTAACTTGCTTTTCATTTTGTTCTTCGCAAGTTCCAAAAAAATAAGATTTTACCTAACTTTCAATTCAATATGGCCGACTCGTGAATAAGACCCATGTCGTTACATTAAATGATTTGTGTCAATTTTAACCAGTAAGGAACAAACCTATTTCGGGCTTTCATTAATAATCTCTTGTCGTTTTTCTGAGAGTGTTTTTGTGGGGAGCCGTCCCACGCAGATGCAGCTTGGCAACCCGATCTGCTTGGACGACTTGTGGCGTGTTTTCCCCACACAAACATCGGCTCTACATGTCTATCACCGCAATTGTCTCAGCCTTATTCCTGGAAATGATATATGATCCTATCAAACAGTTTTATATTGTGTTCTGAATTATTAACAAGGTTTTACTTACATATGTAATTATTAATATTTTGAATTTTCTTGTACTTGAAAGGAAATTTTTATTTGTAAACTAAAAGAAAATTATATGTATGTCTTCAGTTAAATCTCTAACGTCTTGAATCTGAGTGTGAAGTAATAATACTGTGTTGATGTTTTGTGGCAACTATGCATGCTTTACTTTGAAGAAGTATTAAATACAGGGTGAGTAAAAAAACCCACAAAACCCAAATGTCGGGACCATTTTTTTATATTAAAGTTCTGCATGTAGCACTTTCAAATCTAGGATATGAAAGCCCAATTGATTCATAAGCATTCTTGTAGTAGAAGAATCATTCAAATCACTCAAGTACTTTTGAAGTTACGGAGTTTTAAACACAACCACGGTTTTAAAGTTCTGTCTACGGATCACAAAAAAGGTGTGCGTTCTTTCAGCAAAACGTAAACAATTCACACACATCCTTATGTGATTTTTTTTCGTTTTGCTGAAAGAACACTGAACTTTTTGTGATCCGTATAAATAATATACAATATTTTAAATTGTAAATAAAATATTAAGGACTCCTGAACCCATAATGGAGATTGGTTGAGTTTCAGTTAGATGAGTATTCATTTTGAGTTGGGGTAAATACGCAGGTCCGTAAAGGATTATAGTTATCACGAGAATACAGGTATAACTGTTCAAGTCTGATTGACCAATAACAAAATAACCTGCCAATTTTCGATTTGAATTGAACATGGTAAGGTTCACCCCTCCCAATTTGTTTACTTTTGAGGGAAACCAAAGTTGACCCCAAACATTAAAACATTTCATTTTAGAAACAAAATTATCCAGCAATGAAAAAAAAATGTTGGGGAGGGGTTTGAGCCCCAATTTGCGGCCCACCGGATGGTTGATGTGTCTGCAGTACAAGCTTCGGTTTCTTGTCTTACCTCCCCATACTATTATTTGAAGTTCCGTTAAAATGTTTACCTAATGTACAGTATTCAACTTACCTTATAGTATGGAAATTTATCAGAAACAAACTCTGTTTCGACTGCAGGGTTGATTAGTACGGTTATGCAAACATTAAATTATAATATTTCTCAGCATGACACCACGAAGGCCAGAGAATTTCTTTAATTAAAGCAGCATATGTTTCATAAGAACCCTATCATTATGATCAGCCACATAAATTTCAATTTTAAGTGGCAATTTGCATCATTTTGGGATCTGACATCTTGCCAAGATGGCCATGCATATTATGAGAGCAATTGTTGACAAAATTTAACATTGAATGAGTTTTTTTCAAAATCCATTGTATTTCCTTAACTCTCCGGGAAAAGGTTCATGTTTATCTTAAAACTAGAAAGTAATGTTAATAAATTTGCTGGACAAAATAATGCCGAACGAATACCGCCAGATGTTATGTCGCAAGAGTTTCGCCAAAAGGACCTTGAGATTTTATAGCTTTTCTGTACTTAAAATGTATAACTTTAATTAGAAAGCCACGATATTCTGAGTCATCGTCGAGAGTCACGGGATTTGAAGTCATCTTCTGGGATTGATTATAAGCAATTACTACCCGGGGCAGGAGTCAGAACTGCTCTGACGAAAGGACCAACCGCACAGCCCAAAATCGCGCTAACGGCCGATCGATTGATTTCAAGCACCGCACAGCTCTTGGTCCACCTCTGCTGATTGTCATCATGTCTCCTGTTACCGCCTGCCTGCTGGCCCTGCTGACGGTGGGGTTCCTCGTGGTCAAGCACGACGCCTCGGTGCTCCAAGAGGTACAAGCTGACGCCTCGGCGGTGGAAGAAGCCGAACGTGCCACTAGTGGTAATGTATCGCTAAACCCAGTAATTTGTAGTCCTGCATCTTAAGCAGAATAGGTAGGGGGGTTCAATAGTATAGGACATGATTCCAAATAATGTCTACAATTTGGTCTATGTCACGGCCAGAGGTTAGTGAAGGAACGCGCACGCGCCCATGGAGTCGAGGCTGGTGCGAATTGGTCAAAATGTGAGATTAAGTAAATGTACGGCGCCGCTATATATGCAGTCTCCGGAGATTGCGGTTCTAATTTCACTCAGTGTGCAGTGTGCTTGGTTTAACTTGAATGACGTCATACTTACCAACCGGATAGAATAATGGCTTTGTGAATGGCAAAAGAAGTGTGCACGTAAGAAAGTAAAGTTAGTGGCCAAATATCGGATATACCAATGTCTTACCAAGGATTCCGTCTCCCTTGTGAAGAGAATGGAGATCCTGAAAAAGAACCCATGCTGGGAAATGTCAGGAGAATGCTGAAAGCCTTGTACTAATATCATAAACCAAATCTTTGTTGTGTTAACTTTTTCTAAAATGTGCAGTGTCAGACAAGATAACGCAGCTGACCCAGGACATGGAGACATGTGCAAACAACGAAGACCTGGACTGCTTTATGGCGTTTTTTGACGATAATGTCCGAGCGATGCGGGGCGATCACCCAGTTCTGATTGGAAAAACAGGTAAGTTCTCCATCAGTTTTACGGCATTATAGGCTGGGTCGAGGCGTTCATCTATATAGTGTCAATGATGGTATCTGGCCGCTATAACTAGCCGCGCTAGGGCTAGGACAAGTGTTATTTAAAGTTAGTGGCAATACAAGTACAATGCAGAAACTCCTGCATATCACAGAGGAACAAAGATCTGTCCTAGTTGATGGCGCTCTGTGTAAGGGGCCTCATTGCCGAAAACCAAGACTCACTGTCTCCTCGGTAAAGACGACAACTAGTGGCATTATATTGTCAAGAAATCTGGGATGTAGTCAGAGCCCATCACAGGTCCATCGCAAGTCCGTTGCAAGTCTTCCAGTCCGAATTCAAACCACAAGCCTTTGACAAGTGAGCTTTGACGAAATAATGCATTCATCCTTTCTAATACTCAGTTCATCCATGCTATGTTACTGGACCTGTGATTTGGTGACTGGACTTGGTTCAGGGACGCTTCTAGATCCCAGCAAGCAATGTCCGTAAAATGTTTTATATTGAGATCTGTGCCCTTCGCCGACGTATTTTATAAACACTGTATATTCTCAGTGAGAAATTTCACAAGCTTACGTAGGTAGGACTCGAACCCACGACTTCCTAGTACAGACGTCTTACCACTCGACCACCGGGCTTGCCGGGGTCGAGGAACGGACAAACCGAATATAAAATCTACATCTGCCCGACGCAAATTTCATCTTATATAAAACCAAAAAATATGTGAAATGGGCCTGCCTCTGTATAATTATTTCAACAGAGGCCCGAAAACACATGACGTGGATACAGCATGATTTTGACGCGACCTTCGCTGCGAAGGAGATCATACCTACAGACGGGTCCTACGTTGTGGAGCGGATGGAAGTCATCATGAATTTCCCCAACGGAACTTCTATCTTTAACGGGAAGTGAGTGGGCTTTGACAAAGTAGAATTCACATTTTCAAAAAAATCAATTAAGAATGGGCCTTACCCACTGTCTTGAGCGAATAATGAGGTCGGTGTAACGATTCTTTTTTTGCGGGGAGGGGGCGGTATTAACAGACGTGATTCGCAGGTCAATGAAGTACCCGTACCCATTGATACACTGTAAAACCATAGAGCTACCGCCTTGCTAAAACCTAGTGTAACTTTTGAACACACTATAGGCTTTGCAGTGTACAGTTGAAACGTAACATCTCCAATGTTTACATTTAAAGATAATGTGCCCCTGCTCTACACAACTGATTTTTTTCCCCTGATGAATTGTCAACGTTTTGTTTTAACAATAAAAGTATCTTAATTTCAATTTTGGTTGTCTGCAACCCTATGAAAAAAAGAATTTTATTTTGAATACAAAATGAACCCGCCCTCCGAGAGCCGAATATATAATATTATTGTCTGACAGCCAATAATTCGAATTCTGTAAAGAAATAATTAAATAACTAAACGTCGGTGGATTTTTTGGTTCAATGACTCATTCAGAAAGTGAATAACATTTTTCTAGGACAAAAGCAACTTGAAAAAAAAAAAAAAAATTATTCGAGGTGAAACCCGAAAACAGTTCGGGAATCTCAACTTTAAATAAATATAGTTTATATAACTGCTTCAACAAACATGATTTTTTTTCTAGAGTTTAAAGCTAGAAAATGTTCGTTACAGCGCCCGCATTCGGTCAAAAACATGGCCTATTATACTTGGCCAAACAAATCTGTTTTTACGTTTGTCTGCTCGACCGGGATTATTTGTGTGTAAACACACCATTTTTTGTTAAAAAAAATCCCACGGCTGCAGTGATGGCGTGTTCACCCTTCAATATACACCCTTTGCATTCAGAAGTTAACTTGTAGGTTTTTCAACCTTTTTTTGGCAGGGGAGTGCTTGTTTGGAAGAAAGTCAACAGCGACTACAAGATCTACATAGACATCTTTAATGACAACTAACACGCGGCAAATTAAAACTGACGGCACGGAAAGAAACAGATTGAGCAACAATGGGAATTACTGAATAGTTTATGAATTACTAAATTTGAACACTGAAGGTGTATTAATACAACCAAGTACTACTGTCGTAATTTGAGTTTTAAGTAAATGGTGATGGGTCAAATATATGTAACCTGCTATATCACAATGAGGAATAACCCCTCTTTTGACTTTACAAGTTTTTTTAGTTGCGTACATCATTTTAAAGCGCAAATCATTGGCTTTCCAGTGATACCAAATTTATTGCTATAGCTTATTATTCTAAAGACATGCCGCAGGAACTTCAACGGTGTCCCGCCGAATTTTGCTAACCCCATTTCGAAAAAAACGGCTTTGAAAAAAAGAAATACGCCTTGCGCCAGCAACGGCAGTCGAAATCGTTGTTCAGTTTCCAACTTTTGGGAATATTTTTTCTCAACAAAAATACATAGTGTGAAACTCTGATACCTTGGCTACTCAAAAATAAGAAAACAACAATATTGATTTTGACATAATTTTTTTAGTGTACCCAACTTCAGGCGTTGACAACTCAAACATGGTTTTGGGGGACATTCCTCATTTCGCCACAGTAGGTCACATATTAAAGGTAGAGAAGTAAATGTTGTAGGCCCTAGTCCATTTGAAATTGAAAAGACCGATACAGTCAGCCCCGCCCACTGTGCGTGTGAGTGACAACACGTGCGCATACACGGGCGCGTACCACTGATTACAAGCGCCCATTGGCTTAGCACGCAATGGTTCCATTGAGTTATACTTAGAAATAACATTATGAATGGTTCCAATGCTACTCCGTGTACAGTGGGCGTGGTTTAAGTTCAAATGACGTCACACTTAGGAAGGGCCCAATTTCATGGCTCTGCTTTACTGTTGCGAAAAATGTCTGCTTTTATTTTACAAATGTAGCAGAAAATGTCGTGCTACGGTAAGCATATTTCACGGGTTACCGAGGAATCTTGGCTTGTGCGCAAGTGTACACCCCGTATCTAAGGATTCTGTGCTAACGGGATTTGGCACCAAATTTTCTGCTGGCGCGGTTAGCACAAAATGATGATCGTCAGCACGAAAAATCTTTGGTCCACAGAGCCATGAAATTGGGTCCCGGATATGCACCATTGTATGCTATTATAGGCTGCAGACCAGTAAATCGGTCCGAAATTTGCCTACGCCGGCCAAATCACGATTTGCATGCCCTCAAAATCTTCAGTATTTGAGCATGCTGTGGGCCATGAACTTGAGGGTTTGTAAAAAAATTGGGTGGAAGCCGTGCACAGGACTGGGAGCTTGCAGTTCTGTGTACTTTGGATGTAATTTGGACCCTAAAAGCGCTCTATTTTGCAATGGAGTGTAGGCATCGTTTTTCAAAATGGCGATGGACTTCAGGACTATTTTCAGGGGTGATCATCTTCAGATGGAAATTTCTCCTAAAAGTCATCAGTTGACCCCCCTAAAATTGAAAAGAAAATGAAAGATGATGAAATAAGCTTTAATTTGATGCGTGTCTCGAACACCTTGGAGAGTTGTGAGTATTTTTCCCGAATTTCTGAAGTGGGAGCATTTACCATTGGGGTCTATGGGAGTTTATTTACTGGTCTGCTACCTTATGCATCATTTACACATCGCATCCATTTTCGTCTCCAGCTTCCACGGCACCCAATACTTCTTCATGGACCCACTTATCTATCTTGCAACTAAAAAAAAACAGAACTAGCTCAGAACAAGTATAAAAAACACATGATTTTTGCCTGGGTTGGCGAGTCCATAATATTGTTCAAGACTATGCTCACGCGTGACCAGATGCAGCAAATCAAAATTGTCATTTCGCTCCGCCTTGAATTGAACTTCGAACTCGGCCAACAGTATACGATTGTTGACAGTTTTTGGTGAAGGGGTTAAAGTTTAAATATTACGACGTTTATGTAATTTTATCTTTAATTTATGGTTGAAGGGTTTCAAAAAATGGCTTTTAAACTGTGTTTGAAAAATGTAATTAGAATAAATGAAATTACCTGCATGAAAAATGGCGCCTCACTGCTTCATTGCACTATTATCATAATTTTGTTTAATAAGACTGACTTGCGATAGATAACAAGTGTTTTCTGAATTCATGCTAACGCTATTTTTGATTAAAAATATTCAAAAATCCCCTTTTTGTCAGTGAGAGAAAGGATATTAACCATTACACAATTTAAACATGAATGTACTGTCTGTCAGAAAGTGCAGGCATATTTCTTACACATCCATTATTATTCAGCTTATTAGAGTGACAGATGCCACAATTTGATGAATTCGAATCACAATTCCAGTAGGCCAAAAAAAAGTCTTCGGTTTCTGGTATGGAGTTGCCCCAAATGTGGTGCGGTGACGCGGCTTTTTGTTTTGTTTTGTTTTACTTTTTTTTCTTCATATGTCGGCTGATGACTGCATAATTATGGTGCCAAGACAGGCCACATAAAGCTTATACTCGATCGTAACCCCATCTAAAAACACGTTAAATTGTGCAGCAGCAGGATTCCAGTCGAACCAGTGAGCTTGGCGGTTTTGAGACATCATCTTACATTGAAAAAATAATAATAATAATTTTGCCGACGCGCATGGCTACGGCGACAAGCGCGCATACCAGAAACCGGAGACTTTTTTTTGGGGGGGGGGGCCTTATCGCCGCCCCCCAAAAAGTATTATTGATTATCGTGAACCAAAAGCAGCAGAAATTTGTTCAAATTCAACCCGAAATTACAAGATAACTAGTCCTCTGAAGGTTATTAAAAAAACCCGTTGAATTCATTATGAATTCAATTTTTTTTCCAATTAAGCAGTTGTAGATGTTATTGTGTGAGTATAAAGTGACAAAATAATTCAAATCTTAATTTGATGTTCTGCTCCCTTAGCAACGGAACCTTCCAAGCACAGGGCATATGGCAAATTTGTTGCTGATCTACGGAGGTAGTCCAGTATTTCAGCCACATTAATGGGGCTAGGCGGCGCCATGTTGGATAAACGACACAAATCTGCTTATGATGAAGTTCCAAACTAGTTTTACACAAAAATCAACCTAGCTATGTGTGGAATATATACAACAATAATATGAAGCCTGATAAGCTTGGATGATACCAAAATTATCTAAAACAAAACAAATCTCGCACCTGAAGGTCGGTTGGAACGGCCAGTCTAACACACGACAATGTTTGCCGCGTGGTGGCGCTGTAACCGCTCCAATAGATGGATGAGTGAGCGGGCCGCGATATCTTTTATTACACAACTATCTGGGGTATCTTGTGCGCTTTCCTATGGGGCATGGTTATCATAAACAGGCTGGAGTGGAGGCTACTGTTTTTCAACTTGGTACGGATTTCGGACTTTATTCCCTTTTTAAAAAAATCCTCCAGAGCCTCGGATCAGAAAAGAAAAAGAAAATTGCTGCTTTACAAGTAGTATCCGACTGAAAAATAACGTTTCTCATATAAAACTTTGACTTGTTGAAAAAAAGAGCAAAATCTGACATGGCAGGATTAGGATTCAATCTCGAGACCCCTGATCAATGATTAGCCTGCATAACCACTAAGCAACGGCGGTACTTGGCAAAATTCCGCAATTCCTTAATTATATACTTTCTCACATGTCGAGAGAGTATCCGGTTCGTTAGTGTGACGTCACCTCCAGCACTTTCTGCACGATTGGAACCGGAAGTTAACGCAGCTCGAGTGTTTGTAGCCAATGGGCGCTAGTAATCAGTGGTGCGCGTGCGTGTATGACGTTTTTACTAACGAACCGGATACGCGCGCGCGCGTAGGTAAAATGTTACAGGATTGTAGAGCGCCGCTAAGCGGCGCTCTACAATCCTATATAACCTTGATTCAAGTCGCCTAAAAAATGGTCACCCTGTACTATTGTGTAAAAAAATATTCGCGAGCGGGCCAGTGATGCCTTAACGATCCCACACAATATGTTTGACGTGTCTGCAGATTCCCCACAAAGAATGTTTCTAACCGTCTTAAAAGTGCACCTTAAAACACTTGCAGAACCCGTTCATCAGAAACAACATTAAACCACACGTTTGAAAATATTATTCAGTCAAGTAATGAAAAAACTCAATTGACATTTCTCAACATGACGCAATGCAGGCCAAAGTACTTTATTTTACCTTAATTAAAGCAAATCTTCTGGGTTTGATTATAAGCAATTACTACCCGGGGAAGGAGTCAGAACTGCTCTGACGAAAGGACCAACCGCACAGCCCAAAATCGCGCTAACGGCCGATCGATTGATTTCAAGCACCGGACAGCTCTTGGTCCACCTCTGCTGATTGTCATCATGTCTCCTGTTACCGCCTGCCTGCTGGCCCTGCTGACGGTGGGGTTCCTGGTGGTCAAGCAAGACGCCTCGGTGCTCCAAGAGGTAGAGGCTGACGCCTTGGCGGTGGAAGAAGCCGAACGTGCCACTAGTGGTAATGTATCGCTAAACCCAGTAATTTGTAGTCCTGCATCTTAAGCAGAATAGGTAGGGGGGGGGGGGGTTCAATAGTATAGCACATGATTCCAAACGATGTCTACAATAACTCTATGTCTATGTCACGGCCAGAGGTTAGTGAAGGAACGCGCACGCGCCCATGGAGTCGAGGCTGGTGCGAATTGGTCAAAATGCGAGATTAAGTAAATGTACGGCGCCGCTATACATGCAGTCTCCGGAGATAGCGGTGTAGCGTGACTATCCTACTCCATGAAATGTGGACTCATTGGTAGTACTGCGCACGCGTGAGTTCGATACTAAGCTATGTTTACGGTCGTTTCGGCAGAGTGACCTGTCACGTGCGAGGGATCAACCAATAATAGGGAAATAGGGGTCCGATTTTCATAGGAGTCGGATTTTCATGTGACAGCGGTTCTAATTTCACTCCGGGTGCAGTGGGCGTGGTTTAAATTGAATGACCTCATACTTACGAACCGGATACCGGAGAAACCGGAGAAACCGGAAACCAGAGACTCTTTTTTTGGGGGGGGGGGGGCCTTATCGCCGCCCCCAAAAAGTATTATTGATTATCGTGAACCAATAGCAGCAGAAATTCGTTCAAAAGTCAACCCGAAATTACAAGATAACTAGTCCTCTGAAGGTAATTAAAAAAAACACGTTGAATTCATTATGAATTAATTTTTTTTCCCTATTAAGCAGTTGTAGATGATGTTATTGTGTGAGTATAAAGTGACATAATAATTTCTAATCTTAATTTGATGTTCTGCTCCCCTAGCAACGGAACTTTCCACGCACAGGGCATATGGCAAATTTGTTGCTGATCTACGGAGGTAGTCCAGTATTTCAGCCACATTAATGGGGCTAGGCGGCGCGATGTTGGATAAACGACACAAGTCTGCTTATGATGAAGTTCCAAACTAGTTTTACACAAAAATCAACCTAGCTATGTGTTGAATATATACAACAATAATATGAAGCCTAATAAGTTTAGATGATACCAAAATCATCTAAAACAAAGAAAATCTCGTACCTGAAGGTCAGTTGGAACGGCCAGTCCAACACACGACAATGTTTGCCGTGTGGTGGCGCTGTAACCGCTCCAATAGATGGATGAGTGAGCGGGCCGGTGATGCCTTAACGATCCCACACAATATGTTTGACGTGTCTGCAGTTTTCCCACAAAGAATGTTTCTAACCGTCTTAAAAGTGCACCTTAAAACACTTGCAGAACCCGTTCATTAGAAACAACATTAAACCACACGTTTGGAAAAAAATATTCAGTCACGTAATGCAAAAACTCAACTAACATTTCTCAACATAATGCATGCAACGCAGGCCAAAGTACTTATTTTACCTTAATTAATGCAACATACGGTTCATAAAACCTGTCATCGCCCAGTCATGAATATTTCAAACTTACGTAGCCAGTTCCATCATTTTGGTATTTGACATCTTGCCAAAATGACTCACCCATTTGTGTGCAAGTTTGTTGACAAAACTTTAAATGGGATTGCTTTTTTTCCAAAATACATTGTATTTCATTAACTGTCGGGGGAAAAAGTTAATCGGTATTCTAAAACTAAAAATTAATCTTAAGAAATTAAACAAAATAGAATTGAAAGAACGCCAAAGTTTTGCAAAAAAGACCTTGTAATATACTTGAAATTTACGACTTTAGTCATGCGACTCTGAGTCATCAATGTGCACGTTCAGGGATTTACATAAGCGATTGCTACCAATGTCAGGAATCATAACTGCTCTGACGAAAGTTTCAGCCGCACAGCCCCAAATTACGCTAAGCACGATTGACTGACTTGGTTTCAAGCCGGACTTCGATCTCAACAGACAGCTTTTGGTCAACCTCTGCTCGTATTGTCATCATGTCCCCTGTTACTGCCTGTCTGCTGGCCCTGCTGACGGTGGGGTTCCTTGTGGTCAAGCAAGACGCCTCGGTGCTCCAAGAGGTAGAAGCTGACGCCTTGGCGGTGGAAGAAGCCGAACGTGGCACGAGTGGTAATGTATCGCTAAACCCAGTAATTGGTAGTCCTGCATCTTAAGCAGAATGTCGGGGGGGGGGGGGGGGGGGGAAGGGGGTTTCATAGTATAGCACATGATTCCACACAATGTCTACAAGCAGTGTCTGAAGAGCAAAATAGAATGGTGGACCCATTTTAAATCCTTTCTCTTTTCTGGGAGGGGATGGATTGCGAAATGTGGCAATTTCAAAATGTCAGGGGCTGGGTCTAATTTTTTGACGCATACCAGGGCACAGGAGAAACACTTTGGAATCAGACAATGTGATTGAAATCCCATTTGTATTTGAATGTGTGGGTGTAATCTGTAATTCTCACTCATCTCAGGATCAATAGCTTCCAATGGCATTCCATGGACAGCTATATGAAAATAGGTCTTAAACATGCTTAACTTCTGATAGCTTGGATCAATTTCAGTAATTCCTTTTTTAAGATGAGTGGAAGAACATGCTCTTCAGACATACTTCATTCCTGTATTAAATTCAATTGCTTTTAAGATTTTTTTGTATTAATCCCGGTTACTTTCTTTTTGACTCACCCTGTAATTATATAAAAATCAGCGTGTGATACCAATGTAATAATTTGTTTTCAACATCAGCTTTCATATCCTGGTGATGAATTTTGAGGTCCCCTTTTTCGGGACTCTGTCTCATATGTGTTCTCTTCGAAATGTGTTCTCTTCGAAATGTGTTCTTTTCGAAATGTAGGGCCTACATTAAATCATATAATATATAAAACCCAGGTTTAATAGGGTATCATCTTTGGGTTGAAAATTAAAGGCTCTCCAAATGATTCTTGAGCTGGGGTCATATGAAATTTGGACTCATGTGAAATCTGAGCTCTTTTACTTTACCATTAGTCCATGGGCCAAGACCCTAAATTCACCACCCAAGGTGGCAAAATCTAGTTGCTATTTTTTTTTATTGCTGTACATCTCTAGCTTATATCTTGATATGATTTTCAGCCTTTTCAATGTGGTAGCTTATTAGTGGTTATCACCCCTCGAATGTCCAGACCCCTTTTAACGTTAACCTATGGGTACCAATGGACTCCATGTTATACAACTATGTAATGCGTCAATAGACCAAAGACTGCACTACCTTGAAAGACTAATCAATATGATAATTAAGTTCAATTGTTATGGCGTTTTTCATAGTTGTCAATTTGATTTATATTCATGAACTTCATAATATGCACATTCATTACATTTGGAATATGTATTGCAGGGTGGTGAATTCATTAATATTCAAACGCTTTCGAATACGGCACAGATGAGTTTTGTGTTGTTGGCATTTACCTAACTGAGATAACTGCATCTCACAGCAAAAGTCATCAATTTTTTTACGCTCTGTACTATCAAACATATTTAAGTTAAAATCACCCGCAACAATTAATTCATAATTATTAGAAGCATACTGATCAATAACTTCATGCCTAAATTTGAGAAGATGATCCGGTCTTTTGTTTGGAAGGTAAGCAACAACTAGAACAATTGGCTTACTCTTCTTCAGATTTATTTCCACCCAGCAAGATTCGATGTCACAGTTTACTCAAGCCATGACACGATGAGAGATATGCTTAGAGATGTAACAGGCAACACCTCCATGGTTATCACCTATACGATCGGCACGAATCAATGTGTAGTTATCATTATAACACCTCACCCACATATTCTGTGTCTTGATTGGCCGAGAGCGAGTCACATGATACTTTCTATTTTTGCTATTTTTCTGTGCACGGCCAAAAGTACTATACCCGTAGCAACCAAAGTACTATACCATTTTATATTACCGACATACAGATCCTTGTCATTTGATTGGTGGAACTCACATCACGTGACATTTGTTATTGCTCCCATTCACGCCGCCGCTCAAAAAGTATTACTATACCTCATACATACTCATGATCGAGAGCCGAACGTTCACTGGTCAATTCACCATCACGTGCCAGATGTTATTCTTGCTGTTTACCAAACGCGCGCGCGAGGATTCACGCACATTGTAAATACGCATGCGTAGTAGACTGTCGCATGGGTTACCCTACGCATGCGCTTTACAGAGCAATCGAGGAACTGTCGCACGGGTGCAGTACGCAAGCGCGAACATCGCACAGGAGAGATGCATGGTTGCACGGTTCGCGTAAATGTTAATTTACAGAGCTCAATGATGCCGTACTGGAGAAATGTATAGACCGTGTAAAGATGTCTCCTGTACAAAAGAAAGTTGTACACATTGCAAACAACTGTATTTACAACTGTAGTAACTGTATTATATTGCAAACGAACCGAACTAGTAATTGAAGTTGAATCTTTTGGTGAGCTGTACAAGTTTCCCCAAATTTTGTTTTAGGTGCATAATAATAAAACAAAATTCGGCAACTGAATATGTATGAGGTATAGTAAAACAAATATAACATGGTTTATTTCGGGTGGACAGTCAATATTAGCTCCCCTCGGTATTGGAAGTTGACAAACTAGTTCCCTCGGCTTCGCCTCGGGAACTAGTTTGTCAACTTCCAATACCTCGGGGAGCGAATATCGACTGTCCACCCTCAAACCATGTTATTATACAAATAATGAATGTTTGTGAGTGCGATGGTAAGAATAATTTCATGAGGTGACAGATTGAATGTTCTATTCCACGAGGCGAAGCCGAGTGGAATAGAACATTCAATCTGTCACCGAATGAAATTATTCTTTCCATCGCACGAACGTAAAACATTCGTTATTTGTTTTATACAACACCTGAATACATTCTCGTCATTTGATTGGTAAATTATAAACTACAATTTATTTTGATTTTAAAGATGTTGAACTACCCCTTCACGAAAATGTTTGAACCCAACGCTGTAGCGCTGGCTCTTTGGAACAATACGCGCTACGCTGAACGCGCACACCAGCATGCATTTTGCACGCAAATACCGCGTCTTGGAACAAGCGCAAAGTGAAACGGTATAACGCATGGGTATAACGCATGGTTGCACCGTGCATTATACCGAATAATAATATGTCACGTGATCTACAATTCACCAATCAGATGACGGGGATTTATTCAGGTGTTGTATAATATACAAATAACGACTGTTTGTGAGTGCGATGGTAAGAATAATTTCATGAGGTGACAGATTGAATGTTCTATTCCACGAGGCGAAGCCGAGTGGAATAGAACATTCAATCTGTCACCGAATGAAATTATTCTTTCCATCGCACGAACGTAAAACATTCGTTATTTGTTTTATACAACACCTGAATAAATTCTCGTCATTTGATTGGTAAATTATAAACTACAATTTATTTTGATTTCAAAGATGTTGAACTACCCCTTCACGAAAATGTTTGAACCCAACGCTGTAGCGCTGGCTCTTTGGAACAAAACGCGCTACGCTGAACGCGCACACCAGCATGCATTTTGCACGCAAATACCGCGTCATGGAACAAGCGCAAAGTGAAACGGTATAACGCATGGGTATAACGCATGGTCGCACCGTGCATTATACTGAATAATAATATATCACGTGATCTACAATTCACCAATCAGATGACGGGGATTTATTCAGGTGTTGTATAAATTTGTATACTATCCGCCCATGGGGAATGGGAAATACTATTCAACAGTTAGGATCATGACGCGGTATTTGTGTGCAAATGCATGCTGGTGTGTGCGTTCAGCGTTGCGCGTAGCGCGTATTGTTCCAAAGAGCAAGCGCTACAGCGTTGGATTCAAACATTTTCGTGAAGGGGTGGTTTCAAAGAGAGAAATACATTTTCCTCCAGTTTTGTATTGAAATAAAAGTTCAAATATATCAAATGACAAGGATCTATATGTCAGTTATATAAAACAAATATTGAGTGGCTTTAAATTGTGAGATGGGAGGAATATTATCGCTCGGTAAAATCTGGACTTTTCCATTTCACTCGGCTTCGCCTCGTGAAATGGAAAAGTCCAGATTTTACCTTGCGATAATATTCCTCCCATTCCACGCTGAGCCACTCAATATTTGTATAAGCAACCAAAGTACTATTTCCACGGCGCGGTATTTGTGTGCAAATGCATGCTGGTGTGCGCGTTGCGCGTTGCGCGTTTTGTTCCAAAGCTAGAGAGCGCGCCGCACAGTTGGGTTCAAACATTTTGTGAAGGGGTAATTTGGAAGAGAGAAACACATTTTTCACCAATTTTGTATTGAAATTTAGGTTTATTTAAACTGTGTTCAGATTTAAATAATCTAAAATATTAAAACCAAGCAGAATCTGTGGGTGAAGTGTTATAAAACAAATATTGAATGATTTATCTCGTGGTGTAGTAAAACTAGCCTCCCGAGGTGATCCTTGGACATTCTATTTTCCCGAGGCGAAGCCGAGGGAAAATAGAATGCTCCATGGATCACCGAGGGAGGCTAGTTTTACTACACCACGAGATAAATCATTCAATATTTGTATAATATTAACTTCTGTATCATTAATACCACCATGAAGCCAAGTTTCACTCAAGGTGAGAATATGAATTTCATGTTCAGCCATGAGAAGACGCAACTGATCAATTTTAGGTCTTAGGATTTGTACATTTAAATGAGCAGTTTTTAAGCCCCTTACCTTTTTAAACTTGTCAAGGGAGGTAAAGGTATCATCATTATCAGCCAAGCAATTATTCGGGGTAGGACAGTTAATAACACCGTTTGTTGGCCTGTCTTTAATCGACTCAACAGAGTCCGTAATGTTGTTACTTATAAATTGTACTTGTGCGTGAATTTCACCCGATGTCTGCGCCATTCCTCCTCCTGTGACGGTAGTGGGGTGCGCTGCATGTGGGGTCCAAAATTTCGGCACTGAATTTGTTTGTTTGTTTTGTTTTTGTTTATGTCCAAGTTTTCATATATTTTTGCTTATAGGGTTCGAAATTAGCGGTAGCCCGGCTGGCGAGTCAAAAATGATTGGGATACGGCAAAGATGATATCAAACCTGTATCAATGTGTGTATAAAGGGTTAAATGATAAGATCTGTTAATTGAAAACACTGACAAAATTGCCTCAGAAAAGGTGAGAAATCAGCGAAGACCTACCTACATATATCTAGGCTGGATTGGATCACGTTAATATACAGTGAGTGTTATCAACGGTCATTTTTAATTTGTTTGTAAATGAAAATATATCCTCCAAGTTTGTTTACAAAAATGTTCCGCCAAAATATTTCATAACTTTTCATGCTTGAACGAGTTCCACGAGTTCCACGAGTCCACACGGAAGTTTTCGGACGTGAAAGGTCGATTTTTGACGCGATATTTCTCTTCACGTCATGCGACTTTTCAGTTTCCATTTAAATGCGAGACCGAGGGTCATTTTCTTAAGAACCAAATGTTCCAAAACTAATTTCAGAAACTCCGACTTTGTTTGTAATAAACAGAGTCTCAGAACTCCACTGCGAAAAAACAAACAAATAAATAAATAAATACATAAATAAATAATAGCGTTCGAGGGCGCAAGACGTGCATGCACACCGCTCCGGAGTTTTCGCTATTTTTTCCTTTTGCAATTTGTTTGTTTTGTTTTGTTAATGTTCAGGTTTTCATTGTTATTTTGCTGTATTTGTTACGGATATTTTGGGGTTTTTTTGTGAAGCTTTGTAAAGATAATGATGTTTGAAATAAAAGGAGTCTCAGAACTTCCCTGCCAAAAAAAAATATATATATATATATAAATAAATAAATAAAATAAATAAATAAATATATAAAATAAATAACATTTCAAATTAACCGTGGCAAGGCCTCAGTTTACTGTACTCAAAGGGCCTTGATGATCAGAACGTTGTATGAGACAGGTAGGGTGTAAGACACGGCAGGGCAATTTAGAGAACACCTCCCGGAGGTACGGCAGTCTAACGCTCGGACGGGCGCAGAAACGTTGCAAAATATGGAAAAATGAACCAAGCAAGTACCTGAACAGGACAGTGAAAATGTGAACCGTATCTATACATTCAGTTTCAAGTTCAATAAGTGTTATTCCATAATTCTGTTATTCTGTTTATTGCCTTCATTGCCCAGAGGCCCATTGTTGCCATTGTGTTGATAGCAAAAGGCCAATTCTGAACATTGTGTTGGCAGTGTTTTTGGGGCAGTCACGCAAAGAAAGGCCTGTATCCTTTTCATGCATAGCTGAAAATCAGTGAATTTTTTTCAGACTGTGGTCAATACCAAGACCGAATGTTGGCCGAAGTGAAACATTTGGTCATCTTTTCCGTTTTTGTGGGCGTCAAGAACGTATCCAAAGGGAATTTTAACTCGCCCTTTAGTGCATCATAATGATGTACTTCCTTAGTACATGGCAATAAAATTGTGTGCGTCAGTAAGAACGTAAAGTTCTATAGCCACGTGTTAAGAGGTGTGGTTCTGAAAAGAACTGCAGGTGTGAAACGTCAGGAGAATTCAGTCAGCCTTTTAATATTATTATTTCTTTAAAAAAAATATCGTTGTTGTGTTAACTTTGTTTGAAATGTGCAGTGTCAGACAAGATAACGCAGTTGACCCAGGGAATGGAGACGTGTGTAGACAACGAAGACATGAACTGTTTGTTGGCGTATTTAGACGATAATGTCCGAGTGATGCGGGAGCATCACCCAGTTCAGATTGGAAAAACTGGTAAGTTCTCCGTCACTTTTACGGCAATATAGCCTTGGTCAATGCGTTCTTCGGTATAGTGTCCGTGATAGTATCTAGCCGCTAACTAGCCGCGCTAGGACAAGTGTTATTTAAATTTAGTGGCAAAGTGCACGTACGCATATCATACATATCACAGAGGAACAAAGAGCTGTCCTCGATGAGGGCGCTCAATTCAAGGGGTCTATTGCCGAAAACCAAGACTCACTGTCTCCTCGGTATAAAAGATGACAGCTAGTGACATATTGTCAAGAAATCTGGGATGTAGTCAGAGCCCATCGCAAGTCCATCGCACGTCCATCGCAAGTCCATTACAAGTCCATCACCAATCGATCACAAGTCCATCGCAAGTCCATCACAACTCCATCACAAGTCCACCAGTCCGAATGCAAATCACAAGCTATACAAATGAGCTTGGACGATATTATGCACTCCTTTCTTACTGTTCTTACACTGTGACTGGACCTGAGATCTACTTGTGAAGTGGACCGTACATGGACGCATCTACATCTCAGCAAGAAATGTCTGTACAAGCTTTTATATTAGTTTTTTGCCCTTCGCAGACGTATTTTATAAACACTGTATATTCTCAGTGTTATCCGCGGACTTGCGAGAAAAAAAAGTCACAAGCTTACTCAGGTGGGACTCAAACCCACGACCTCCTGCTGACTAGTGCAGACGTCTTACCACTCGACCACCGAGCTTGCCGGGGTCGGCTTACGGCAAAACCCAATATGAAATCTACATATCCCCGATGCTAATTCCATCTTATAAAACAGAAAAATATGTGAAATGGGCCTGCCTCTGTATAATTATTTCAACAGAGGCCCGAAAACACATGAAGTGGATAGAGCATGATTTCGACGCGACCTTGGAAATAAAGGAGATCACACCTAGTACAGACGGATCCATCGTTGTGGAGCGGCTTAAAATTACCATGAAATTCCCCAACGGAACTTCTATCTTTAACGGGAAGTGAGTAGGCTTTGGCAATGTTGAATTCATATATTAAGAAATAAGTTAATAAATTTATACTGTCTTGAGCTAACACTGAGGTCGGGGTAACGAGAATTTTTTTTTTGGGGGGGGCGATATTAACACGTGATGCAAAGGTTATTGAAGTGCCCTTACATACACTGCAAAACCAACCGCCTTGCTCTGTGGTAAAACCCAGCGGAACTTTTGAACACCTTTTGAACAGAACCGGTCCCGAGGAGTTTACAATATCGGAAAGTTTTGTTTTCCTTAATGTCAAAGCTCAGAGATAAGCAGCTGCAAAACTTCAACCGACTGTCTGAGTTTTTGAGGGGGGCATGCATAGTGAATCGGACTCAAAATGAACCAAGCGAGCCTATTAACCTTTTGCGTCCCCACCTTACACATAAAAAAAATGCAAACAAGTGTTATTTTGTTCAGTTCAAAGTTGAACACAGAGTACAGGTTTTACAGAAAACAGTTGAAACATAACATTTGTACCATCTCTATTTTTTACATTTAAATATATATGCCCCGTCCTCTACGAAAATAGATTGTTTCCCCCCTAATGAATTTTCAAGGTGTTATCGAAAAAAATACTGTATTCCAATTTTTGATGTCTGCAACCCTCTGGAAAAAAATCATTTTGCACACAAAATGAACCTGCCCTACGAAAACTGAATTATTGCCTGGCGGCCAATAAAATTCTGTGAAGAAAAAAATAACAATAACTTAACGTCGGTAGATTTTTTTGGTTCAATTACACGTTTAGAAAATGACTAACATTTGACTAAGAAATTAGCAAATTGTAAAGAAAAACTAACTAAATTTCGAGGGCGTAACTCGAAAATTCAAAAGTGCATGGAGAATACATATTTAAGTAAATATTTCATCATAACTGCTTCAACAAACGGGATTCTTTTTTTTAAAGAGTTTGTGGGTGCACATCACCAGAACGCTGTAAATTACTGCCCGCGAGCTCATTAATATTTTGTGGTCCCACGGGTACTTTTGAATAAGAGGTCCTTGCGGCCTATAATTGGGATTGATTGAAGACAATAGACATCAAGTATGTGTGCCTTGTGGCTTCAAACTCGGGCGATTTTATTCGGAAGAAAAACTCAACTTGTGGATCTATTTCGCACACCTGGGCCCAGGGATTGGCAACCGTTGTAGGGGTAGGTTTTTGGGGAGGGAACGTGGCTACCTTTGGTAAAATTGAACTGAAAATTGTCCTAAATGTCGTAATCTTTAATTTCCAGAGAAAAAAAACACAAATTGCCAACTTGCTCCTGAGCGTCACAAGGCGGCGCTCTTTGTGTCCGATTTGGCGTTGTTTCCTATGAGCACGTATTTGGTGTGTAGGAACCTTGTACCTAGAAAATGTTCGATACAGCCCCCACAATTGGAGAAAAAATACGGCTTATTAGGCCAAAAAATATTCGGTCTCTGGTCAGACCAAAGTTCCGGAATTGACGCGGGGACGCGGCTTTTTTTTTTTGTTGCTTTTTTTTTTTTTCTTCAAGCTTGGATTGTACAGACAAGGTGGGGTACTATTTTGCTTTTTTGGTGTCCTCATGTACATTGGTGTCCTCCATAATTTGCCTTGGTGCTCTCGATCATTTGCCTTGGTGCAATTTCCCATTCCTTGGTGCTCTTTGGTGTAAAAAAAAATTGAGGAGGTGCGGCAATAGAGGGCGCTGTTGGAGCTACCGCGGAACATTTTGGAAAAAAAAAGATTGACGCGCATGATTAAAATCGACGCGCGCGCTGACCAGAGACCGACTTTTTTTTTTTTGGCCTTATAGTCCATACAAATTTGTTTGTACGTTCGTCGCTCTAAAGGGATTTCTTTTAAAACACATTTTGTTTTTCAAACACGCAAAAAGTCCCACTGCTGCAATGATGGCGTTTTTACCATCAAAATACACCCTTTGCATCCTGAATTCAACTTTGAGGTGTTTTGTTTTCAAACTTTTTTTTTTGGACAGGGGAGTGTTTGTTTGGAAGAAAGTCAACAACGACTACAAGGTCTACATCGACATATTCAATGACAACTAACACGCGTACGCTGTAAATGATGGCTCTAAACATGACGGCACGGAAAGACACGGATTGAACAAAAATTTAAATTACCGGATATTTATGAATTACTAAATTTGAACACTGAAGGTGTATTAATACAATCAAGTAACACTGTCGAAATTCGAATAAGGGGTGATGGGTCAAACATATTAAAGGTAAACCGTAAAGGAATAAATGTTGTAATAGTCTATTTGAACTTGAAGAGACCAAGCCATTAAGCCCCGCCCACTGCGCACGTGGGTGACAACTACTGCTGATCTCCATTACTAATGATGATCAATGGTGACAACACGTGCGCCTCTACAATGCGGCAGCTGGTTCGTATTTGACTGCGTTGTACACGCGCGCGCACGCGCGCACGCGCGCACCACTGATTATTAGCGCCCATTGGCTCGCAGAGGTTCCAACGCTACTCCTTGTGCAGTGGGCGTGGTTTAAAGGCCCATGGCTCTGCTTATTGTTAGCGAAAAAGGCCTGCTTACTGAGCGGAATTTCATGATTACGAAAGCATATTTAGGCCATCAGCCTGGGGGTTTGGCCGGTATCAAATCAGGGCATAAATGATTATAGTGCGCATGAGCAAGGTATACCGCCCCTAGAGTGGTAACAAGCATTTTAATTGACATTTTGAAAAAAAGGTGATAACACCCAAAAAGCTGCCACCGCTGCAATGCTATCACATATTTTCCAACTCTGGAGGTGTATACCTTGCCACAAATCGCTATGACGATTATTCCCCTCATTTGATACCGATGGCCAAAATGTTGGACCGAGGCTGATGGCCTAATTGCACGGTAAGCATTATTTTACAGGTTACCGAGAAAAAAATTGGCGTCTGCGCATGCATACATTATTTAAACACTATGATGATCATTCGAAGCCACAGGACGTTTGCGCATCGCGTAACATATCGTTACAAGGCCGCGTGATGCAGCCTATTTTGCTAACACAAATCACGACGTAAATGCATAATAGTCTAGGTTTTATTAGATAATATATAGACAACGGGTTAAACATGCTTTCGCACTAGGCATTTGTTAATTTAAATTTGAAGTTATCTCATAATTATCATAGAGGAAGAAAAATTAGGATGTTTATCAATTTTATTTCTAACTTAATTACTGCAGCTTGACTTGTTGAAGCGCCTCAATAATGTATTTGGTCTGAGTCCACTGGCGCATAACTTAAAAAAAAATGTGCGTCCATATAGGCTTCTTGTTAGATATTTTTAAACAAGCCCCAGAAATAGATAAAGGCTTTTTTTTAAACTCATTTACACATCGCATCCATTTTCGTCTCCAGCTTTTAAGGTCACCCAATACTTCTTTATATTATAACAACGAGGTGCCATGGACCCAATTACCTAGTTTTTGCAACCAAAAAAAAAAAAAAACCAGAACTAGCTCAGAACAAGTCCAAAACGTGATGTTTGGCTTGTTTGACGGTTCCATAATATTGTTACAGGGTGGCCCCAAAAAAACCGGAACGGCGTACTTCCGCTATATACCATGTGACTCAAACAATTAAATTATATCAATGCATACACAATTCTGCTTAAAGAAAAATCATACTATTGAAGATTGCGCGATTCCGGTCCGGTAGTTTTGTTCTAGAGCCGATCGTGCAACAAGGAGTCATTTTGTCCCGATGAATACGAAACCCTGCATATCCAAATTGGCACAGAGCCGTTAATTGTTATGTAATAATACTCACATTTGTGCTTAAAGAGATTCTCCATCTATTGATACAGGTGGTTTAAATCGCAAGGTAGTGGTATGCCGTCCTTTTTTGGGGAGGGGGGGGGGGCCTTCCTGTATATGCTCACACGTGACCAGAGGTAGCCAATCAAAAGAGTCAATTTTGTTTCTTAAACTTCGAACTCAGCCAACAATATACAATTATTGAAAGTTTTGGTGAAGGGGTTAAAGTTTGATTATTAAAAGTTTATGTAATTTTATCTTTAATTTATGGTTGAAGGATTTCAAAAATGGCTTTTAAACTGTGTTTGAACAATGTCATTAGAATAAATATATTACCCGCATGAAAAATGGCGCCTCGCTGCTTCATTGCATCATTTTATTTAACTGAAAGAGTTCAAGACTGGCTTCTTATAAATAACAACTGTTTTCTGAATTCATGCTCACGTAATTCTTTTTTCTTCTTCAAAAGAATCCCCTTTTGTCAAAGAATGGATATTGACAATTAAACAATTTAAACATGAATATATTTTTTCAGAAAGTGGGCATATTCTTACACACCCATTATTCAGCTTATTAGAGTGCCAAATGCCCCAATTGGATGAATTCGAATCACAATTCAATTATAAAAAAAATGCCGAAAAAAAACATCTTTGGGTTTCTCCTTTATTGTAAATAGGCCTGCCACCTCATCGTCAAAAGGACCTTGCGATTTTTATATAGGCCTAGCTGATCTGTATTTAACGTGTATGACTTATTATTCACGCGACTTGTGTCATCTTCGGGGTCGAACGTAAGCGATTGCTATCTGAGTGCACACCTGTAAATAGGCCTCAACCCATCCGCCAAGCTCATGAATAAAATTTATACCCTCAAACTATTCTATATTAGAGAGTTCTGAGAGCCATAAAATTGGGGGAATTGAAGAGATTTGGCAATGAACGTTCCTCTGGTCCGGACTTGGGGCTTCCAATTCTGAGCATTTTGGATGCAATTGGGCTCGAAAGTGGCGCTATTTGCCATGTTGTGGTGGGATCGTTTTTCAAGATGACTAGTTTTCCGCTTCGGGAAAAATAAGGGTCGTCTTCTTTGGGTGAGAATTTCTCGAAAAGTCAATGGTCAACCCGCCAAAAATTGAAAAGAAAATGAAAGATGACATGTTGATCATCATTTTTTCTGCGCAGCATAATTACCTGTGAGAGTTCTGAGTATTTTAAGAAGAATGTTGAAGTATGGGCATTTAGCACTAGAGTCCATGGGAATTTTTACACAGGGGTGCATCCATCTAGGCCACGAATCATAACTGCTCTGACGAAAGTTTCAGCCGCACATTCCCAAATCACGCTAAGCACGATTGACTGACTTGGTTTCAAGCCGGACTTCGATCTCAACCGACAGCTTTTGGTCAACCTCTGCCCGTATTGTCATCATGTCTCCTGTTACCGCCTGCCTGCTGGCCCTGCTGACGGTCGTTTCTGGTGATCAAGCACGACGCCTCGGTGCTCCAAGAGGTAGAAGCTGACGCCTTGGCGGTGGTGGTTGTATCAAATCAAAATTCTGTCTATTGATTGGTCGTGATGTTTGAAACAAGTCTATTCAATTTCGCGTGGAATAATGGCAATGTTTGTGTAATTTTGAGGAAAACCAAAAAATTGTCCCAATTTCTGTCTAGAAAAACCCCCACACATTTATACAGTAATGTAAAGTCACTTGTTAGGAGGGGGTATGAACCCCAAGTTGCGCCCCGCCGGACCCAACTTTGTTTGACGTGACTGCAATTTTCCAGCAAAGAAAGTTTCTAACCCTCATAAAAGTACAGCATGTTTTAACACTTGCAGAACCCGCTCATCAGAAACAACATTATACTGCACGATTGATAAAATTATTCAATCAAGCGATGCAAAATCAATTAATGTCTCTCAACATGACGCCACGAAGGCCACGGTACTTCATCAATTAATGCAGCATACGTTTCATAAAACCTGTCATTGCCCAGTCTTGAATATAAAAGTGTTTGCTTAATTGTTATTCATACACATGCCAGCATAAAATGGGTAGTAAAAGCAAATGCTATGTTTTATTCATACGAACATGGTATCATTTGTACTTTATGAACTTTGTTTATATTAATTTTTCGCGATTAACATTAATAAATGCAGTAATTTTTGCGCAGAATTATTTGCTTTATAATTGCAAGGTTGCCCCATTCCAGCCTTGTAAAATGACAAGTGCATATTTGAAATCTAAAGCATTTACTCCTTTTTATTCATACGAAATGAAGTAAACGATTAATTTTTTTTTATTCTGGTAAGGAAACCAAGGACTCCGCAAAAGTGCATGCCCCAGGCACTGTAGCTCGCAAACCTGAAGAAAAAAAACCAGTAGAGAGAAGACAATGAGAAGAAATTACAATTTAAGAGGTGGGAGGAAAACCCAAGAAGATTATTCTGGGAAAAACCCTCGAAATCAGGTAGGAACTGAAAACCCAATCCACAATCCGCATTGTGCGCATAAACGTCATTGCGTTCGTCACGTTTGGCGCGCATGTTTTTAATCTGTCCTCCAGCACGTGACCCTCCCGTAGATATGGAATATATTGTTGATATGAGCTCCGTGCGCTACCAAAAGAGGGCGCCCTTTTACCTAACAACGACGTCCCATGGGTGGGACCATTGACCATTGATCTCTGTGTATATGGAGATCAATGGGTGGGCGTTTCGCTGGTTGACGCGCACCGTTCCTTGTGCGTGACGCACGTACACCAGGGGATTTGTTCTATTTACACGCAGTCAGGCAAGATGGCGTCGGTCGGTCACCCCCAACCATTGATCTCCATATACATGGAGATCAATACCCCCAACTGTACTTCCTTTGCCGGTGAGGGGGTGCTTGTGAACGGAGCGGAGTATCCCTAACGTGGCGCGGCCCCCAACGTGGCGCACTTTGATTTTTCGCCTGTTGCGCCTAGCTAGAGCAAAAGTTTTAACTGAAATTTAGTTCTAAACACTCCCGTTCATAAATCGCGAGTTTATTTACCCGTTACTACAGAAGCCCGTTCGTGCCAGATTTTAAAAGTGAAAAAATATTTTTATTGCGAAATAACGCAATAGTTTTGCGAAATAACGCAACCATATGGCTGATTAAGTGGGCATATTTCTAACACATCCACTATTCCTTTTATATTATTCAGTACTAGTAGATCCCAAAATTTGATGAATCACAACTCAATTAAAAAAAAAACACACACACACGAATTCTTGTTTTACTATACTCCCGAGGACAATGCTTTATGTTTCCCTTTGTCCCTGTAATATAACACTCTCCCACAGACTAAGCACACAAACCTACTACAGAGGACCGTTTTGAAGGAAAGACCCAACTCCCGAGGACTGAAAGGATCTGTTGTTCTCCCTTTACGGTGTCTGTCCTCGGGGGTTATGTAGAACAAGTACACGTTTGTTTATATTGTAAATCGAGGATTTTCTTTTGTTCTTCTTCCCTTTTCCTTTGTTTGTACTATAACTTTTTGGCAACAGCTCTCATTGGTTTTGTACACCTTTTCTAATCGAGGTCGTCCTCGATTTTGTTCGTGTCCTCGATTCACCGATGATGTTGCACTCGTGCAGCGATTTACACCATAAACAAACGCTAGCACACACACTTTGGAGTTTCTCCTTGATTGTGAATACTACAGCATTAAATTTAAAATACAATTACAATTCAATTATCAAAAAAAAACAAAAAAAAACATGTGGCCCCCTAAAAATACCACTGGGTTTGTCCTTTATTTGAATACCACACCATTAAATTTAAAAAGTAATTAATGCATTACAATGAAAGACAATTACATTAACACGGTGGACTTAGTTTGTGCATTCAAAAGAGATATGACATATCTTTGCTACAATTCTTGTAGTCAAAATTAAAATCTTGAGACACTTTCTCTTGGAAATGTCCCCACATCCCATACACCAGTTCCATTTGACCAGTCTTGATAAAATAACCAAGCGCGTCTTTATCATTAAAAACCTGGTTTAAAGAGAAGAGAAGTCCATTTTTCCCGTGCGCTTTTTTCTTGCCAGCTTTCTGTGTTACTCTATCTCAACCACGAATGTCCTTTTCCGCAGCGAAGCTGGGGGAGCTATCTTGGTGATAATCACAAACACAAACTTGTCAACTTCAGACAAGAAACGATCTGGGCTGTACTCTGGGCCATCCGTGTCCTTGACCAGTGACAGATACCTGTTGGGAAGTTAGTTGAAGGAAGTTAAAAGGAGGAAGTTAAAGGAAGAGTATATGATAATATACAAAGATATGCAAATCACTGCAGTGCATATTTTATGCTGACCTTAGTCCCTGTGGATGATGAACCTTTATTTTTTATTAAAATGGCCAAGGAAATCTTTTTACTCACTTTTCATTCTTTGTGATTTCCTTGGAGAGGATGTCGTCCATAAGTTCCTTCTGAACTTCATCAAATTTCGTCACGCAGACGTCAAACATGTCTGCATCTTCCATATCCAGAACCACAGGCTTGCCATATCTAAGGAAAGATTGGGAAAAGGTTATACATTGTATATTTCATCAGTACACGTACACAAATACAGATACAGCATCCCCCCCCCAATTCTTTATACAGCGCCGCCCTCCACAAGGTCGGTCTGAACAACTATAGAGTATGTGTTTCGTTAACAGTTTGTCTCCGTAGCATACAAACCGTTTAAAAACCATTCGCTCCAAGTTGATGAGCCTGAAAGACAAGACTCCAGACCTCAAGAAACGTGGCTTTGTATATTATATACAGAATATCGTGTGATGGCTGCGAGGACACTTATATCGGTGGACCAGCTCGCACTCTGCTGGGCTGCTGCAGGGAACACACCAATAGGTCAGCTCCCCTAAAAGCAGTTGGTGAACATACCAGCCCAGGACACAACATCTCTGTGGGCAATGAATAAGACAGGGAGGACGACCTCTGGAAATGCAAATTCATTGAGGCAGTAGAAATCCGCAGGCACCGCCCCCCCCCCCCCCCCATATGAACAGAGATGGAGGATACGAGCTGGTCCACGTGTACGACCGACCCCGGTCGTGTGACCAAGCATTGTCACGTGACAGTTCACGTGAGGGCCTTAATGCTAGTTGAAAAAAGACACCGTGAAGGTGTCACAACGCAAGCTCCTGATGCGAGCTCTGTATTCCAGTCCCATGAAAGGGACCTTTCCATTTACTTAATTAACAGTAGCAACTGCTGGGACTGGAGGTGTAATAAAAAAGAGACAATGAGGATTCCATTTATAGATATCATTCAACAACCAATTCAACATAGTACAAACATCCTCAACTGCATTCAAGAACTCATTTTTTTCCAAGGACAATAAAATTATGGAATGACCTGCCCCAACACATCACTGACTCTTTGACGCACAAGACCTTTAGGGACAACTACTACAACCACATCATGACCGAGACCTAGGTGCCGACACCTCCCCGTGACCTCCTAGTCAAGATCCCTGGAGGATGTTTCAGGAGGAAACCAACCAAGTACCAAGTAAGTAAGTATAAGTATCTACCTTAGGCCTCCTAACACAGCCAGCCGTATGGTGTTTGACACAAGGTCGTTTGGGGTCTTGGCATTCAGCATGTTGGTGTTGCGATACTTCAGGAAGGTGGCCGAGTTGCCTGTTGGGTCCAACACCAGGGGCCATCTGTTCAGAAAAACAAATGCAAACTGTTAAACAAAATCCAGAGAAAAATCACGTTACCCAGTCTCGAGTGAAAAGCTGTTCAAAGCGGAACTGTGATAATTTTATTCTTCTGCCAATTTCACTACCTGTTCTTGTGATTGAAAATTCAGTATCACGTTTTTGCCCTTCACCGACGTATTTTATATAAACACTGTATACACTCGGTGTTTCCCAGAGTGATTGTGGGACTCGCAAGCCCACTACCTCTTGCTACCAGCGCAGACGTACTACTCGACCATCGCTCATATATAGCAGCGGCTACCGCAGTGAAACTATTCATAAGATGTAATTTGCATCGGGTGAGGTAACTTCAATATTGGGTTTATTCCTTCACCGACTTGAAAATGTTACGTCGGTGAAGGGCAACACTCAAGATTGATTTTACATCGCCCCGGCGCAGATTCCATCTACTTGTGATTTACTTTCGTTTTACTTGTGATTGACGTGTGAGTATTGACTTTTGATTTCGTGTGTTACAGATTTGTGATATCAGACTTGTGGTGGACGTGTGATTTGATGTTTGATTTTGAATTGTGATTTAACTTGTAATGGATCTGTGATAGATTTGCGATTTGAAATTCAATTAACTTGAAACACCACATAATCAAGTGAGAACTAGAAAACTGCGTTTGGATATTCGGGGGTTGAGGTTGTAGTTGGCAGTTGACAGGGTGCTGGAGTGGGTACCTCCAGCCTGGCACTTTAACTCCCTCCCCCTCCCCTGTTTTATCATGACATTCTTTCTTGTCTGATTCACGATTTGGCGGTTTTTATTTTAGTAGGATTAGGGTTAGGGTTAGCGCTAAAGGACCAAAAATGCTGCCCTCTGTTGGTTGTGTGTAAACGACTTGAAAATGTTATTCAGTGGTGAGAGGTTGCCTGATTGTTAAAGGCCCTTTGATCCCTACATTATTCCCAAAAATCCTACCTTCCAGATTTTTTGTAGCTGGCTTCCTCACCCAGAAGTTCATTGGTGAGCTCGCCTAGTTTGATTGTCACTCCAAGATCGACGGGCTCCTTGACTGCCTCCTCTGTGCAAAAGAAAGATAACATGAATGCATCCGACATAGGTCCTGGTTTAATTATTTCTTTGCAAGATTTTCGTTTTTTCAAATTTTCAAATTTATTTTCAAATTTCACAACTCCCCCTCTCCAAACAGATTGTTTTTTGAATTGTCACTTTCCTATAGCAAAACAAAAGGTTGTGGGTTCGAGTCCCACCTGAGTAGTTTGTGCATTTTATCACAATCACATAGCACGACACTGAGTATACAGTTTTATGACAAGAAATACTTCAATGAAGAGTGAAACCTAATATTGAACACAAATCAACTTTGAGTGAGACATCAAATATAAAAAAACAAAGCAAATAGGCCCAGATATGGCCAAAAAAAAAAGTCTCCGGTTTCTGGTATGGAGCTTGCCCAAAAAGTGGTACGGCGACGCGGCTTTCTTTTTTTTTTACCTGATTTTTTTGCTTCAAATGTCGGCTGATGACTGCAAATGGTGCCCGACTAAATTTAGTGCAAATATATGGGAGTCCAGAGAGGCCACATAAAGCTTATTCTCGACCATAACCCAATCTAAAACCACGTTAAAATTGTGCAGCAGCAGGATTCCAGTCAAACCAGTGAGTTTGGCGGTTTTGAGACATCATCTTTCATTGAAAAAAAAAACTGTTTCATTTTGCCGACGCGCATGGCTACGGCGACGCGCGCGCATACCAGAAACCGGAGACTTTTTTTTTTGGCCTATGGGAGAATTACTCCACATTTTTCGAATTATGTGCAGCCCTAGAATAATTCAGTTCTCAGGCACTAAAATGTCTTCCTAATGTAAAGTAAGTTACTGGAACTTGTCTCTCTAAGGTACCACTTATTAATCATAATCTTCCCAAAAACAAATCCTCCAAAATCCTCTTTGCATAATGGATGATTTCGCAGGATTGAGCCTGTACGGCAAAAGTGTGTGGCTGATTTTGGAGGATGCACTATGTAAAGTTCTTGGCCCGGACCTTGTGTTAAATTGTTATGCTCAGCCGTGCATAAACTTAGGCCTATAGATTTTACTTCAAATCCTCCGCACTGCTCTAGGACGTACGGGTTCTGCATTAACATGATAGACAGTGATTGCTGGAGGATTTCGCAGGATTGAGGGAGAGGTCACCCTCCAAGAACCATATTCAAGACATAATAACAGAGGATTTTGCAGGATTGAGGCTGTGTGCCAGTTTTACATGCAGGCAGTTGGAGGATTTTGCAGGATTGACGTTGCATCCTAGAAAAAATGCCGAGGGAGCAAGGGTTTCAAAATAATAGTAAACATATACTAAAACACGACTCACCTTTTTTAGCTGTCGCTGGGTCCTTTATAGTCGCATTTGTTTTAGTTGCAGTTGTTTTAGTTGCCGGTTTATTTGAAGGTTGCTTACTTGCTGCTGCTTTTTTTGTTGCTGGCTTAGTTGATGCCGACTTATTCGCTGCTAGTTTCTTAGGAGGCATTTTGAAGTCTGTTCCGTCTTTGATTCAAAGACTAATCTGAATGATGACTCCTTATACAAAATGTTTCTGCTTTATAAGAAGAACAGGAAACACAGAGAACTTTTAAAATATCTTGAAGGGTAATATATTAATATCCTTTAAATATTATTGTATCCTTTTAACATGGCTATGCTTTAAATATTCTTTGCGCAGGAAAATTTTGGGGGATTGATTGAAAACCTCATTATCTGCAGTAAAAATACATTCTTTTCAGCAAGTCACCAAACAAGGTTTTTTTTAAATCCAAACTTTTCATTGAACGGCATTTGTGCATGCTTAGTTATATAAAACTGATATATTACATTGGAATTTATGTTAAATACATACAAAAAACAACAACAAAAGTCACTTTTACCTTTTATGTGAGAGCTAGGTAACCAAGAGAGAATACCAGTAGCTTTGGCCAGTCAGAATTGTGAGTTGACGCTACGACAAGCTGCATGGCTGCATGATGCCCAGTCCTTAAAACATAATGTTAAAAGTAAACACAAAGTAATTTAAGATGGCTATTTGCACAGTTCTAACAAAAGATCTGCATGCACTGCACTGGCCCAAAGCTGTCCACACAATGAATACGTAACAAACAGAAAATCAATAGGCCTATCTGAAATGTACTACTACTACTGCTACTGGCCGGGGTCTAGTACTTAGAAGTAGTACTATAGACTGTACATTTCAGTAAGTACACTAGCCTTCGTAGAGCTACAAGTAAGTAAACAACATGGCATTGTCAATGATTACGGGTCTGGTAGCACACATTATCATTAGGGCAGGCAAAAGGTTAAGCAAATTAGCAGCCTGTGTTGAAATGGTGAAATAAAGTACAGCATCATGGACACTGCATTCTTTCCATGATTTGTCCGATGATCAATCCCCCCCCCCCCCACCATTCGCTAACTTGTTTCCCCCGCCACGCCCATCCGCTCAGACCGTACCATACTTGTGGGGTGATGTTCCTTTCAGAACACATCACCCCACTATTTTAACAAACATCACCCCAGAGAAGGGGATCTTTTGAAAAAGGGATAAAAGGAACACAATGCTTTCACCCCACAACTCCGTCTGGCTGGGATGTCCGTCCGGCTCATTGTGTCCATCACTGTCCATGGCAACCTGGCAACCAGGCACCAGTAACGACGGTCCCCATGCACATTTATGAATTAGCCCGGCGAGGCTGGCGATGGCGGCCACTGCTCTAGATGCACTATAGGCAGTAATTTTTTCCTATGTGTTTCCCAACTAAATACAAACAACATTATTGTTGATTATGAAGGCCTTGGAAAGAACTTAAAGGAAAAACGGCAGTTACCTGGTCCACAAAACTGGGTCTCCTGTCCTGATCTTCGCTCGCACCCCCGCCCTGCAAACAGGACGCTGGGGTACTCTGATGAGCTTTACAGAATCTTGTGAAGGAAGTGGCCTATAGCTCTATGCCTATGACCTATATATAAAGCATCTGGCAGCAGTTGTTCAAGACCGCAGTTAGACAATGTGCGCAAATGCTAAATGTTTCATTGCGGACCATGTGGACAAACATTTTGAGCGTCGCATAATGCAATCCGACCGTTCGTGATTCGGAACGGAGCGAGTGAGTGACGGGAATTGTAAATTTACAACACAGATAAGTTTTACAGAATTTCCTACATTATAACGCTTCTCAACGAGAAAAAAAATCTCTAAACTGGAATAAAAGAGTAATGAGTCAGTCTTAACGGCCGTTTCAAACCTTGCAGACGTTTCAAACCTTGATGACGCGCAGGTCACTGGTCACGCAAAATCCAACCAATCAGAGCGTGAATTCATCAGAGTATCCCAGCGTCCTGTTTGCAGGGCGGGGGGTACGAGCGAAGTCCTGATCACGTATATAGTACGGCAGCCCAGAGCATTTTGGTCAAACGAACAAGGTACCAATATCCGAGCACAGAAACATTTCGGAGGGGTAGGGGGCCGGGGAGGGGGTACCGGGTACGAGCGAAGCGCTACACACAAAATAAAGATAAGCATGCATCATAAACAGCGCCCCTAGTGTATTGGGCTGTCTTAGTTAATTTTGTTTTCGTCTACGTTTTTATGGTTTTTTTAATTAAGGATGAGAACGTACAGTTGACATTATTTTCTCATGAAAATACAGGCTGAAGATGGACTGTTGGGGACAGCGATGAACGTTGATTGCCACTGGTGGTCCGCTGGCGGTTTTGGAGCGGTAGACCGCCGGTGGTATACCGCTGACTGCCTCTAATGGTCCGCTGGCGATTTTAGAGCGGTAGACCGCCGGTGGTATGCCGCTGATTGCCGCTGTTGGTCCGCCGGCGGTTTTGGAGCGGCAGGCCACTGGCCCTGAGGCATGCCACTGGCCTACCACTGGCGGACCGCTAATGGTTTGGGTCGGCGTGCCGATGCCGACAAGCCGCTCCCCAGCCACCGGTGGTCCGACGTTGGCTTGCGGATTGGGGACTCCCACGGTTTTCACCCATAATATATTTATAATTATTATAACAATAACACGGTCCGCCTGTCTGCATCAATCGGATACAAACATCTGACGGGCCTGGACCCCCCCCCCCAAACATTCCTGGATCCGCCCCTGAACGCACCTGATTCCTTTAAAAAAAAATAGCCTAATGGTGTTCCGACTGTTGCGTAACGATGAGTATGTTTAGCACACGCGTATAAGCCTACGATTAACGGGGTAGCCGTATGGAATTTTCCAAACAAATGACAACAGTTTGCTCATTATTGGCCGAAATGTCGACTTATTTTCGTCCATGGAGCCAAAACAGATGCACACAGCAATGTTCCACGTTTCTCTGCCTATTAAGACAAATAGTTTTTGACAAGAACTCTAAGGAAGCGGAATGGCCTAGTGGTAAGATTCGTCGCCACGAATCGCGGAGCCCGGGTTCGAATCCCGTCGGTGTCTTTTGTTGCTTTTCAAACCACGCATTCTGTCTTTATAAGATGTTTTATTTCCCGTCGTAAAATACCAACAGTACCTTAGCTTAATCGGTAAGCACTGCTGCTGGTACTGTCCGTGAGTTCCAGGTTGGCGCCTTCGTACAGGTTCAGGGCATGTGGTCCACTCGGGGGATCAGGGCTTATGGTGCCGCCCTGTTCCTCCCTTAGCTCTTTGCTTTTACATGGTGCCTGGCCCTCCGGGGTTATATGGATGGATAGGGAAGGAAGTGTGTATTGGTCGGGAACGCCGAGGACCCGGAAGAGCCCTAAGGGATTGGCTGGGGCATTGTTATGGCTCAGACCGATCCCTGAATGCTTGGCTAGCACATAACTTTTCGATTTTTTTTATCCTCTTTATTTTATTAAACTAAATTTGGTTTAGTTTGATATGTACATCTATACGGTGATATTAAAAACGAGACAAAGGTCCATATCAAAAATCAATGAATATTTGATAATTGACTATAATCAAAATTAAGTTTCTTTCGATCAATATGACTGCCATTATTAATGGCGTAATTTGCAATTGACGTAAGAAACGCCATATACATGTACAATATTATACGGGAACAAATAAAGATGTGATGTTATATATCAATACTATATAAAAGAATAGTATACAAAATACCCCCTAACCAAGCTGCCTCTGTCCTGTCCGTATTTTGTGCACAGTCGGACGTCACGATACCAGTATGTTTTTTGGGGTGTCGGAGAGATAGGGGGGGGGGGGGGGATTGCGTTATTTCTTAAAGCAATTTCTATGCACAATCTTTTTGACAGAGCTGGGGGTGGGGGTGGTGTGACCCCCGAACACCCTGGATCCGCGCCTGGGCGACTCTTGTACAGTGCTAGTGTGAATTCGATAGTATATGCCGGCGCAAAGTCAGATCATACGTCAGGTCAAAAAAAGTCTTTCCAAAGAGAGTGCGCCGCAGACTTGGGTTCAAACATTTCGTGAAGGGGTAGTTTTTAAGAGAGAAATACATTTTCCACCAATTTTGTATTGAAATTGAAGTTTATTTCAACTGTGTTCAGATTTAAATAATGTAAAATATTAAAATCAAGCAGAATCTGTGGGTGAAGTGTTATAAAACAAATATTGAATGCTTTATCTCGTGGTGAAGTATAACTAGCCTCCCTCGGTGATCCATGGACCATTCTATTTTCCCTCGGCTTCGCCTCGGGAAAATAGAATGGTCCATGGATCACCTCGGGAGGCTAGTTTTACTACACCACTCGAAGCATTCAATATTTGTATACTAGAGACCTTTCTCAGGGTACGCCATCTTGAAAATCAAAGCGAGGCATATAACGCGCACAAACATGGATAGCATGTAGCGTAGTATGTGCGGTGACGTGACGTGAACGAGAGACTCTCGCATACGCGCACACTATTTACGCGCCGCCATGTTTGTTTGCGTTATATGCCTCGCTTTGATTTTCAAGATGGCGTACCCCGAGAAAGGTATATTGTACAAAAAAAAGTAAAGTTCGTCTTTGAGAGAACATTGCTGCAAATGCGATGAATTTAAAACTTCTTGTTAAAAACTCCAAGCTTTCGATCGGAGTTGCAATTGAACAGTATCGTTTACACCATAGTTTATTTGTTCAGTAAACGGGAAAACCATTAATCGAGAAATTCCCTGCACAATAAACAGGACAATATAATAAAAACAATTAACAAACAAAAATGTGCATGATTCCAAGAGTCCTAACAGATTTCATTGTAGGAGTCAAAATTTGATGGATCTTCCCCCCCTCTCCCAGTCGGCCTACTTTCGAGGAACGGCGCAAATTTCGAAGGGCAGGGGAGAGAGGGTGATCCCTGGCACGCCCTGGAAGGAGATGGGCGGGGCCTGGGCTGGTTTCCTGAAGGTGAACCGGTGGATCAGACGAGTGAAGAAGACAAAGAGCTCCGTCCGGGACATTGTCTCGGCGATGCACATGCGCGGACCTGCGGGATTAAGAGCAAAACTCGCCATTGGTTCACTAGGCCATATTCTGAACGAAGGAAGGCGTCGTAACGCCCACTTTTTGTTTTGTCACACAAGAGACAATCGGAAGATGGCGAATTTGCGAGGTAATAGTCACGAACCAAAGATATTCGCATAACTTACTGTTGGCTATTATATACTTTGCAATAATTACGCATGCGCCTATGGAAGAGCTCCTTCCAACGATGTGTTATCACACCGATCCAGTAAGCCCCGCCCACTGCGCACGTGCTGCTCTCCAATGTCACACTGTATGGTCCAGCCGGCGCGCGCGCGTCATACGCGCGTACATGTCGGGCATAAATCACGGCTGTGATTGGATAGAACACCATGGGGCGGGGCTTAATGGATCGGTTTCAGAATATCGTGGTGCACATGTGGATTGGCAAGCGGCATGCTTGCACGGGCATCGGCGTCATCAGAAGTTTGAGAACCGTCACATATTGAGCAAGTTCGACTAATTACCATTGGTCGACTAATAGTAGCGACGGAACGTACGCCTGCGCACTAAAATAGGCTATATCCGATGGTGAAAACATGAACAATGAAAAGATCTTGATTATCCCTCGGGCTCCCTAATATGCACAGTTAGCTATTGTAACCAGCGATACGCCTGATTTTGCTAGGCTTGTTCCGTATACATGTATATTTTGTAATCGGTTCAACTCGTAGAATTATAGCCACTGGTGTTAGTTTGAGGGAAGATATGAAAAATGGTTTACAATACCTATCGCTCCAACTTGTTCTTTGTTTACATTCGCCTTTTTATCAAACGTCCTTACCTGTGGAGAAAGGTATCATGTCGTTCTTCTGCTGGGTTAGCTGCCCGGCTTCGTCTAGGAACCTCTCCGGCTTGAACTTCTCCGGCTCTGGGAAGGTCTTGTCATCAAAGCCGAGCATGCCAATATTGGCGAACACGATGCTGCCCTTCGGAATGCGGTACCCGCCAATGGTGGTATCTGCGGAGGCCTGGTGGGGCGCCCCAAGGGGAACCACGTTACCCAGGCGGAGTATCTCGAGCATGGTTGCCTCCGTGTAGGGAAGCTGACTTCGGTCGGACATGTTGGGGAATCGGTCTCTGCCCACCACACGATCGATCTCATCCTGAATCTACCCATGGTGTGTCAAGAAGCAAAACAAACCGTAAAACGGGAGAAGTAATAGGAAACATTTATCAATAGAGCCCCTTTGCTTTGAAATGAACCAGATTTGTATGTGTCACAATGGTTTTTCCTCTATGTATCAGATTTTCTTTCAGGCATAGAATGAGAGCATCACCGACTGCCTGTTGGCCCCTTATAGCATTCACAGCCATTGCTGTCATTGTTGATTAACAATGAAATAGTTTAATTATAAAAGAACAAATATTACGTGCCGACGGTGCCCTCTCGTATTAATGTCAATAATTCCTCGAATATTCCTCTTGAAGTCTAATCAAAAAGAGACAGTCCAAGTTTGGCCAGCTCTAGATCTAGTGTCTCTTTGATGAAGAGTACATGCAGATTTTAGATAGGTCTACGTACCCTTTGTTGTATTTCCGGATACGCCATCATGTAAAGCATTCCCCATCGAACCGTTGTCGACGTGGCCTCCGTTCCAGCCATGAAGAGATCCCCTACCGTGGCGCACAGGTCGTTCAGATTCACCTTGGACTTCTTTTCCGCAGACGACTCCGTCTCCCGTAAGTACACGTCGATGAAGTCCCGTGGGTGCTCCGGATCGAAGCTTTTCCTGTGCTCTTCCGCGACACTCCGGGTGAAGTCGTAGATGAGCTTGAAGTTTTCCCCGGTCTCCCTGACCGGAGGCAAGAACCTGCCGTACCACTGGGAGCCAGGCATCACCTGCAGGGCCCCCGTGACTCCCCCGATCAGCTGGATGTTGCGGTAGATCGCCCCCAGTAGCCGCTTGAATTGCGGATCGGCGTAGTCGTAGCGCTGACCGAAGACCGCCTGACAGATGACGTTGGAGACGGCATTGGCCATCAGGACGTAGGGGCTGAACGGCTGGCCTTCGTGCTTGGCCACCTCAGCCACAAGGTGGTCAGCTTCTACGGAAACCCGGTCTTCAAATTCCGTCTTGTTTAAGCCGAAAGTCTTCATGAAGGTCATTGCGATCCTCCGCTGAATCTTCCACACTTCTCCGGACGAAAATGCTATTCCTGTATTAAACACGTGTACTTTTGTTTAACCTTATGCCGATCACAATGTTATAACCAACAGAAGGAAAACCAAATGTTGTGATAACATAATTTAATATGTCAAGACAAAGCAATCAAAATTTGCATTGTTATCCAGACATTGCAAATTCGATTTATATTGTTGCGTTCCCTAATATTTATAGTTAACTTCATATCAGAGTCAACAATTGTTATAATGAAGTTGGCAGAAAACAGGGTTTGTGGCGAGTGTTACACAATTACATAGTACATGTACATAGTTTATTTTTTAATCTCTTCACTTCATGAGTAGGGAGCTGGAGGGAGGAGCTGGAACCAATGGGGGCGCTGTTCATAACCGAATTAATGTTCATCGTCATACAATAGGTTTTGCTCGTTCCACAGGACGTTAAAATAAACAGGCAATCACCAAAAAATAAATTTAAATGTGCAAAAAAGGCACTTTGTGTTAAGCCCGATAATCACTGTTTCGTGATTTTCCACAATTGCCACATTTCCAGTAGGGGCAACTTGGGAGGGGGGGGGGCGGTATTTTTCGGGTTGGGCGCACGCTACGCCGCTGGGCGCTGGGCACTGTGCATGCCCCGTTGGATAAATTAATGTTCACGACAGGTTATGCTAGCTTTCAAGGATCCTGGTTTGCAACAACGATAATCACATTTTCAACAGTGAACAAACGATTTCGCCATTCCCCAAATCCTTTCGCAACATGCAATAAATTGTCAGTGGCTCAACCTTGATTTCGGGTAAGGTTAAGGGTTAGTTTTTGACCCAACGCTGGAGACATTAATGATCCAAACTCATAAATCTAATAACACAAACGAAATCTGTTACTTCGCTTGCCTCCTGTTTTTCTACTCATGCGGCGCCAGACTTACTGTCGGTGACAGCTTGCAAACTCACAATTCGATGATTATATTCACAGCTGGTAATACGTACATGCAATCTCCGAAAATGTAAGACATTTGTGTGGACTTTCTGTGACGCCAATAATGGAATTAAATACATTTTCCACATGTTGGCCATGTCCACAAAAAAGTGCACCTTTAATGAAATACCTGTTGTGACATTTTGCCCGAGACAGCATTTTGTCTTGCCGTTAACACTGTGTTTGTTCCTACCTGAACCATCCAAAACATGCTTCAGTATCTTGACCGGCGGCCGATCGCAAATGTGTCTGTTGTGGAAAGCTTCTTGTATCGTATCGGCGCCGTGAATGACGACGAGATTCATCAAGAAAAGATCCACGATGTAGACAGGACCGTACTTCTGAGCAAAACTGAAAGTTACAACATACAACGTTGGTTATGGGCCTATGATTATACAGGGTGGATAAAAAAAAACACACCCGAAACTGAGATATTGGAACAGAAGCAGGGCACATGTATATCAAAGGGAGATATCCTGTGTTAGGGTTGAATCTCCTCTTTACAATGACACCCTGATCGTGTCCTTATACATTCACGGTTGACTGCATGAGCAGTGACCAATTTTATGCAAGGTCTAGATAGAGGCTTGCGCCACTTCTTATGGTGAAATCACTTTTTTCCCCACCTGCCTTGATTGGTAACCATAGCCTTTCACTCTGTGACAAATGACACTACAAAAAACACATTTGAAAAGTGGCGCAAGCCTCTACATAGATCCTTTCATAAAATTGATCACTGCTCAGTCAACTGTGAATGTAATAACATGATCAGGGTGTCATTTTAAAGAGGAGATTCAACCCCAGCAGAGGATATCTCCCTTTGATTCACATGTGCCCTTCTTCTGTTCCAATTAGCAATAATATCTCGGTTTCGTCTTTTTTTTTGATCCACCCTGTATATTGGAGGGCTGTAAACAGGGTGTGCTTATAATATAGCACATACCAGTGGGAGGGGGTGGGGTGGGTGGCCCCCAGAAAATTTCGAAATCTACGATGCTCTCTTCTGATTCTAAGGCAATTTGAAAATATAGTAAGAAACTTTAGCATTACATTTATTAATCTTGGTCCCACTTTAGTATATCATTTTAGTCAGCGACTGAACAGGGGGTGGTTGCAACATATCCCTCCCAGTGGCGGTTCTACGGGGGGCTAGGAGGGGGCTTTAGCTCCCCCCCCCCCATTTTTTTTGTCTAGCCCCCCCCCCCCAAAAAAATTCCACCCAAAAAATTGCATTAGCAAAAAGTAGGAATGTGACGTATATGCAAACGGTCTCCCCCTGAAGAAATAGTCGTGGCAAGCGGGTGCATTTGTAGTTCATATAGTACGTGTGCCTGATTGTAGGATTTTATTGGCGCTCCCCATTGAAAAAAATGGCACGAGCCCCCAGTGTCTGGAGAAAATAACAAGTCTACATTTCAGCACGCCTCCCTGAAAAACAATTTCTGGATCCGCCCTGCTAGCCCCCCCCCCCCAAAAAATATTGGCTCTAGATCCCTCCCCCTCAGAGTCGCTACGAAAAAAATAGATATTTATTTGATGGCCATCTGCATAGCATTGCGCAGATGAATAGCCTTAATCCTATTTGTCACGGCACTTTGTCAAACTTGATACTATAGCTTATGTGTTTTAGTGTTGACGGCACACACGGGCAGACTGATGCTGCTAGTCATCAACAATCTTATCATCATCGGATTTGCGAATGTCACGGGAGATAACGTGTGTTACAATCGGATAATCTGGCACCACATTCGATCCAACCAATAATTATGTTCCCCTGATTTGAATCACATTTCGACACTCGCTCCAAACACACGTACATTTATACCTACGGAAAATATTTAGCCAAAGTATATTGCCACCTTGTAAGCTTTGCATTTCGGCAGTCATTTTATAAGTAACGAAAACAATGAAGTCTAAAAACCAACACTATATAGCTGGACTTTGAAGATACCATAATGAACAGTAACTCGATAGCAGCCATTCTCACACGAAAGGCAAACAAAATATTCAGACACTTTACTGAATTACTTAAATGAACTGACTATAGCGAATAGGAGTGCTGCCATGCCAGGATTTACGAAAAAGAAGATAAAATCACTTACCTGTAGAAGATTTTATGTGGCGGTACCTTGAAGAAAATCGGTTGAATGATATAAAACTTCAGTAAGAAGGAGAGAGTTCCCGGGCTTGGAGGCAAGTTGGTCGTACCACCACGGCGATAGATCGTCAGCATTCCATACAACAGAAACAGCAAGACAGCACCCAAAAGTGTGGTTGTCAGTTCCATGACTATTAAGCGGCTGGACGAAGAATTTGACCGATTTTATGGTGGGACTTTTGAATTGTTTTTTTTTTTCCTGTCGAGGTGATGTAAATTTTCACACTGTACGCCGATGAATATTATGCCTGTACCTCTTGTGTTGCCAGCATGGGCATGTACGAGGAGACTACGCATGAGGAGACTATGCACGTGAGCGTAGCAGCCTCGTTTATCAGGTATCACAAAGTCAAACATGGAACACTGCGCATGCACAAACTGGGAACCTTCCAATAAGGGTGCGCGCCTGCAAATAAATTCCCATAGACACTAGTGCTAAATGTCCATACTTCAAAATTCATTTAAAAATACTCAGAACTCTCACAGGTATTCAAGCTGCACAGAAAAATGATGATCAACATGTCATCTTTCATTTTCTTTTCAATTTTGGGTGGGTTGACCATTGACTTTTTGAGATATTCTCACCCAAATAAGAACACCCCTAAAACGAATGATGTTTCCCGAACTGGAAAAGTAGCCATTTTGAAAAAGAATCCCTCCACAACATGGCTAAATAGCGCCACTTTCGGGCCAGATTGCATCCAAAATGCTCAGAATTGGAAGCTCCAAGTCCAGGCCAGAGGTTCAGTGCCACATGTCTTCAATTCCCCAATTCCATGGTTCTCAGAACTCTCTAGTATAGAATATTTTGAGGGTATAACTTTTATTCATGAGCTCGGCGGACGGATTTTTGGTCTATTTACAGGCGTGCACCCATAAGTGCCAGGTCATAGGTAGGGAAAGGCTATATTCTGTTGTATAATGTATACATGCATTTCTGAGTTTTGTAACAGTTTTATCATTTCATCATTATTATATATCCTGGTTAATTCGTGATCACTGTTATGTTCAATAATTTTAGAACTTTACTGACTTTATTGTGATTAACCTGATCGCAGCTATTACAATCTGTATACATGTCATAAATCCCTCCATAATCTTGGCAGATGTGAAGGGGCATATAAAGGGGCCAATCAAGGAGACAGAAGGCCGGGTTTCAGCCCCCCTCCCCTCCGCTTCCCCTCCTGGATCTGCCAAATTAATGTGTAAAGATAGTTGTGCACAAGTAAATAAGTGAACGACCTGAAATGTGTTCAGCTCAAGTCGAGTAAAATGCAAACAAAATTGTGTAGGGAACGAATCGATCGATCTCTCGTATCCATTATAAACACTACTCTCTCCATATACACACGTGTATAAGAAGGTGCATTGTACTCAGAAAAATCTTGAATGAAGAGTAGTCAAGCGTGCAGGCTTGACTCTTAAAGCCTGCACAATATCCTTTTGAGGAAAGCACATCCAATTAACCTTAAAGCAGTACCCTGGGCAGATTTGATGGGCCCAAATGGCAATTGTATAAAGTAAGCGAGGGCCAATGAAAAGTGCTTTAATTTAGTTGGAGTTGTAATTATCTGCCCTTGCGTGATCGCTTAGTTGTACTTTACTTTTTACAAACGAGTGTACCAGAAATAGAGACTGTGGTTCTACTTTCCAAAATACATGTACTTGTCGTTTGGTCGCTGCTTTACTGCGCCTCTGGAGCTATGTCAGGAGCTAGCCAGGGCCGATTCTAGCCCCGGAAATGTGTGGAGCTAGCTCCACTTTCGGCTCAGCATGGGGCAAGTTCGCGCAAGAACTATTGTTGACCACTGGTTAACCATAGTTCGACTAAAGTTAGCCCGAACTCTGTCTGACGAGTTGACGTTGGTTGACTACGCTAGTCGATTATTTGGAACCAACCCACTGGGGCTGGTTGCATCGCTGGTAACCAATAGTCTGATTCACCGTGTCACCCGTATTACGTAGCCTATTTGGTGACCTTCTAACCCCTGTGGTGGGGGAGGGGTGCGGTTGAGTCTAAATAAGGCTTGCCGAAGGCACGTCCTGCTGGGGGCCGAGGCATGCCCCCCAGAACATTTTGAAATTTACAATGATTTCCCCTTTATTCTAATTATAAGGCAATTCAAGAATATATTGAGGAACTTTAGCATTCTATTTATTACGTTTGGCCTCATTTGAGTAGTTTCATAACATAGTCAGCGGCTGAATCCCCCCTCCCCCCCAAAAAAAAACCCCTAGCTAGATCCGCTACTGTAAAACGACAAAAGTATCAAAAATTAGTCATTTACTCCGGAAGTTGACAGCACATGATGAAATAGTCAACCCTACCAATCTGTCTGGCAAATTTAACAATGTCATCCCAACAGTCCAAAAAATTAAAGTGACTATTTCTAACAGTTGACTTCTCCCTGCTTTCATAACAGAGGATTGACTGGCTGTGACTGTTTATAAAAACTTGATACAGCTAAACTGTGACTGTAGGAGATTGATAAGCCAGCTGTATCTACCAGTTACATTTACATGTACATTTATACCTGCTTTTGTCTGTTGACGGAATTTGACTGTCACAGTGCCTATAAGAAATATGATCTGACTCTTGGTGACCAGCCTGTGTACAGGGCGAGTCAAAAAAAAAGGAAACCCAACTGTCAGGACCATCTTAATAAAATTCTGCATGAAGCACTTTCGAAATCAAGGATGATGAAAGTGTTTTTTCAGAAAAACGAAAACACTCACACACACCCCTTTGTGAAATGTTTCGTTTTGATGAAAGAACACTTACCTTTTTTGTGATCCGTGAACAGAACTTTAAAACGGTGGTTGTGTTTAAAATTTCGCAACTTGAAAAGTACATGAGCGATTTGAATGATTCTTGTACTAAAAGAAAGCTTATTAACAGGGCTTTCATATCCCAGATTTTGATAGTACTACATACAGAACTTCATTAAAAATTGGTCCTGCCATTTGGGTTTCCTTTTTTTTTTACTTACCCTGTATAAATAAAGGCATTGCAGGGAAGAGGATTGATGTTTTGACAGTCTGTGCCTGCTCAGACAGCAGGAGGGTTTAAAAGAAAACCTCCTTGGGTTAACGATGTCCATCAAAAGTCGGCAGCAATTTCCACAAAATTACAAGTCACTTCATGTCACCTGTTTTCAATTTCCATTTTGGCAACATAATGAAGTGTTCTCCTTTCACAGAATGTGACCTGCCCTGTCCGGAACGATGGTTCCTGGTTCTGGTACCAATCATCTATGTCAAAGTCGGGGAAAAAGAACGTCATCTCTTTCCGGGCAGTCTCGGCAGAATCTTTGACGACAAGAAGTGATAGAAGGAAAGAAAAGGTGAAAGAAAAAGAATAACTAGTCAATTTTTTAATGGTTTTTGTATTTAATAGCTGCTTGTTTGTACACTGTACACTGCGTAAAAAAAGCTGTAACAGAAAACTCTGTTTGAAATGCTGGCAAAATATTTTCATTTTTAATTATTAGCATGTTAAAATGCTTGTTTTCACTGGAAATTAAAATGAAATAAATATAATAGTATGGATTTATACAACGCACATTCCAACATATACATGCTTAAGGTGGGGTGCATCATTCGCATTACCCCTGTTCTTCCATGAGGTGTAACTAGTTAAACCAAACACGACCAACTCTGTCCTCACAGGTAACGATGTGGAAAGAATGTTGCATACTGATGTCAATTTTTTTTTCATTTATCATCTCAATAAAGGTCGGTCATTGCAAAAATGTTGGAAAGACATGAATCTGACTGAGAAACATTTCCAATTTTGTTAGAAAATAATTTTCTTGACTCTCCGTAGACTTTGTACACACAAACACTGACGTGGCGTCTGGATACTACGTTTTTTCCCAACAAGTTCCTCCTGAGTGGGGAAAAGTGTCTTGCCCAAGGACACACAAACACAGTCCCAGGCTGGACACCAACCTGCACTCATGGGATATTTAGTTCAATACACAAAACCACAAGGCCACAACACTCCACATACATGTTCTTTATTCTCCAAGTGTTCCACAATATTTAGAAAGTTTTTTTTGAATGCCATAAATTCTTAAAAGACTTGAAAAAAATCTGAGGCTTTTGAAGGCCAGAGATAAGGGGAGTCAGGATGAGCCAGTGCTTACTTGCCTCATTGTCTATCTCTCTGTGACAAAGGTTCGGATCCCAACAAGTTTGAGTGACATGTGGTTTGGATTTTTAGTCTTTAACCAATTCTGCCAGCATTCGGCTGGACAAGGCCCAGAGGCTGCCCAAGAAGACCCTAGATCGATCAATTCGGTCGACCAAGCAAATTAGAGAGCGTCTGGAATCAAGCTATTCGACGTGGGCACAGGAGTTTTCTTCGCGACGGACCAACGCTGTCTTTGCGGCTGAGTGAGTGACCGATTCTGTGCATTTACCCCAAATTATTTAAGGTTTTCCTACCATCCCTAAAACTCAACATGTCTCTCCCCCCCCCCCCCCAAAAAAAGGTATCTGCAAACGTCCATCAATAAATTCCAAACAACTAAAAAAAAATTTTTTTAGTTGCACCATAGTGTGCATGCTTACCTGAGCCATGTGTAGCATTTCTGGTGTCAGTTAACCCGAAGCGTGCCCTAATTGAGTCTGGCACCTCATGCTTTGCCCTACAATTAACAGTGAAAAAAACATCAATTAGATGATTATTAGGCAAAAAAAAAAAGTACCCGGTTTCTGGTATGCGCGCGCGTCGCTGTAGCCATGCGCCTCGGCAAAATTATAAAGTTTTTTTTTCAAAGTAAGATGTCTCAAAGCCAAAAACTCACTGGTTTGACTGGAATCCTGCTGCTGCATAATTTTAATGTGTTTTTAGATGGGGTTACGATCAAGTATTTAGTATAAGTATGCGACAACCGGATAACCATTCCGGTGCTCTACCAACTGAGCTATCCAGCCCTATGTTGGCGGTTCCCCAACTAGTCAATATCTTTGTTCAAGGGGAGGTTTCAGGTTCAAGCCCCGCTCCAGTCAATTCCTTTGTTTAGCTTTTTCAGTTTTTAATTTGATAACTGGAAGGCCTGCATGGGAAGAGACAATAATACTGATTATTGCAAGGAATATTCCAGGATTAGTGTGCTCCAGCAAACCTGAATGTCTTGGTCGGTCCCATGGCTTCCCTCCACTTGGCTATGGCATCCTCCCTGGCCAGAATGTGGACACTTATCGGCCCACTAGACATGAAGCCAACGAGACGGTTGAAGAAAAACCTGCCTGCAGTTCGCAAAGTTAAAAACACAAGCACAATTTGCTTACTGGGAAAGTCACTCAAAATGGAGTACACCCTGTAAAAGGTATGAAGTTGCAATCAAGTCAGTCACAAATCAGTCACATTTGTCAGAGGATGAATAAAACAATTCATTAGCTTGTCACACTTGTAAACACATATTATCACTGGATGACCTGTGAATTAGGATTGACTTGTGATGATGACATATGCATATTACAATAATTCTGTAAATTTCTTTTCAACATATGCCACTTTGAGCTTTTTCATTTGTACTCTCAAAGTTTCACAGCATAATTCTACATCGCAAGCCTTTTTTGGGTTGAAAAAGGGGGATGAATTTCTTTGGTGTTTTGTGATGGAAGTTTTGCAGACATTGGTCTACTCCTGTAATTATTATAGTTGATGCCACATGTTTTTGTCTTGTACAAAATGAAATGAGAGCTTACTTGCCTTTGTGCTCTGCATAAAACTGCTCCACAATTTTACGCTGCAACCTCCTTTCTTGTGAGCGCACAAAGTAAAAGTTGTTGTTCAGTATCAACTGCTTTACTTCCTGTCATGTGTTAAAAATGCAGGTAATGAACAAACTATTATTATTAAACTTATTATTATATTATTACATGTACTCCTAACCCTGAAACTGGAATGGGGGAAGGGGCTCGGCATCCCCCCCCCCCCCCCCCCCCCCCCCGACCTCCTGCACAAAGTCTATGGGCCATGACAGAAAAAGTTGAAGTATCATCAAAGAATTTTTGCACTCCTGCTTTTCAGGTCATATTGAATTCTATGATTTCTCATCTTTTGCCCTTCGGGTAGACTGATTAGGTAATCTTTCTTCAAATTTTTCGAGAAATTTAGCATCTTTCTGGAGTCCATATGCGCCAGTTTGGGACCAAACTCCTCAGTAGGTTGGGAAACCAGACGTGTGGCCTAACGTACAGCGCAGCAATACGGAGGCCACACAAGTGGGGCTATCACTATCAGCTAGCTTGAGTAACATCAAGCTGACTGACTGACATGCTCATCAGGAATTCACATGTTAATTTCTGCAGCATGATCAGCCAACTAGCCTAACTATTTTACCTTTAATCGATGCGGATGGGCCACCACATCGGGTTTAATTATTGCTAGTGTTAGTTGCAGCTTTTGTAATAGGTTCCATTTGCTCATAATAATCATATTTCTAAAACTGCGAGTTCAGTTAAGTAAAAAATTATGCCAAGTGTTATCGTCGACGAATAAAACTTCCCATGGGCGCCGCCATCTTTGTTTCAGCAACCAGTCGCCAGAGGGCGCAATATAATGGATCCCACACGAAAATCCAACATTAGAATCCATCCAAGTACTTTTGTATAATCTAGATTCTTCATACGTGATACTTTTGGGAAAAACAATCTAACGAGAAACGGTTTATGTTTTACTTGGACACGCGCAATAAAATTATGCTAATTTTGTGACAATCGAGGTGGAATTCAGATAATAATAAAAAAAAAAAAACCAAAGGTATTTCCTTTCATTAAAAGAAAGCACTTTCTTTTTATCATTAAAAAGCATTTTTTTGTTATTCCCATAAATATAGAGCTACCTTTTAGTTTTACCATTTACTACTTCAACCTACAAAATACTCAATATACAAATATACTGAAAGTATATGTGGCTTGTTGTTTTTATTTAAATAATTTATGAAACCTGATTTTGGTAATTTTTCCATATTTTTGAAAGACTTGTTCTATTCCATTTTTGCTCTTATTTGAAAGACATTTTGGATGTGTGGACATTTGAAGATGACTCTCATTCACCTTCGAACAAAATTCCAAACAAAATATCTGGGGAGGGGTAGAACAAAATAACACTTTGGGGGTAGGGACTGACCCTGCCTGATAAGATGAAGGTAGGTATCCAGTAAAATATCAGGTCAGAGAAACATGTCCAAAGTTTTCACTGATGGGACTTTGCTTTTAGGAGCTAGGTGAAGGATGAAAGTCAATTACCTCTTCCAAATTTAGCAAAATTAAAGTCATTATAAAGATACTGTTTGTGGTACCCACTGCTAAATGATTTCATCATCACCAGCCGACTCTAGCAAGCTTGGTGGTCGAGCAGTTATGATGTCTGCACTACTAGATAGCAGGATGATGCAGATTCGAGTCCCATCCGGGCAAGCTTGTGACCTTATTGTCGCACTGTCTCCGACAGTGGCGTAGAGATTAATTAAGTTAGTGAAAAGCTAAACTCAGTCGGTCAATCCGGGTACACTCTCAATTCTATCATGGAGGCCCCCTTCAATGGCGAAAGCATTGTGCTAGCTGTTGTTCAGGTTCTCTTATCACAGGGCAGTTGCTTTGTACAATAGCATGCACAATTGTTTCTCCACGAAAGGGGGCCTCATAAGTATACGGTGATCGCATGCCCCAAATTCATCTAGATTATCTTCGTGGAACAGCACAGATTTCAAAGGGCTGAGGGGCCAAGCTGATGCCCCCGACCCCTCTGAAGGATAGCGGAGGTGAGCCCTCAGGCTTCTGGAGGATGAACTGGTGGAGAAGATGAGTGAAGAAAAGGAAGAGCTCCATCTTGGCAAGTTGCTCTCCTACACAGGCGCGACGCCCTGCAATAAGAATCAGGGAAAATTAACTTATATCGGGCAAGATATGAATTCACAGAGTTAGTTAAAGAACAAAGCAAACAAACTGTGACAACTCTGAATACCGAAACAGATGTTAAAACAGAACCTCATCTGCTTAACAATGTACATGCAGATGAGATCACTTATTTGCTCTATGGAAGTTTACTTTATCATTTAAGCAAAACGATCCTGAAAAAAACTTTAGAAATGGCAAAACAATGACTATAAACATGAATGAAAGCTCAAGATACTTTAAATTGAAAGAAATAGTTATAGGAACCTGTACGGCACTGATGCTGAATACTCTAAAGTGTGTTGCCACACTTTGTTCCTATATGACGATTCACATGAAGTGCCCTTTTACATACAATGAGTAGACATGCCAATCGGTTTGGAGCTGTAGAAACTGATTTTTTTTTCCTTACCAACTTTCTATTTATTTATGACAACTACGTCGGGATTACCCGTATCTCGAAGGATTACTGACCGTTATTGAAATAATTTTGATGCCCTTTAGGCTTGTGTTGTAGTCGAGACCATCATAAGACCAGACACAAGAGCAGCACAAGACCATTCACAAGACCAGCCACAAGTAACAGTGGATGAACAATAACAAAGGAATGCCTTTGTTGCAGTTCATTTGAATAGCTTGTGACTTGAATTGAGACTGGAGGTCTTGTGTTGGTCTTGTGATGGTCTTGTGATGGTCTTGCAGGGTCATATTAAAGACTTCCTCACCCGTGCAGAAAGGTATCAACTCATCAGGCTTAAGCACGTTCTGGCCGGTTTCATCCAGGAACCTCTCTGGCTTGAATGACTGAGGCTCAGGCCACAACTCTGGATCCATCCCCAGTGCCCATAAATTAGGCAAGACTAGGGTTCCCTTTGCAATGTGGTACTGTCGGAAAGTGACATCACTGGAAGCCTCATGTGGGACACCCAGTGGAATGATGTTTCCAATTCGCTGAATTTCCTGGAGAGTGGCTTCCGTATAAGGAAGTCGGTGCCTGTCAGACAGCTTCGGCAAGCGGTCGCGGCCCACCACCCGGTCAAGTTCCTCCTGAACCTGACCCTGGACCTCTGGATGGACTATCATGGCCAGCAAAGCCCACTGTAATGTTGTGGATGAGGTCTCAGTGCCTGCAGCAAACAGGTCGGCCGTAGTGCCGTGCAGGTCATTGATTGTCACGTTCGTCTTGCTGCTTGTAGTCTCTTTGATGATGACATCCATGAAATCCCTGAGATTATTGCGATCAAAGTCTTTGCGGTGGTGCTCCAGGACATCCTGGCTGAAATCGCAGACATATTGCATGTTGTCAAGACACTCCCTGACCATTGGTACAAGGCTAGCAAGGAGGTGAGAGTAAGGCATGAACAGTATCGCCCCAGTGGCACCACCCATGAGCTCTAGATTACGATACACGGCACGGAGCAGCTCCACAAAGCGAGGATCTGAGTACTCATATCGGGATCCATACACGACGGAGCAGATGACATTGGCAATGGCACTGGACAGGAGGTGAGAGGGATTGAAAGGTTGCCCTCCATGCTTCCGCATCTCCTCCAGCATGTGTTGGGTCTCAGTTGTGATCCTGTCTTCGAAGACAGGCTTGTTAAGGCCAAAGTCTCGCATGAAGTTAAGAGTTATCCTACGCTGTGTTTTCCAGAGATCTCCTGTGGCTCCCACAACACCTGTGAGAAAATGGAATATACTGTACCAATTGAATAAAAATTCTGTATTTGAGGGTTTTCGTGCATGGAGATTAACAAATACATCATTTGAGGGGATAGTAAATTGAAAAGACAAAAGTGCGGTTCTCAGAATCAGAACCAAACAGATCGGCTGGAATCGGATGAGAAGGAAAAACAAAAGAAAGGCTGGCATGGGTCATTGAGAATCTTTTAGCAAGTTGTGAAAAGAGATTTACAACTTGCTGAGAAGACTTAGAAATTATCTATGTAACCTACCAGATACATGTAGACATAAACAAAAAGCTTAGTTAAAACTTGAATATAAATGAAATCAGGTTCAATTTGAACCTCCCACGGATTCAATGGAAAGACGTAGGTAGAGGCATCTGCGGCTTCTCTGAAGTGAAAGAGGAATCACAAATTCCTTTCAAGAAATCAGTTGCAAACTTGCAAAGTTTTGGTTACATATGTATACTTACCTACACCTCCCTTCAATACTTTCTCAAAGACAGATAATGAGGGACGACCATTTAGCTCTGGGTACTGATGGAATGCATCTCTTATCACATCAAAGCCATGCAGTACAACTACACGTCTGCCAAAGATCAGATCAACGCTGACAACCGGTCCATATCTCTGAGACAATCTGTTTATTTTGACAAACGTGCAAAAAAGAGCTGAAATTTTAATATGACATATTTTAAAACCTTGGAAATCACCTACTATTCTTGATTTTTTTTCTCTAAATGACAGCAAGCTGGATGGCATCATTTCACTGAGTGTTTATTACCAGTGCGATCTTTAATCCAAGTTAGCTTTTTGACCATAACTCGGTATATTATTCTCTATAAAAAAACACATTGTAGCTACTAGCTAGTATTATTATGGCAACCACAAATTCAATGGCTATAGTTACAGTATTGAAAAAAATGTGAATGCATATCGCATGTATAACTGCACTGCTCAACAGAGCAATTTGGTAGCTGGACTTGGTAAACTACATTAGATTACCATGGCAAAGGTACCAGAATGGAATCAGAAGTTTCATAGTTTTTGTTTTTACTTTTCAATATTTTTTTTTAAACTTTTATCTTTTAATCAAAATCCTACCACTTAATTTGAAGCAGATTTTTTTTTTTTTAAATGATCCATGGCTCTGAAGGATTTTTGTATAAAGGGAAAATGAAATACAGTCTGAGAACCATTCGGTTGATAGTCTTGTTCTCCGAGACAAAATATCCTGACATCGTATACTGTCAGGTCAGGGAAACCAGACGGTAGACTGCCGAAACTATAGCCATGGCATAAAAAAGAACACACACACACAAACAATAACAACAACAAAATTCTAACGTCGAAAATAGGCAACGGAAAGAATTCCATATCTGGATCACTTGAAACCCTGTGCCAATTAGACTTGTCTGAAGAATTCCAAGAGTTTTCTAAACATGGTAAATGCTTCAATATTTTCCCTGCTAAATTTGGCCATTTTTAGGACATGCTTTCGCTTTCTAATGGCTGATAGGTCACTGCAGGGAAAAATTAGTGATGTCCATGTATGAAATTCTTGCAACAAACAAACACGCCCATCATGCCCATGTCATTTCAAGTTACACACTTGTGAAATATCTCGTGGATAGCGCCACTGTAGAAAAGTAGAGACGGCAAGCAACCAACCAGCGGCCAGGAGCGCGGGCCAGGAGGCAGGTCGGCCCGGCGTATGCAGAACCAACTCACGGTGACAAAGACAGCAACTCCAACAAACAAGGCGGTAGTGTCCGTTGCGGTAGCATCCACAGAAGGAATCCACCACGATACCTTGTCAGCTAACCACGACCAGTGATTTTGTGTAGATGTATGCATTACTTTTCAATTCACATGTACCTCATGAAATAACACTAGGCCTGGCTTACAATCATGACAAATACAAGTTATATTCGATGTGATGTCGAATGTCCTTGACCCGATCATTGACAGGGGGCCGCCATGTTCTAACAGCGCCCTCGTTTGACTTTGTTGCGGGAACATAACAGCTGCTGCTCAGTCGGGGAGTCGGTTACTTTGTTACTTCCTCGCCTTCCACCGGTGTGACCCGGGTTCAAATCTCGCCTGGGCCAATATGTGAATTGATTTTTCTTATAGCATCCCAGCACACACTTCACTCAGATTGTAGGAATTATCTTGAAGCCTCCGAGGGGGTTCTCTTAATTAGAGCATCCCAACAACATCATGACAGCATGCATGCACAAGGGTTCTATATAATTATAGCATCCCTCGGGATTCTTTTACAACATCCCCTGGTTCTCTTAGAGCATCATGCCCCACAATTAACATTGCAATGAGTTGATGTAAACCTCAATGGAATCAGTGCCGTTCGCAGTGAGGGCTTGGACTCGCAAAGAAACTCACATATGCTCCTGTGCAATCAGTGCAATGTTGCTGGAATGCTCTAATAAGAGACCCATGCAGTTCATGGGAGGCTCTGAGAACCCTATGCAATCAGTGCATGTGTTGATTGCTCTAAGAACCTCCATGTCCGCAGAGAAAGGGTGCCCTAAGAGAACGCCATGTGATGAGCTAAGAGAACGCTGAGAACCCCATGGGATGCTCTGAAAGAACCCCTTTGCAATCAGTGCGCGTGTTGGCGGGTGGGTTGCTCTAGCTAAGAGAACCTCATTGCCCGAAGAAAAGCCATGCAGGGGTGCTCTAAGAGAACGCCATGTGATGATAAGAGAACGTAATGTGATGCTCTAAGAGAACCCCGTGGGATGCTCTGAGAGAACCACAGTCAGCGCACGCGTGTTGACAGTGCATGGGTTGCTCTAAGAGAACCTCCAAGCCCGAACTTAGAGAACACGGAGGTACTCTGAGAGAACGCCATGTGATGAGCTATTAAAGAGCTAGAATGTATAGAGAACCCAGTGGGATGTTCTGAGAGAACCCCTATGCAATCAGTGGATGTGTTGACGGTGGGTTGCCCTAAGAGAACCCCTCAAGAGATAGAACTGAGAACACAGTGGTACTCTGAGAGAACGCCATACGATGCTCTTAGAGAACGCAATAATGAGAACCCAAATGTTGTTTGGAGAAACAAAAGCCATTATTACACTGCTTACGATGTTGGTTGAACAAAATTTCGATACTGGAAATAATTAAAGTGCCCTGTTTTTCTTTTCGGTTTGTTGCGACTAAAGCACGCACAAAATTATTTTCGGGATCAGATTAGCGCAGAATGATTTTGGCGTTGGAGGCCTCGAGTGCGTGCCGGACGTACATGTGCGGGTTTGTGCCATGTTCCACACAATGTCGGGTCGCACTTGTTTATACCAGAGGGCGCTAGGCGTTGTGGCAAGAGTCAGTTCTCAGAGCACAGGCTGGGCTAGAGCTAGAGCTAGAGCTGTACACTAAAAATGATGCTTATAATGGACGCACTGGTGCGTTGCCGTTGGACACAGGAGAGCCAGCTACCACGATTCTGTTTGTAAATCTATCCCCATTTTGTGCTACCGGTGTATTTTCCGTCATGGCGGAATCTCACAGCTTTACGGGACTGTCTTCCTTCGTGAAAAGATACCACGGACATTTCATGGTGATCATCGTGTTCTTGCAGTTGTTCACAGCGACTGGGCCTGCCTACACTTACAGCATTCTCTTCGTTAGTGTTCAGGAGGAATTTGCTGCCGGGGCGGCATTAACGGGTAGATACTACTTCACATTTTGATCTATTTGCTATACAGTCGACTCATTATATAGATCACTTTTATAAAGAGGTTCTGCTTATAAAGAGCAAATTCTGAGGTCCCAAATCTCAGGTTCTCTTTGTGTTTGTTTGTTTCGCTGTCCTTTTATAACAACATTCCTGTGAAGAGGTAATTTGGCTAGTCCCATCGACCTTAATTGTTACGAGAGTCGACTGTATTAATAGGTGGACGGTCACCGTGCACGGGTCATTGCCGGCCAACTGGACTGAGGCCCGTGCCATATCGCGACATGCATTCAGTGTGATTTTTTTCAGATGCGAATATTTCCCATCACCTTTAAAAAGAGGGTCTTATGCCGATGACCTTGTTCGTACGTATTTGCAGCACAGTCATGTTGTGACCTAGTAGTCTCATGTGTAGCGCTGGCGGATCATAATATTATGTACATGTACATGTACCAAATGAATGGGTATACTATAGACTACGGAAGTAAAAATTCTGACAGTCTGGATGGATATTGTCTGGACGGACGGCAGCTGTTGACGAATATTAACCATAGGCAAGCGCGTAGCTAAACTCGCCGAGTAAAAAAAACCCAAAAGACGGAAGGGTACCTGCATGGACCATAGATATGATAGAGGAAGCAACGTAAACACGCCTGGATTTAATTATTTTTTTCCCCTTAGGCCTAACAAACCAATTACATTTTTATCACACCAACGAAGCATATATTTGCACATTAAGACAAGTTCTTCCACTCAGTAGAAAAAAGGGATTACTGAAATTGATCCATGCAGACCATGCATGTTATGAGAAGTTATGCATAGTTTACTAAAATAATTCATTTTTACAGGCGCCACATGGAATGCCATTTGAAGATATTGAGCTGATTGAGAACCAGAAAATACACGAATGCATGCATTTTGGATACAAATGAGATTTACTTTTTACTTTTTACTGACACATTATTTTAGTGTCTGATTGTGTGTTTTGAATATGAGGATTTTTTTAAAATAAGGATGGTGATTTATGTCTGTTTTCCAGTGCACATTTTCCACTCATTCATGAAGACGGGAAAACGCCTTTGTTTAAACTGTAAGTGTAAAATGATCATTGGCGGACAGGTGAATTGTGTGATGTTTGTATTAAAATAGACATAATTTATAAAGAAAATTACGTGAAATGTTGACAGTCACTATAGTCTAGTCATTATTGTAGTCAATAATGTACTTTATCCTAAGTTATTTTACCTAATTGGAGCGAGCCAGTCGGAGCCACATTTTTTAAAACATTTTTTTTTCTCATTAGGTCACTTTCTTTTTGACTCACCCTGTACAAAGCACATGCATGCAAGCGACTGGATCCACATGAAGTTTTTGTACACACAGAATTACCGCGATTGAAACTCGGATTGCATGCTTTGAAAAAAAGTATAATTATTGAGCGCGCAAGGTCTGTTTATCACCGTACCCTATAAAGTGGTGGAAAACAAATTCGTGGCCCAAAACACGACATGAATGCATGTCGTGAATTTAATACCGCGGGGGGGGGGGGGGGGAAATGCGTTGCAGTAAAACAATTTGCGACGTCGTGAAAATTGTTACGATGTCTTTAAGAAATTTGCGATGTCGTGATTTTTTTTTTTTGGCGACGTCGAGAAAAAATTGAGATGTCGTGAAAACAATTTGCGATGTCGTAAAATTAGTTACGACTATGTACGAAATATCCTTTGAATGAGATATCGAACTAATAATTGACTGCGGAATACTTTGAAATCATTTGCGGCCCGACAATAACTCAGTTGTTACAGGGTAGACTGGATCCCGCCTCCTTATAAGAATCGATAATGTTGGGACCTTGAACCAGTCTACTCGAAGTGGCAGATCTATTTTGTGCGCAAAAGCAACTTAAAAAAAAGACACTTTCGCTAACAAATAAAAACTTTGATGTAGTTCGTAAGGAGAGAACGAAAGCCTATAGAATTTGTTGAAGATCACGAACAGTTCATCTTTAAATCCTTCTTCCTTCTAGGTCCAAGAATGGATTTGGATTGATCCCCTTTAAAGCTATAGTCCATCATTTGCAGCCATCCGAAAAGCAACTGGCGTAATTATTGTTGAAAAACAAACTTGGTTGAAAGATAGTAAGGGAACTAAACTCCCTGTGAAATTATTCTTTCTGGGAAGCCGTCATTTTGAAGTAATCAACGAAAGAAGGCTTTTCCAACGGTGATTCTTAAGAAGCACCGTAGGAAAATTTAAATTAGTAGTTCGTTTTGTTATTCAGCGCAGCGTGCACAAGTATATGAACGACGCACACGCGCGCGCGGTTGTTATAATTCGTCGGATCAGTGCGCGACGTCGCGTATAGCTGCAATTCAAAACATGATTCAGTAACTTTTGATTTGAAATTGAGATCTTAGAATGCTGTTTTTCTCGGAGTGTACAGCTGAAGATTAGCTGAAACTTTATCAGGTTAGTTGCGCAGTATCTTTCATTAGATTTTGAACTCTTTTGTTGCTTCAACCGAACAAAATGCACAAATTACAAATGATGGACTGTAGCTTTAACGGCCCGTCCTTCGCAGGCGAGTGCGCTGTCAACAAGATGAATCGAATCCAGTCTTGGCATTATTGGCAGCGCTACCCAGGAAATTCCCAGCACACAGCTCACGCGCATGCACTAGTTTGAATACAGCGCGCTATAGTCCAGCGGATATGTGAAAAAATTGTGCACTTTTGCATAAAAGCGTGAAACTTGGCACAGATGTTTATATTCATGCGAGAAAATGTTTTAGATGTGGAGCCATCGCAAATTTACCCTTTTAGGGGCGTGGCATCCATTTAAAAAAAGGGGGGCGGGACTTGTCGTGCCCGCAGTAAAAATGGTTATTCCCACTTGCTACAAAAGCAGGAAACTTCACAAAGACATAATTATATAGATTATTAGTGTTTTCCAGATTCGGAGCCACCACAAAAGTACCTTTTTAGGGGCGTGGCAGCCATTACAAGAAAAGGGGGGGTTTAATTATTATGCCCACTTTGGAAAACATTGTGCCCATATTTCATGAACGAATAAAACGTCCCACAGACGTTTATATTCATTAAAAAAAAAATCCCAGATGTGGAGCCATCTCGAACACACCCTTTTAGGGGCGTGGCAACCATATAGGGGAAAAAAAGGGGGCGGGGTTTTCATTATGCCCACCCTGGAAATATTGTTCCCACACTCAGAGAGAAATGGAACTTTCCACAAACATTGACATTCATGAGAAAACAAATTCCAGATGTGGAGCCATCTCGAACACACCCTTTTAGGGGCGTGGCAACCATATAAGCAAATAAAGGGGGGGCGGGGTTTTCATTATGCCCACCTTGGAAATATTGTTCCCACATTCATAGAGAAATGGAACTTTCCACAGACATTGACATTCATGAGAAAAACAATTCCAGATGTGGAGCCATCGCGACCACACCCTTTTAGGGGCGTGGCAGCCATATTGAAAAAAGGGGGGCGGGGTTCTCATTATGCCCAACATGGGAAAAAAAGTGCCCACATCTCATAAAAGAATAAAGCTAATTCCCACAGATATTAATATTCAAGAGAAAAAAAAAGTCACACGTGAAGCCATCGTAAACACACCCTTTTAGGGGCGTGGCAGCCATAGTAAAATGGGGGGGGGGGTAGTCATGATGCCCCTATAAAAGAAAGTTCTTATGTAGAGCCACAGCAAACTCATCCTTTTAGAGGTGTGAGGGGCCTACTCACTGTGCCCACAATTGCAATTTTTATATTTTGTTGTTGATTTCTTATAATGTTGATTGGCCCATAACCTATATTATTTGGTAATACAATGACTTACCCCAAAGAGCATGGGTAAGTACCGGTAGGCTAACCCGTGTTATATTGTTCAATGTGTGTACTTGCACCTATATTATCATGCACATCTAAATTCCAGAGTGATTTCATAATTACAAATACACAGCACACAATGGCAGCCCTAAACTCTAACATTTAACATTAAAGGGCCATGGAAATCTTTTTTTTACGGGGGGGGGGGGGAGTGTAAAATCCCCCTACCCCTTACCCGTTGCCCTGCATTGACAGCAGATTGGGTAACAACACGATGTACTCACCTCACAAAGTGGTGGACACGTCCACTATGACTTCACATTCAATGAATCTGTGTACCCCCACCACACAACACCTCTGTTCTCTTAAAAATGGTATATCAAGCTCTTATGAGTGATTTTTTTTACCCCGACCAAATCCATTAAAAAAAATTATACGTTATACAGGTGCGACACTGCATATGCCTTTTGGTCTGTCAGAAAAAAAGGCAGGGGAAACAATGTATTTGAAGAAGTAACACTAGTCTTTCCAGGACTAACTGAGGTACCCCAGTTTATACCCCTAATTCAGATATTGATGCAGTTGAAAGGTTATCAATAATTCTACAGACAAAAGAACCAGTAACTGGGTTAATATGGATGAGGCAAGAATGCATAGTGTAAGAAAACAAAGGGTTTGTCAACAGTAAATTCCAACTATAAAGGCGGCCCTACTCCAACACATTAAACAGCTATCTGAGGTGGATTTTATTATATGAAACGCGGTCAAAATTTTCCACGTTGTGCATATTGAGTACCCTCCCCCTTTTAAAAATGGATGCCGCACCTCTAAAAGGGTAGGTTTGTGATGGCCTCACATTAAAAAAAAAGATTTTTATGAATGTATTGTCCGAGTGGAATTTAATCCATTTATGAAAGGTAGGCACAACTTTCTTTTATAGGGGCATCATGACTACCCCCCCCCCCCATTTTATTATGGCTGCCACACCCCTAAAAGGGTGTGTTTACAATGGCTCCACGTGTGTTTTTTCTCTCCTGAGTATTAATGTCTGTGGAAATTAGCTTCATTCGTTTATGAGATGTGGGCACATTTTTCCCATGTTGGGCATAATGAGAACCCCGCCCCCTTTTTTCAATATGGCTGCCACGCCCCTAAAAGGGTGTGTTCGCAATGGCTCTACATCTGGAATTGTTTTTATCATGAATGTCAATGTCTGTGAAAAGTTCCATTTCTCTATGAATGTGGGAACAATATTTCCAAGGTGGGCATAATGAAAACCCCGCCCCCCGCCTTTTTCTGATATGGTTGCCACGCCCCTAAAAGGGTGTGTTCGATATGGCTCCACATCTGGAATTTGTTTTCTCATGAATGTCAATGTTTGTGGAAAGTTCCATTTCTCTATGAGTGTGGGAACAATATTTCCAGGGTGGGCATAATGAAAACCCCGCCCCCCTTTTTTCCCTATATGGTTGCCACGCCCCTAAAAGGGTGTGTTCGAGATGGCTCCACATCTGGAATTTTTTTTCTCATGAATATAAACGTCTGTGGGACGTTTTATTCGTTCATGAAATATGGGCACAATGTTTTCCAAAGTGGGCATAATAATTAAACCCCCCCCTTTTCTTGTAATGGCTGCCACGCCCCTAAAAAGGTACTTTTGTGGTGGCTCCGAATCTGGAAAACACTAATAATCTATATAATTATGTCTTTGTGAAGTTTCCTGCTTTTGTAACAAGTGGGAAAAACCATTTTTACTGCGGGCACGACAAGTCCCGCCCCCCTTTTTTTAAATGGATGCCACGCCCCTAAAAGGGTAAATTTGCGATGGCTCCACATCTAAAACATTTTCTCGCATGAATATAAACATCTGTGCCAAGTTTTACGCTTTTATGCAAAAGTGCACAATTCATCGATATTTTGTCACATATCCGCTGGACTACTAGAGGTATGCTCGAAATTTCTTGGGAAGCGTTGCCAATATTGCCAAGACTGAATTGATTCATTTTGATAGTGACATCTGTGGCAAATTAACCGCGTTTGTGACGAAGCTGGCTGCAAAATAGGGAAACACAAATTCCAATCCAGTCGTCTAGGCTTCCATTGTCCGTTGTTAAGTATTACTTTTCTTGCCCAATTTGTTTTCTTTCAGGGTGGGTAGGATCACTTGCCAGCGCTTTGATTTTTTGTAGCCCGATATCTCCCGTGCTCATCAAGCGATTGGGTCCCAGGGTGGTGGCCATGCTAGGAGCCACACTGCTGACCTGCGGACTAGTTGCAACATCATTCGTGCCTGCTCTGGCCTACGCCTTCCTGACGTTCGGAATACTTGTAGGTGTCGGCGGGAATTTTATATATCAGTCTGGAGTCAAGGTTATATTAGATTGGTATCCGAGAGACAACTGCTCCAGGGCTACAGCTGGGGCGGTGCTGGGCACATCTGTGGGTGAGTACCAGTTGCTAAAAGGGGCCGAGCAGCCTGTGTTATTGTGTTACATGTAAAGTAAATGCGGTCCAGATCATGGTCTTTGTATGGTGGCTCGTAATATCCTCACCCTTTCCAACGGTGGGAGTCAACATTAATCTCCTTTACACAATTTTGGTGAAGGAATCAACAGTCATTGCAAGCACTGTGGGAAGCTAATTGCCATGATCAATAATTCGCGTACTTCCGTACGAACGTGCGCATAATGTCGTGAGCAAGAGGAGTGTTGTCACGGTTCCAGCAACTATCTTAAGAGAGATCGCAGAAGTATGCGAGCGTCTAATCAGAAAACTGCGCGTTCGAATCACACAGCATACATGTACATGTTGGTCTATTCATATTGACTGTACCCAATGCCAGAATTACTTCAAGATATTTTCCCCTCTATTCTGTCCTTCTTATTGCGGAGACCGATTGTCTTATCTCTTTTTTTTATGAATACATCACAGGTATTTTGGCGTTTGCTCCGCTCCTCAATGCACTTATTGCGACATACGGATGGCGAAATGCTCTGCGGATAATTGGCGGCATAACTTTCGTCTTAAGTGCAGCCTGCGGTGCGTTCATCGCTAGCCCGACCGAAGAGAAAACGCGAGAGAATGGAGTCGAAGAGGGGAAGGATGCTTCCACTGACGCAGCTAGCGAGGTCGTTGCCAATAACAGTACCGAGGGAGCGACATTCCAACGTACACTCGCCAGGGTCCTGCTTCGAGCAGACACGTGGCTTTGGCTCATTGGATTTATGTTGAGCAATCTTGGTTGGACATTCTTCATCATTAATTATGTGAGCGTCACGGCAGTATGTCTTTTTTTTTTACACAATGAAATTGTAAACGGATTTTGCTGTTGCTGCATATACTGTTCAAATCAGAATGTTGCAGTTACAAATCAATTATTTGAGCTGCCGCAAATGTAAACATGGCAACATCAGATCTAGAACAGTGCAACATGCTGTGGTTTTGCGGCATAAACTTGTAAATTTTATTCTTGAAGACATTATTTGGCATACAGAGTGTGCCACAAAAGTGCGACATTCAGAAAGAAATAATTAAAACTGTTTAATGTTTTGTGCTTTAATAAAATTATATATTACAAAAGCCTGACTATTTCTCAATCACGATCCTTTTTAGTACCCCATTCCATTTGGGCCCCTAGATCCAGAAATACAATTAATTAAGTGAAAGGGTGTAAATTTCACCTGGAATATAAGCATTGAATATAGTTGCATTGATATTGAAACTGGTAACATCACAGGTGAGGGTGGCCCAATTGAAATTTATACCCTTTCACTTAATGGACCGATCCAGTAAGCACCGCCCCATGGTATTCTGACCAATCACAGCCGTGACATGCGTGCACAAATTGAAGTCCGACATGCGTGCACGCGCGTATGATGCGCGCGGCAGGAAAATGCAGTGTGGCATTGGAGAGGAGCACGTGTTAATTTGCCCACGTGCGCAGTGGGAGGGGCTTACTGGATCGGTCCATTGATTGTACATATTTCTGGATCTTGGGACCCAAATGGAATATCAGGAAAAAAGAAGTGGATTGAGAAATAGTCAGGCTTTAAATTCATTGAAAAAAATAACCTTTAAACAGTTTTAAGTAGGCTTATTTGTTTTCTGAATGTTGCATTTTTTGGCACACTCCGTCAATAACAAAGTATATTTAGCCCTTGCAGTAAATTGAAGTCTCGTGAAAAATAATATTGACGTAAATTTTGGACATGGGCCTTATTCACGAGTTGGCCACTTTTGTCGAGTTCCCTGAATGTATTTCATTAATTGTTAAGTGTTGAATGGGATGGCGCCAGACTATCCATGTAGGCACAATGCAGCCTTATTTTACTGTCATTTTTAAAAAAAAATATGGCTTTAAACATTAAGGAATGTTTAATTACAAATTTTAAATTACTCATTGAAGCAGACTAGCATTGATTATAAATTAACTTGCTTTCATTTCTCTTCGCAAGTTCCAAAAGTTAAGATTTTACCTAACTTTCCATTCAATATGGCCGACTCGTAAGGCCCACAGTTACTGTGCAAACTCCACATTGTTGCCGAAACTTTGGTTTTGAGTTACACAATGATGTTTGCTACAGTACAGCCATCTTTCTTTTATTCAGGCAAGCTTCACTGAGTACGATCGCGGATTCACCCCTGACCAGGTTACCGTATCCGTGGTCTTGGCGGCAGTTGGTGAAATCCTTGGCAAGTTGTTGTTCTCGATCTTCGGCGATCGTCTGCCGTGTCTCAAGATCTACGCCGTGGCCGTTACGGGCATACTGGGAGCTGTCGCATCTGGCCTGGTGACTGTATTGTACAACGTGACGGCTGTGTACACGTTTTCATTTCGTGAGTCTAAGACATAAACCCCGTCGCTTAAGATTAGTCTAACTTTTCCTGCAAACATACGCGTGAATAGAGTTCGCGACGCAAGAATCTGCTGAATATATTTATAAGCTCAAGCACGCGCACTACCGTAATTGGTATAGATTTTTCATTACCAATGCAAAAAGCTCAACTTCAGTCGCGCACTTCCGGTATGTAATATTTTTCTGAATGACAAAATCAGACAAAATTTCAGATTAAGTCAGATTTTTGTCGAAATGTCGGGTGGTCCACTTTGGGATGATTCCGAATCATATTCCTCAGACTTAAGTGCGTGTTTCAAGTTATCTCCAATTGTATCGAGGGGAGTAGTCACAGCAAGAGTACTCAGTTCCTGTACAGGTTGTCAATTGCTTGTCAGCTGATCCGCGGCCTCTGCCTGTTATTACCAACTGCTTCCTTTCTTTTTCTGAGATTTCTAAGGCAACTAGTAACTGTTTTCACGTGACCGATTTTATCCTATTTTATCTCAATAGTCTTGGGACCTGTTCGCGGTGTGTCGTATGTATCTCCGTACCCGGCAGCGATGGAGATATTCGGAGACTTCGGATCTGATCTAGTCACTGTGTTACTGCTTGTGCCGATCGGCATCGGGTTATTTATTGGTGGTCCACTGACAGGTAAGATTCGGTTCTGTCAGCACAGTTAGATCGTCTGTTGTGGTATCAGCTTTATGAACCATCATCGAAATAACTGCGGCCTTGCCACTTTTGCTAGTTGAATTCTGTTACAATGTTTGCACCAAAAGTGTGCATAATTCATACGTCAGATTCCAGTAGAACTTCATACCTATGTAATTATGCTTTTGTCGCATTATCTCATTATCACATCCATCCTTATGTCGCATTTACATACAAGTATATATTATTTGGGTTCACGTCAGTTCTCTTTAATATTTGCAGGTGGTCTTTTTGACTTGACGGGAGACTACACGCTAAGCCTGATCATTGTTGCAGCCATACTTGTATGTTCAACAGTCAGCTTGATGATCATACCTTTAAAGAAGCAGCTTGAAACCAGACGAGTTGCGCGAAATTTACATCGCGCATCGGTAGACGACTTCAAGATTCCCGCTGAAAATCCGGTCGCTGGCGAATCCCTAGAACTTTAGATGGATCAAATCCCACGACCACACGACCTTTGTTGTGGGCAAAGCCTTGGGAAAACTCGCAATATAACTTTTATGGACAGAATATTTTTTTGAAATCAACCCTTTATTCAAAAGTTCGTCCAGATAACAAGGCCTTAAGTAACAGATTTGTACCAGAATTATTATTTTTGTATCCCTCTCAGGGCCCGGCCCGGGGTGTTTTGGGTCTTTTGAGGACCGGGGCACATATTGTGCATTTGTTTAAATGTAAATGCTTACACGTTTGGAACTAACATTTTTGGGTTAATGTTCATCGAATCATACATTTTTCTTTGACATTCAAAGACACAGCTAGAGGGTGCTATACTTACATTTTAGGGGCTATATATTAATTTTTCTCAAAAAATTTAATTGTTTTCCCCAACCAAAACTGGCACAAATGAACAACGGAAATCTTCTTAATGCTTTAAATTGTTTTCATGCAACAACTCAGGCGCGGTTCTAGAACCAATATTGGGGGGGGGGGGGGGGGGGGGCTAGCACGGGGTATCCAGAATTTTTTTCAGGGAGGCGTGCTGAAATGTTGACCGGTTATTTTTTCCAGACACTTAGGCCTCCGAAAATCAATAGGTGTGGGGGGGGGGGGAGGGCTCATGCCATATTTTCAATGGGGAGTGCCAATAAAATCCTAAAATCATTCACAATATATTAACTAATGCACCCTTGTCACGACTATTTCTTCTTTAGGGGGAGACCGTTCGCATGTACATCACAATCCTTCTTTTTGCTAATGCATTTTTTTTTACAGAATTTATTTTTTTGGGGGGGGGGGGCTAGACAAAATTGGGGGGGGGGGGGGGGCTACAGCCCCCCTAGCCCCCCCCCCCCCCGTAGAACCGCGCCTGCAACAACTGTTTAAAAAGAATTACCCCAAAACAAAGTTCGCTCTTTTCACGCTTCCGCCATAAGCATGCACAGCCTCGATCGGGCAACTTTACACAATAGATATAGCCGGTTCAGTGATTCCTGTGTCGGGGTTCAGTGTATACCCGGGAACCACTGAACCGGCTATATTCATTGTGTAAAATTGCCAGATCGAGGCTCTGCATGCTTATGGCGGAGCGTGCAATGAGCGAATTGCTCCGTACCAACCATGGAATTAAAGTCTAGGTATAATGGGCAAAGAAAACATGTTTTTGAATTTTAAAAAAGTCTCATTTACACTTCTCATACTAACTGCCCAAAATTGTATGAAAACATATGATAATTACAGTGAAAAATATTCATTATAAACTATTTTTATACCAGTGTTGTTCACCAGTTCACAGGTTACCACCATGTGGCAACCATGGACATCCAGCAAGTTCGGAAGGGGGCGCACTTTCCCCCTCTGCCGCCCCACCCCCTGCTCTAGGGTTTACACCATTTTATAATTGATCTAATCACAATAAAGGTGAAAGTATCTAATAAGTTCCTTCCCAATCTGAATTACTTCCGTTTTCAATAATAAAATCTTAAAATGAAAATGCACGCCCAACTCAGCTTGGCGGTGTATCGTGAATATCCGACTCCATGAAATATGGACCCATTGGTGGTATTGCGCAAGCGAGAGTACGATAATATGCTATTAATTTTTAGGATCAAAATGTAAGAGTGACCTGTCACGTGCAAGGATTAACCAATAAAAGGGAAAAGGGGTCCGATTTATATAGGAGTCGGATTTTATATGATTTTACCCGTCGGATTTTATATTTTATATACGGGTCGTAAGCAAAAATCCAGCAGTGAAATCCGTACAAAATCCCTTGTACACTCACCAGTAGAGGGCGCTATTATGCACGATATCGCGCACAGCTAGCTAGCTGCAGCATGCATAGCATACATATATATATATGCAGAGAAGAGCTACACGTTGACGAATTCGAGCCATAAATCTGATCAGGTTGAAGTGGTGTGGTAAGTGTTCTTTCTTGTGTTACAACTTATTATGCAATTACAATATAGTTTCAGGGGAAGTACGTACATGTATCGGTGTGGATGTGTGAAATTTGGTTGTGTTTATGTCATTGGTGATGTTGACACCGGCAACGCCAGGAATCGCGAGTCGAAAGAGCCAACATGAGGTTTCGTTAGGTTCTGAAGGTTCATAGTTCATACACTGCACCTTCAGAAATTTAAACTGCATAAAAACGTCTGGAGGGGCTTTCTAAACATACATTGAACTGGTGTTTTATACTTCATTTCTTTTCGTAATTGTATTTTCATATAATGTAAATTCTTATGTGTTTAAATACAGTTTTTATCATTTGTTAATGTGCACATTAAAACGAATGGAATTTCTCTTTTAATGTTTTTTAACATGGTGAAATAAAATATTTCATCATGGCAAACATGGTAAACAACAGCAAACACTCATTACACTTGTACACTTGTAAAGGTTTACATAGGCATATTGGTTAAGCTAGCTGATATTCAACATGGTAATCTTACTCTTAATAGCGAACTATTGAGAAGATGATTCAAAACACATACAATTGACTTTTCCTGCCCGTATCAAGATCATCGCTGATCATTGCCAAATATGGCATGTACGGCTAAGTCCCAAAATGTGAAAATGTCTTTTCGTTCTCTTACATGTACCAGTATATGGAATGGGGTCCTAAACCATGTAAACTACATAAATTTACCAATTAAATAAGGGAGTAATTACAGAATATCCAGCAACTCAAAAATAACCCCCCAAAATAGCTCACATTGTCTCAATGGCTACACAGTCAACGACCTGGGAACAAGTCAAAAGTGTTTTTCCTAGGCTGTCGGGTGGCAATGCGGATACGGAATTTTTAGTGAATCTGAGCATAGAGCAAGAAATAATGCAAAAAAACCCAATTTTCCCCTTGGGAAAAAAAAGCCTCCAACTCCAAGGGGAATAAATCAAATAAAAGTTGAATGGATATTATCGTTAAACATGTTAAATGTGTTTTCCCTGGAGTGGCTGTGCGGATAGGGAGTGGGAGTGCCATGGAGCGTGACGCGTGTACATGCTGGTAGCACTGAGAAGTTTTATTGAGAGCAATGAACCGTGACTCTGTAGCCGGCAACGAGGTGGATAGATGAGTTGTGGGTTATTCTGCAATTGTGCGGCAAGCAGAAATGAAATGTGCGGCAAGCAGCAAATGAAATGTGCGGCAAGCAGCAAATGGTGCGGTAGTGAACATTTCCTCATGGACATGGTGGAAAACCACGTGTCTCTAATGCATATTAATGAACGGGTGCAACGTCATGCAGAGTTCCATAATGTTGCAACTGCTACTTCACAGATTGCACTGTCTTTTGGGAGAGAATATTGCTCAAGTTGCGAAGCCCTGCAGTTCATCGCTTTGCCTTGTGGCATGTACACACACAATCTGCTGACAATGTAAACTGACCCATTCAAACCAGCACGTTTAAATCTTGGCTTCCATCTCCTGCAGAATTCTTTTACAGCGCCCAGTTTCAACAGAGAAAGTAATGCCTGAGTATACGTGTATGTTTATATAGTTTTAACAATGGGTGACATTGGTTTTTTTTTTCTCTTTGCTTAGATCTTGGTAAGATTGGTGGATGTTTCTCCGTGCCGTTGGTAAGCATCTTGCCGCCTCCTCCTTGAGTTGTCGTCCTACCTCCGTCTTCTCCCTTCTGACTGCCTCCCTTTTCGTGGTACGCACCTTGTGTAGCGGGGGCAAGCGTGCGTTTATGTGCGGGAATTCGGCATCCAGCATGGCCAAACCCGTCGTTGTGCAAGCCAGTGGACCGCACACTGCATCTGTGAGTATATGTAGTTTGGTAGGCTCAGGCATAGGTTGTTAGAGTGTTTTGCACGCAGACGGATACATGTACATGTATGTGTACAGGCATACATGTATACATTGCTATCTAATTGGGTAAATTCCTTTTGTTTTGCATCTTGCGAAATACACTGGCGCATACGCTTCAGAACGTGGCACATACACCAGTGTTGTAGTACTCGTACTTGGTACTCGTATACTCGAATGTCAAAGTACTCGTACTCGAAATGACGGTAACTCATACTCGGGCAGCAAAGTACTTGTACTGGACATGTCAAAATTGTGCTCGATCATCAAAGTACTCCTACTCGAATAGCATAGCAGTACTTGGGGGGGGGGGGGGAATGGTGTAGCTTGACTATATACCACAGACTTATTTTATCGATACTTTCAGTTTGAAATGGTTGATTGGCTTGTGGAGAAATCAAAGTTTCCTGATTTTCCTCTGTGCACGTCTGGACAAACCCATTTAACAGCCAGCCACGAGTGGGTCTGTATATCGGTGTGACTGGGCCTGGGCCAATTACGCACAATGAACCATTTTCCGTATGGCCGTATTCGGAAATATACAAGTACTTGTACTCGTACTCGAAAGTACAGTACTCGTACTCGGAGACCTGTTCTTGTACTCGGAGGTACAAGTACTCGTACTCATACTCGGCAACCTACATGTAAGTACTCGGCAGTACTCGGTACTCGGAAAAAAGTACTCGACTACAACACTGACATACACTTGGGAACGGTTGCACGCACTTGGAAATGGTTACAAAAATAGTAGCAATGTGAAGAACAATCAACAAATCCGATTTCAATCACATCATACATGGTTAAATATTCAACGTTTTAGCTGCCAGTATTTACAAATATTTCGGGGGTTGGGGGGGTTGGGTTTCCAGGCTCATGCTCACTGTAAAAAAAGTGTGCATTCTGGGACTGAGTCAGGTACATGGAAGTATTTTGTGAGGGATTGTTAATTTTTTTCAATTTCAATTGTGGTTTTTTTCCGGGGGGGGGGGGGGGGTGTTGCGGCTTGCACTTGTACCATTCCTTAGGGGTTTGCATCTTTTACTGACTAATGAACTTCATTGAAGAAGAATTGTCATTCAAATTCAAGTTTATTATCCGTGCTAAAAAAACATGGAAATTCAGCTTCCACTGGCATTTCTAAAAATAACATGCATCAATGCATCTGTGAGTATATGTTTGTTTAAATCTGTTGGAGTGAGTACCGTCATGCACGGTGTAATCCAAGTGTATCAACTGCAGTGGAGAAATACAAATGTAATACCTTAGTTTTCTAGTGCAACAGCACTAAAGAGAAAAGATTTCAGCAGTTTGAGAGGAAAGAATTCAACCATATTGTTTTACATTAGTTTTGCGCTTGTTGCGGTTGCTTTTAGTGCTGTATTACAGGCTTCAAATAGTCATTAGCCTGTCGAGCTGTAATCAATTATTCACAGTATACATGTATCAGGTGTAATGAAAGCTGGCACAGGTGTCTGGCTTGAGCAAGGATAGTGCTCATGAGTGCATGTCCTTCCTTGGTCGGATATTTCAATAAGAACATGTACAGTGTATCATGAAAGGGAATATATAACATTTGCAAACATCGAAAAATAAAACTACCAAGTTTTTACGAAATACCTTACTAGGATGTTGGTAAATGACAGTCTAAAGCCTTATGTAAAATTATGGCACCTGGTGTAAAGCCATTTTCAAGAAAATGGTATTTTTGTATGCGACCACCGTTGGAAAAACCTGACTATTTTTCAACTGCTGCTCAAAATTTACCATTTTTGTTAAGTCCAAATTTTGTTTGCTATTGGTTAGATGTTTATGAACGTGTGCAGGCCAGCTAGACTGGTTCCCTTACATGTACATGTACAATGTACCTTACAAGTTTCCGGCATCTATAAACTGATCCATTTCATCCTTAGTGGAGTCAGGGAGCTAGAATACTTGAACATTTTTGTTTTTCTTGGTTTTTCCAGCAGTTTCGAACACAAAACTTCAAACATGTCAGTGTAACAATATTTGATCTATTATAGGCCTACTAACCCCTCAAATACTTCATTTCTGAAAATTACAGCAAAAGCCAATGATGTACATTCCCTTTAAGTAATTAATGATTTCAAACCGTTGGTTTTTCTTGGAGAGGTGCTAATGGCTATTTTGAAGTTAGAGAGTATGAAAATCTATATTTTTATATTGGACTCACTCACATTTGTACATGTAAGTTTGTAAATTACGTAGTTTGCGATGCTCAAAACCAACAGGAGTGTTGTAAAAGGAGGACAGGGTTTTGAAATTTTGGGGGGAAATTAGGTAGGGCAACTTATGCATAATGTCCAAATCATGCCTGAACAGAATTCGAAGAAATATAAAATATATATAAATTCCCCTCCCGACTGATTTTTTTTTCAATCTGAGTGATGAAAACCTTAAAATCAATTTTGAATAGCCTACCAGTAACTGCAAGTATTTTATTTTGTTGTTTCAAATTGGTCAGTAAGCCTCGAGTGTAACGTCCGTAGCAATGGAATTGCCCATGTGCATTTTTGTTTTGTCCCTATCCCACATGCCAAATTGACCACGGACTGGCATGTTGAAACCGGAGTAAGAACTGCGGGTTGGACACATGCAGTGCATCGCACTTCGTAATGAAATTATGGAAACACCGAGCCGTGCTACAAATGATGCTTCACAGGACTACATTTGTACATATGGCATGTCATAAATGACAAGTCAGTCACTCTGCGAATCGTTATTAGCAGACATTTGTGGACTAACTGTACGCTTTAACATGCATTACGGCAGATAAATCTTGCTGGCACAAGACTATTTAATTAACAAGCCATTGTATGGCCTACATGTAGCACTATCCGTCAATCGTTGTTCATCCCTTATGTGTAATGCACATGTACAATGTACATACAGTAAAGATGTACACAGGTACTCTTTAGCATACTGGACTTATGCTGATTGTTTAAAGCTATAGTCCATCATTTGCAGCCATCCGAAAAAGTAACTGGCGTATTATTGTTGAAAAACATACTTGGTTGAAAGATAGCAAGTGGACTAAACTCCCTGTGAAATTAATCTTTCTGGCAAGCTACATGTATCATTTTGAAGTATTCAACGAAAGAAGGCCTTTCTAACGGTGCATCTTAAGACGCACCGTAGGAAAATTTTAATTAGTAGTTCGTTTTGTTATTCGGCGCAGCGCGCGCAAGCGTTGGTACAACGCACAGGCGCGCGCGGTTGCTATAATTTGTCGGATCAGTGCACGAAATCGCGTATACATGTGTAGCTGCAATTCAAAACAATTCAAAACATGATTCAGCAACTTTTGATTTGAAATTGAGATCCTAGAATGCTGTTTTTCTCGGAATATACAGCTGAAGCTGAGCTGAAACTTCATCAGGTTAGTTGTTCAGTATCCTTCAATAGATTTTGAACACTTTCGTTGCTTCAAACGAACAAAATGCACAAATTACAAATGATGGACTATATCTTTAAAGGTAGAATAGGCCTACATATCATTTGTCGTTTGTGCATTTTTTTTCGTTTTGTAACAACAAAAGTGCTCAAAATCTAATGAAGGGTGCTGAACAACTAACCTGATGAAGGTTTAGCTCAGTGAATGCTGTTTATTCCGAGAAAACAATATTCCAGGATCTCGATTTCAATTCAAAAGTTGCAGAGTTATGTTTTGAATTGGGCACGAAATCAGCATCAGGGATGTGTTCTCATTCAGCCTATCGCAGCTACTCACTGTACCGAGGAATAATAGCAACCGTGCATGCGGGTGTGTGTCAACGCTTGCACGCATCCATTTACGGCTTCGCCGAATTAAAAATGTCTTTAGATGCATATTTGGAAATGACCTTCTTTTATTGTTTTCTTCACAATTACAGCATGCCAGAATGAATAATTCCACTGGGAGTTTAGTGCCATTAGGGCCTATTATCTTTAAACCAAGTATATTTTTCAACAATAATTTCATCAGCTACTTTTACATAGGATAGCTGCAAATGATACCGGTACATGTATTGAAGTGTGTACACACGTGTGTTTACAAGACCCAGATTCAGATTTGATTGAATGAAATGGAATATTTCAAGTGTGAATGAACACAAGTACGCATGTTCGTTTGCAATTTAAATGCAGCCAGACCAGTACACATGTGTCACTTTCCATTTATTAAAATCAACAGAAACATATTTTTTTTGTCTTATTTGTTTGTTGGTTGGTTGTGTTAAATTACAAGTACAATCCAGCTGTTCACAAATTTTTTGCTTGTAAACCAAGCTGCACAAATGTGACATTGCTCACTCCTTTGTCTTTGACCAGCAATTCTATTTTATATTTACTCACATTGAACATGTACATACTCACCAAGGTGAATATATTTAAGGTTATGAAATGTCATGTTTTACGATATACCAGCATTTTTTAGCTCACATATTTTCAAAGGATGTTTGTTTTGTATGAAATGAGGCATAAGGCATATATTTCATGGAGGACAAACCGGAACAAACAAACCGTGATTTACAAATGAGCTGAACAGTAAAAGCCAGCAATCACCACCAGTCATCCTCTTTTGATGAGTTTTTTGATATATTCGTCATGCCTGTTGTATAGTTTTTTGTCATTCGATATATGCGCTTGATCGAGGGAAAATGGAGTTCAAGCTTCGGGCGGACTGAGGCTGTACAGGGCAACAGCCAAGCCATTTGCATCAGTGCGTCCGTACAATCTCAAGATCATGTTTCAGACTGCCCATGGGAGCTTTCCGTTCATCCTTTTCAAGATTTTCGTTTTTTTGTGTCTGCCGCTAAAAGTTGTTTGTCAAGCTGCTGCGGCCATAGACACAGAGTGAAGATGGAAGATAGGATCTCGATCCACCATTTCATTTGGGCCGTTGTTTACAGAGAATAATGATGGACGTGCATTGTGTGTACATGTAGCTACTGGTACTACAATGCACATTCAGTAGGCCTGCTCTGATTTGGGGGAAACAGTTATCATCTTATTTTATGTCAGTGAAATCTGTAATTTATTAGGCTGTTTTTTTTTATCTTGGGAAAAAGTGACACAGTTTAACATTTTCTGAGGTCATTTTAAATCCATATACTGTATGTAGGCCTGTTCAGGTACATCGTGTACATGTATTGGGTTGTAGTACCATAGAGCTACCGGTACATGTAGCAGTTCCTTATCCTTCCATAGTTTCATTTAAGACTCTTCAACTTAAAATCAAAAGCAACCATGCTTTAAAAATAATTTATCTGGTTTGTTAAATTTCAACCACTCAGCACAATTATATGGGTCATGCCTCTTATCGAACGCTCTTCTATGGTGAATGAACACGCGGGGAGACGGGTGCACGACATTCGAGTGTTAATTACGAGCACAATGGGTGTTGGCGTAATTAACATCGCGTAACATCATGTCGGCGATTTTATCCCGAATGACCTTTGACATGGACTACTTCATCGAGATACTGAACTGGCTTACAATGTAATGTCGTCTGTTGTGATACAGTCCAAGGGTTTTGTGCCATGCACCTCCTGGGCAAATGACAATATATCGGCTTGCGGTTTGTACAAATCGCCATGGGCCATATTCACGAGTTGGCCATTTTCGTTGAGTTCCCTGCATGTATTTCATTTTGTTAAGTGTTGAATGGGATGGCGCCAGACTATTTATGCAGGCACAATGTAGCCTTATTTTACTGTCATTTTGTTTTTATGGCTTTAAACATTAGGGAGTGTTTAATTATTTAAAATTATTTGAGGCAGACTGGAATTGATCATTATAAATTAAGTTGCTTTCATTTCTCTTCGCAAGTTCAAATTTTTTAAAGATATTGTACCTAATTTTCAATTTAATATGGCCGACTTGTGAATAAGGCCCATAGACTGCTACACAACAGACAACAAATGTATTTCATAGTGGTACATACATTTTGTACAAAAATCTGTGCAACTACCCACACATGTACACGTACATCAAACATACAATGTTAAGGGATATTGTTTGTACATTGACAGTATGTATACATGTACTGTGTCAATGGCTTTGGCATTAAAGATATACATTGTAGTCCATCATTTGTAATTTGTGCATTTTGTTCGTTTGAAGCAACAAAAGTGTTCAAAATCTAATGAAGGATACTGAACAACTAACCTGATGAAGTTTCAGCTCAGCTTCAGCTGTATATTCCGAGAACAACAGCATTCTAGGATCTCATTTTCAAATCAAAAGTTGCTGAATCATGTTTTGAATTGCAGCTATACGCGATGTCGCGCACTGATCCGACAAATTATAGCAACCGCGCGCGCCTGTGCGTCGTGCCAATGCTTGCGCGCGCTGCGCCGAATAACAAAACGAACTACTAATTAAAATTTTCCTACGGTGCTTCTTAAGACACACCGTTGGAAAGGCCTTCTTTCGTTGATTACTTCAAAATGATAGCTTGCCAGAAAGATTAATTTCACAGGGAGTTTAGTCCTCTTACATGTACTATCTTTCAACCAAGTATGTTTTTCAACAATAATACATGTACGTCAGTTACTTTTTAGGATGGCTGCAAATGATGGACTATAGCTTTAACAATCTCCAATCTTGAAGTATGCGATGCATCATCCATAAGAGATACATCATGTATGCCCGATCATAAGCCTGGTTTCACCCGCCTCATGCCTAAAAGTACAGAACCAACAATGCCCCCCCCCCCCCTACTGTTAGTGCCAAGTTACAGCAAAGCAAAGGTATATCCGCATGTCCTTGCATTTGTTTGAAGCAAAATCGACCCGACACCGCACTTCCTAATTCAGTTTTCGAGAAGTACCTTGTACAATGTACCCATCTGAATTGAAATGTAATGTCTGTGTCAGTTGACACGTCTGTGTTGAGTGTCCCCAAACGAGCGCTTTTATCACTCGCATTTTAAAACAGTCACGTCTGCTTCACAGTAAATTGTCGGCTTTTTTAGAAATATTAATGAAGATGATGGAGCAGTAAGAACTACCGTAATTGTGAAATTTACAAGCTGAAAGAACTTTAAGTGCAAATAGTCAACTGTGCTTGGAGGCAATTAAATTGCCTACGTTCATTGGCTACCCGGTAATTACTCTTCAATACAAAAACGGGTCCATTTGACGGATCAGCTAAGCCAAAAAATTAATAATAATTAACCCTAACCTTCCCAAAATGCTCCAAAATCATCTTTGCAGATGAGAGATGGTCAAAATAACCCGGCCCTTTTAGGGTTAAGCAATAACAACAAACTCTATGTTCTTTTCGATGATTTTCGCAGAGATTTTTGCTGTAAGGCGTTGTAAAACAACATCATTTTTAACAGTTCGTGACTGTCTGGGAGGGCATGTTACATTTTTTTTAATTGGAAGTCAATTCAGTGCGCCTGAATAACTTAATTTAATCCATCCTCAGAGGAATACTGAGTTCTGGGAGAGTGTGTCTATAAGTTTATCCCGATGCAGCTACATGTAACCTGCATTCTCTGTCAGAGTTTTACTTGGCATGTGCTTGAAGCAACAGTGACCTTATTGAATTTCTCCCCGGACGACATGAATGCCAATGAACAGACAAATACGGGCAAATCAAAATCAATAACAATTCAATCAAGGCGCAGTGTTTAAATTTGCCTTCATGTACCGGTAGGCATACATTGCATAGTTCTCCAGCAGCACGCTAGCACACATGGACAAGTGCTGGTTCTTGATGAAAATCTTGATGATGTGACATAATCGTTTCGCTCCATCATTGTAGAATTAAAACCAAATAAGCCATAAGTACATGTATTATCTTTCGTTTGGGGGTATTATACGAAAGAGAATAAAATTCTCCTTACAACATTGTACAATACTGTTTGTTGCACTTCAGTTGGATTCCGTTGACAAGTTATGGCTGTTTAAAGTTCGCCTTCATCGACATGTGATTGTCAGAAAATACATAGGCCTATAAAGGAGAAAAAAGCCTTTAAAGTTTTGAGTTTTGTAGTCGTGATAATGAAAGATGCCAACTGTTTTTTCCTTAAAAACACCTTTATTTCACAGTTTTTATACTATTTCTTTAAAAGGTGTGTTGTAGGTCTACATCAGAGATTACAAATTATGTCAATAAATCTGAAAGTAAGAAAAGTCACCCCATTTGGGTTTTTGCATTTTTCTCTATCGATTTGTGCCCAGTTCTGTCTCATTTTTCCAGAATGTCCTACATTTACATGTATTTTAGTTTAAGTGCATACATTGTACGTTCTGGCACACTGAATGCATATAAATATGCATATTATGGTAGTACTGCAAAAAGCAAGAACTGCAAAATGTTTATTTTGGTAAAACGAAAATGTATAGACACGAACAATTTGGAATCACTTGTAAAACCATATGCAATACTTACATGTCTACAATGAGCAACCAGAAAAAAGACAAATCGTGAGCAAGTACACAGTATACTATTTTCATTTTTATTATTTACTGTGGCTCCATTTTTGTATTTTACTGCGGCTGTATGTCTTTTGTAAGTAAAAACATTTCTCCAGTAGCGCAAAGTAACTCTAGTAGTGCAATCAGTAAAATTCAGCGCATCATCTGATTGAGCTCTGATCCGTTGTCCTTAAATGAGCATGCACAGCATTTAATTTGGCAAAAAAAAATAATACTTCTGCTTCCGATTACATGGCATTTGAAAATAGGGTAGGTGGTAGGGAGTTTCTTTTTTTTGCCAATTTTTTGTGTGTGCGATCATATGGGGGCGTCTGCATGTAATCAAGGGTAAAAGGTAGAAATTGATGGTTTTGGGTGTATTTTTCTCATTTTTCTCATAAAAAAATAGGGTAGGGGCTGTCAGAATAGGGTAGGTAGGGAAACTGAAGCAGAACTATTATTTTTTTTTGCCTTACCGTAAATTATTGCTAGGTTTTGATTAATGAGTCTTACATTTAAACGTGTATTATCAGTTCGTATAATTAATTAATTACCCAACATAATCCTGCTTGTGAGAAAGTTAATAGGGTGAAGTAGTCTCAGCCAGGCTATAAATACTAAAGAAAATATAGTCAAGTGGGAAAGATTTCTGAATAAAAACACTTTCTGGCTAAAATTTCATGGAAATAAAAATAATAAAATGTTTTTGTAGGCCCCTATTGTTTGACCGATACTCGAGATCTTACCGTACTTATAATTTATAACTAGACAAATAAATCTACTGATTCTTTTTTCCCCTTTGCCAAGAGTAGTTTCTACCTGATTTATTCATCAAATCAAAGTGTGAAATTTGAGATGGAAATCTTTTAAAAGCATGTTTGCATTTCCGGACAGCCGTGAAATATAATCTTCACATTTTTTCGTCCAAATCCTCTCAGTTCAGCTCAAAATAACTTAATTTCTTCTTCCTTTTCTTGTCTTCCGTCCACAGCTTATTTTTCTGCATGGGCTTGGTGACACAGGGTAAGTGGAGAACTATCTGCCTCAGTGTGTCGTGGGATTTGAAAGTGTTTAATGTTCGTGCGTATCCAAGGTATCGTGCGTACGCACTCATTCTCCTTTGGAGGGGATTTCTACCAAAATTGGAAATCAGAGGCTAACAGCAATTCTATTATGATTGATAATGGCCGGTTCCATTAACAACGGAAGCGAGGAGGAAGACTTCCTGAGGAAATTATACTGATGGCTGGCTCCATTTTATTTCTGATGTTTAATAAAAAAAAGAAGAAGAAACCAACAAGAAGTGGAAATGGCATTCCTAAGACTACAGCAAGAGAAAAAAAAATTATTCGGTTTCAAAGTGACTTGGGTTAAGCCTTGGACGTCAATTGGTGGGGGACAGGGGGGACAAGTGTGGGGGGGGGGGGGGAGATATCGTATCCTTTGTCCCCCCCCCCCACTTTTTTCGTCCCCGAATAAACATTGTAGCCCACAGTTGATTCTTTAGCTCAGAATAGCTGATTGAATGACTCCAATTTTGAATATGATGTTTGAAGGATGATCTTTTGCTCAAATATTGGTTAAAGTGGTCAGAAATTGCCTCAGATCATACACTCTACCACAGGGCATCTGGAATTCAAAATTTTTCCGGTCCCTTAAGCGGACCCCGAATCCCACGGTGTTAGGGCATGCGCTTTGTGCTCGCATGATTTCTGATAAAGATACAGATATATCCTCCTCTCCCCCCCCCCCCCCCCCCCACTTTTGAGAAGCGATTGACGCCCTTGGGCGAAGCCACTGTACATGAACATGATGAACCTTAATATTGAATTGGGTAAACGATGGCATGCACACATTCACTCGTACTGACATACCGGTACCTCCCTGTCCAAAAATAGCGACATTTAATTTTCTTCAGCCTTCATAGGTTGTATTTAACAGGTGACCTGTAATTACTTCAATTGGACGGAGACATTCCGTAGCCCTCAATGATTTCAGCCAGGCTATTTGATGAATTATCAAGCTATTGCCATAAAATGTCATTCAAGGGACAGCGTTGGATGGATGGATGGTTACTATTTATATCAGGCTTCCAGTGGTAAAAAAATAGATCAGCGTATTGTATGCTTTCGTACAAAGTATCGGATGATTGCAATATTATTTTAGTAAAAGTACCCGGATGAAAACAATGTTATTTTTTATATCGTCCTCATCTGGGCTTTTAACAAATTTCGCTGGTTCCTGCATAGTGAAGAGTGTAGAAACTCACAGAACTTTCAACCAGTCAACAGACATGACAGAGCGTAGCGTGTGGTGCCGTCGCTTGCGGACAGCGCGCAGCAGAATATGCGCGCACTGTTGTCAACAAACACAATGGCAGCATCGAGCGATGCAAATTGTGCTGCAGTAAGCGGGGAATATTCAACGAAATTCGAGAAATTAAGGCAGTGTCCTGAAATTTATTTCTTGCAGATCAAGTCGGCCTGATATAAATAGTATTATAACACCTCTACCACAGATTCTGTGTCTTGATTGGCCGAGAGCGAGTCACATGTTACTTTCTAATTTTGCTATCTTTCTGTGCACGGCCAAAAGTACTATGCGCATAGCAACCAAAGTACTGTACCATTAGCAACCAAAGTACTATTTCCACGGCGCGGTATTTGTGTGCAAATGCATGCTGGTGTGCGCGTTGGGCATAGTGCGTTTTGTTCCAAAGAGAGCGCGCCGCAGAGTTAAATCAAACATTTCGTGAAGGGGTAGTTTAAAAGAGAGAAATTATACATTTTCCACCAATTTGTGTTGAAATTGAAGTTTATTTCAACTGTGTTCAGATTTAAATAATTAAAAATAGTTAAACCAAGCAGAATCTGTGGGTGAAGTGTTAAAAAACAAATATTGAATGCTTTATCTCATGGTGAAGTAAAAGTAGCCTCCCTCTGCCCTCGGTGATCCATGGAGCATTCTGGTTTCCCGAGGCCATGGATCACCTCGGGAGGCTAGTTTTACTACACCACTCGAAGCATTCAATATTTGTATAATACCCCAGAGGGCATCTAATATTATAAATACATACATGTACCTGGAGGTGCACTTTACCATCCTTTGCTAATAAATTTCCCATGATTACCTGCTTGGAGTGGGGAGCAAGGGCAATGCCACATCTACATGGCATACATACATGTATTTATGTAAACATCTGAATCACTCCTCAGGCAGTTTCCAGTTAATATTCCCGGTCAAATTACTCTCTGAATTTTTGAGCTGAAAATTAATCTGGGCTGGAAAAATGGGGAAATATATTGCAACCTGACGCCACTTCAGCAGTTGTGTGCAAAGTCTACAGGTCTACGGAGAGTCAAGAACATTTTCGAAGTATTTCCTTACAAAGTTGGAAATGTGTCTCAGTCCCAGATTCATGTCTTATCATCATTTTTGCAGTGACTGACCTTCATTGAGATGATACATGTGTATAAAAGAAAAGTGGCATCAGGAGGTTGCAACATTTTTTCCGAATAAAATGCCATCTTTGCATACATGTAGCACAAACTAAAGGATATTGGTACAATTAAAGTTGGTAATGTGTTTGATTTCATAAAAATGAAATTATCTACACGGGCTCAAATGTCTTTCAAAAATGCATGCAAATGCACTGTATTAACAAATATATTTGGCTTATCGTTCATACAGGCATGGATGGGCTGCAGGTTTCGAAGACATAGGAAGATCAACCAATCTACAGCACGTGAAAATCATATGTCCCACAGCGTGAGTACAAATTTATATGCTGGAAAAAAAAAGAGAGAGAGCAGCCAAAAATGGAAAAAGGATAAAATGCAGTGAAATCTCGATAAGTCAAAACCGGCTAACTTGAAAACCCTGTTTACTCGAAGTAAGAACTTATTCCCATCAAAAGAATAGCAAATCATGTATAAACATGCCCATTGTAACTCAAAATTTCAGACAGGAAACCTGGGGCCAATTTCATAAAGCTGAAAAGCACAAAATTTGCTTAAGGTTACCAGCCAAAACTCCATGCAATTGTTATGCTAAGTAAACAACAGCTAAATACCAGTCACAAGCAATGTACATGTACATCACATGGAGTTTTGGCCTGTAACCTTATTTTACTAAGCAATGTTTTTTCGTGCTTAAGCAAATTTTCTGCTTTAGCAGCTCTATGAAATTGGGCGCTGCCAGGTGGATTTATGATAAATAAATTTGCGTAATTAGGCCACAGAAGAAACCGGTCACGTGACTGCACATAGGGAAATCCCAGCTGATCGTGGTGCTCACGAATCGTGCGGTCACGACAGACTAGACATTGACAAACGACACAAAATAAAGATTTGCTACACAAAGTAACACAGTTTGAGTGGTTTATTGTAATATCTATCCATAAAGCAGACACTTTTAGGTAAGAAAATAATAAAATCTGAACAAAGTGATGATTTGTAATTGAAAAAATACATCACTAAAACCAATATGAACAGAAGGAGACTGAGCCAAATAACGTGTCAGGCATATTGAGTTACGGTGAAACTTTGAGGACATTATGCATAATTTGTACATGATCTTGGAAAAAGTGGGAATTTTTGCATAACTCGAAACTCCGATATCTCGAAATTTTTTATATATTCCCTTGAAATATGACTTATCGTGATTTCATTGTACACAAATTAAAATAACAAATGCCAATTTTTATGAAGATTTGTTGTTACCAGGGTAGTAATGCAGGACCCTGGATGAAAGAAAAAAAATACATCATAGACTTATCGTATATGTTCAAAATTAGAAATCATTATTGAAGTGGCAATATGCTTGTGTGCAGGTGTTACGCATGCACTCTGTCTCCTTTCCAATTACACTTGTGCCTTGAAATTAATGGCTGAACGACACCTTTGTGATGCCACAAATGTGGCATCACCTTGGTAGTAATGATTGCATGATTGGTCAAAATGAGGGTACATGCGCCAGTGTGACCAACATGTATATTTATCATGTTTATGTATTACATTGTCTTATTTCAGACCTACTATTCCTGTGTCGTTAAACATGGGGATGGCAATGCCGGCTTGGTTTGATATTAGAAGCCTCAGGTTTGACGATAAACAAGATGAAGCCAGAATTTTAGAATCAAGTCAACTTTGTAAGTATATATAAGTCAGCCTTATCCATTTTTGTTTTTGGGGACGTGGATGCTCATTTCCCTTATAATACAGGATGGTTAAAAAAAAAAGGAACGGCATACTTCCTTGAGACTACCTTGAGACTCAAACCACCTGTACCACTTGATTGAGAATCCTTTTAGAAGAATTATGATACCAAAATATCCCGATTCGGTCCAGTAGTTTTTGCTGCAGAGCATGCAGAGCCTATTTTGTGAAGCACACTTCTTTCATGTGAATGTTATTACATAACAATCCCTCTATCAATTACAATGTAAGTCGAATTCCCGGGCGTGGTTTAGTAATTCATCAGGACAAAATGACCCCACCTTGCTTCACAAAATAGGCTCTCGAACAAAAACAACTACTTGACCGAATTGGGGGATCTTGGTTTCATTTTTCTTCTAAAAAGATTCTCCATGCATTGGTATATGGTTTGAATCCCAGGGTAGTAGAAGTATGCCATTCCGGTGTTTTTTTTGGACCACCCTGTACAAAGAAGTACATGTATTTACAGCCATGTTAGTCTGTTAGATGCAGGTGTATAGTGAAGGTATCACTTAATAGACTAATTACAATTTTTGCATGAGCTTTCGTAGCTACAGCTACTTTATCAGATGCAATGAAGATAGACAAAATAAGTCAGAGTTAATATACTGTCTGGAGGAAGCGTTCAAACAAAGGCCAGTGGTTACTAATACATGTAGAGTTAATCCTCATAATATAGTGGAGGTAGTGTTTGTGAGCCGTTTGTTTTTCATTCGTGTTAGAATCATTCATATAATTATTAGTTTATAATTTTATTTGATGTCTCATCATACAGTTATGTACAGGTTGGGACATATTCTTTATCACTATTTTATGTGCGGTTATGGGTCTTGTTTCACACGCACAAAAAGTGATTAAGTCCAGGTTATTAACATACATAGAATATACATTGTAAACTGTACTTTGCAAAGTTTTAAACAGTTCTTTTTCTACCCTTTTAACCCTAACTCTCCACTGTCTTTTATTATGTTTTGACAAAGTCCGCCAAAATCCATCAATCACACTGCTTCCAATGCATGCTTTGATTTAGGCCTCCAGGCCAAAGTCCATCATACTCCATCAATATTTAGTCAAAAACCAAGTCCCCAAAGTCCATCAATCACACTGCTTCCAATGCATGCTTTGTTTTAGGCCTCCAGGCCCAAGTCCATCATACTCCTTCAATGTTTAGTCACACCAGGCCTGCAGGACCAAGTCCCCCAAAATCCACCAAAATGGGGGGATTGATTTTGATGGAGTTGGGGAGGTTAGGGTTAAGGAATCCACTCACTCACTCATTCCTGTGACCTAGGAAGGTTTGGTTGGGGGGGGGGGGGGACCAGAAGGACACAGATGCAAGAAGGGTTCTCCGGCCACTAGGGTCTTCAGCCTTCTTCAACATCGTTGTGACTCCCATCCAACCCTTTGATACTTTGTCTGCCTTTACACCTGCTGCCGGCTAGTTACCTGCATGATTGTCATGATCTGCTTTTCACACGGGATTGAGATTGACAAATAAGTCCAGATAAGTAGGTTTTTTTTTCAACCAATGAAAGGGAACCAATGAACCTTATTCGTGAATTGGTTCTGCTGATGAGGAGCTTTTATGCTCTGGCAGGCACCATTCTACATTCCTAGTGTGGCCGTCCACCATGGTTATTCTCCTTGCATTCACGCGGTACTGGAAGGGCATCAGTTTATTGCGCCCCTTGCGGAAGTCGCGCATTCGCAACCCACCGTAGTGCATCACTTCATTCAGCTTGGGTACGTGATCTGTGGCTGGCACGTGTGTACCCACTCCCCCGGCCATGATTTCAGCACGGAGATAAGCCAGGAACCAGTGAGTGGTGTTGTAGTATTCTCGGTTGTTGTTGAATTCCGTCGCCAATATGGCGCTGAAACCTGTGTCCTGCCGACACATTTTTTGATATTTGAAAGTTTCAGTAGGGGGTAGCTTCTGGACATCTGCATGTGGGGTACAGTTTCCAATCCAGTTCAGTGCCTGATTCACGATTGTCGAGTACATGTTGTCATGGTTCAGTAGTGGCTTAAACACCTTCAGGAGTGTACAGAGACCGACATAGTCTAAGAGATTGGATGTGAAGATTCTGTCATAGTGTGGCAGATTCAGAGTCAGATGGTGATTTGGAAAGTCCAGACAATGAGCAAGAAAGATGTTAACAGTGAGCCGCCCCTGACTAATGAAATTGATGGTTTGCCGTAGGAGCTTGGTTACGTAGTCGTGGTACCTGGCCATCACAGACAAGAGAGGTTGCTCAGTTGACTCATCGACTCGCAGACAGTCCCAAACTATAAAAGGAGTTTGGTCAGTCCTGATGCAGTACGCAAAATCATACTCTTTGGGGGTTTTGTTGAGGACATTGGCTGATGTCCTGCCAGTGAGGGTTGGATTGTCAAAGTCAAGGCCGCTGTTTCCGCGACATTTGTCAGTGGGAAGGAAGAGTCCATGGCCAAACCAGTCTTTCATAAATTTGGCATCTCTCCTGGAGAGTCGGTTGAGAAACTGAGGAATCCCAACAATTGCCCCAATATCGCTGTCAAAGACACGCTTTCTTTGTTGCTGAAGATTGATTGAGTCTTTCGCTTTGCGATTGCACTTCAGCATCAGCCAACCTTCCCAGACTTCCTGCAAATAGCGCAAGTCTGCTTCGCTGACTGTAACAAGTCCGTGAGTCAGAGCAAAGAGTTCCTCTTGGCTCATCTTGACAAGTTCTTGCAATGTGTCCTTAATAAGGTCGTAGTCACTGGCGGAAATAAGAACTGAGTACCAGATGGTGGCCAAAGAGGATGCAATGCCTTCTCTGGTGGAGTACCTGACCATCATAGCAAGGAACATGACATTCCTGGCCATCACAAAAGGGTCAAGGTCATCCAACGTGACCTGGATATTCCCCAGATACTTAGCGGGTAAAGATGCGACAGTCAGCACGGTACTCCTCAAGTCTCCACATCCAATGGACAGCAAGTTGTAATTCTTCTTCAGCTCATCCTCGCCCATATCCCCACTCAACATGCTCAATCCTGACCACTCATTCTCCTCAAGGCGTAGAAAGTCACTCGCAATGGTGTTTCCAATGTAGACCGGTGGTTCAGGGTGCCTAGAGACACTTTCCCCTTGCCTAGAATGAAAACATCTCATTCCCATTGAGGCTTCCTTGATGTAGCTTTCAATCAACTTGCACTGTTGTTTGTGGGTGGGCCAGTTTGCCATCTGGCAAGTTGAATGGCAGTACCATGCGTTGTTACAACCAGCACACTGAAAAAGTGTAAATGGGTGAAATACAATTTTTACCTTTCTTGCTTTTCATATTACCTGTATGGGACTCTCTAAAAGACGGCCATCTCTGTAGAACTACAGAGCAGTTTTGAAAAAAATGTTCCAAACATGCGCGCTTGTTGCTCGAAATATGTTCGAAATACGGCGCAGCCGATGCGCATTATGCAAGTTGATGCTCAAATTCCAATGCACGTGGCTGATCTGTAGGAAATGACATCATTTGAGAGAGATCAGAACAATTACATGTATGTACTTTGGCACAAGTACCCCTTCATTGGTTACAAAGAGAAAGGTGGGAGGCGGTGGCTATCAACAGTCGTCGTTGGGGGCAGCAAACAAAACATATGTAGTAAATCGTGACGTAATAAATAGGACTCCCGATGCAGCGTGGTATAAACGAGTCCTGTTTATTACGTCACGATTTTACTATGTTTTGTTTGCTGCCCCCAACAACGACTTTTACACAAATTGCACGTTCGGGTCGAAACAGGACCTGAAAAACAGCTCTCAAAAGTACCTTTTGTACTCATTTCATGACAGACACAATAGTCGTTTTTATTTCATCACACCTTAGGCTACATATACCCAAAAAATGACGGAAATGTCTTCGAGCATTCCACAACCCAACCTCTTTAACAAGCAAAAGCAATGGTTTGCATAAATTGGCAAAATAACAAACAAGTACCTCTTTCAGTTTGCCCTGCTTTCCGCATTGGCTGCACCGTTTTGGCCCAAAGTTTTGGCACTCCACACTGCCATGCCTGACTCTGTCTTCCTGCAGACAGCCCCTGCTGCAGTACTCAGCCTGCGGACACTGGCTGCACCTCACTAAATCCTCTGGAAGCTGCCTCTCACAGCGCCAGCAGTGTCCTCTTTTAACGTCCATTTGGAAAAACTGTTAAAAAAAATTATATGTTTGGTAACGCAAGTCTAGTTTAACCCATTAAGTCCTGGAAATGTTTGGAGTCATTCTTTGAATGAGAAATACCGGTACATGTACATGTAAATGAGAAATACCATGCATGAGAAATACATGTTAGTGAGAAATACATGTGAATGGGAAATTTACATGCATGAGAAATACATGTTAGTGAGAAATACATGTGAATGGGAAATTTACATGCATGAGAAATACATGTTAATGAGAAATACACGTAAATGAGAAACTTACATGTTAATGAGAAATACATGTTAATGAGAAATACATGTAAATGAGAAATACACGTAAACATGGTAAATGAGAAATTTACTTTAATGAGAAATACATGTAAATTTGAGAAATACATGTAAATGAGAAATGTACATGTTAATGAGAAGTACATGTAAATGAGAAATACATGTAAATGAGAAATTAACATGCAAATAAGAAATACATTGAATGAGAAATACATGTAAATGAGAAATACATGTACATGAGAAATAAAAACATGTAAATGAGAAATACATGTAAATGAGAAATACATGTTAATGAGAAATACATGTATGAGAAATACATGAGAGTACATTTTGTATGCTTTTGAAAATGTTGATACTTGGATGATCCCTTTACACTAGGGTTTTGATTGCGGACCATTTCGTGCATTTCCAACATCAAGTAACAACTCTCGATTCAGATAATTCTAAAATCAGCCAGTGGTGGAAGGATACGAAAGAAGAATATAGTTCTCGATCGTAACCATTTGTGATCGACCCTCCAGCACAAAACAAGTCGGAAGCTGCACGGCCGTATAAATTAACCCTAACTCCCTTGAGTGAATTACTAGGATTCTTCCTCACTCTTTCAAAATCCAACACCATGATGGTACAGTTGGACTCTCATTAACCCTTACTCTCTGAGGGTAGTTTACTGCATGTCAGTTGGTTATGCCAATGCCCTCCAGCTGCAGTTTATTGGAGGATACTTTGATGTAGCAGTGAATGCTCCAATTGGCAGGAGTTGGAGGCCCTGGAGGGTACCTGATACTGACCAGCTGGGGGCACTTGATTGTTATCAGAGGACTCTCATTGTTCTCTGTGGCATGTATTGGAGTGCCTGTCCAGTTACCCTTGAAATGACATGGCAGATATTGGAGGGCCATGCAAAAAACATAGGAGATTTTCTTGAGGCACATATTGGCATGCGTTGGAGGGTCTAGTAGGGTAAGGGTTAAGGATATGTATGTATGCCTGACCCCATGTAAACCATTTACAAGGCAGTATACAATGTACTCACTGCAACAGACAACAAAACATGTAGTTGGATTTTGAAGGGTTGGGGTTGGGTTAGACCCGTGAACGTGGCGTTGTATACAACGCCACGCGTTTCCCTCGGGTAAATACAAGCGACAGCATTCTATCTTCTGATCCGCTACATATAACCATGTTTAATTATGCCCATAGGTGAATCACTTACTTGTTGGGCTTCCTGTGAATTTACGTGAGTGTTGGATCTGTCCTTGCCAAGAAATTTGATGTAAAGGACCGGTACGGCACAACTTTGTCACAACGAATGTTTTCAAAATGATCAGAAAATCAAAGACAGGCATGACACTCTGGCACCCCGAGGTCCGCATGCGCAAAACGGTAGGAGTATCACCAGTGGGTACCCGACTAACCGTCTTACATGGCAGGATGACCGTAATACCATATAAAATTCTGCGAAATCCACATCGAAAGTCTGCCAAATCACCCAGTATATATTGTTGTTCCATTGTGCAAGGGTTAATGCATACAGTACATGTATACATCTACATTGTACATGTACCTGTGTCAAAAATGATCTAACTTTAGATATAAGCATGAGAAGCTACAATAATGAAAACATTTCACTTTCAACATGTTCAATTAAGTTCATTTGTAAATTTTGTATTTTTGTGAGAAGGTACATATACATGTATACATGTAGCTAATCCATAACAAAATGGCTTGAAAATACTCAGAAATTGCACCTAAACAACCAAAACGTGGGAAATGAAAGTATTTGTCAGATTTTATCCTGTATATTTTATACATCATTGGAAAGCTTATTCAGTGTCCTTCCCACGAGCTCAAAATCCCACTTGTCAAAAAAAAGGTCCAAGTGACTGGTTTTGTGCTGGCGCAGAGGGTCGCATTTTAAAATTTAACAAGAATGATGGCATTAACAATCTCTTACCTTCAATGCTTAGCTCCTGAAATCTCCCAAATCTGTGTCACTTTGGCATTGATCCTGTATTAAAACAGAAATTCACATTCTGTTAAAAGGGTGTGGCATATATCCGATTCAATCATAAAAAAATAAGAGATTTTCTAAATCGGTCATTCTATAAATTTGGGGTCAATGTTTTTTCCTGTCCCTGTTACATCTGACATCTGTGATTTTGTAATTCTGGATGCACTTATTAGTGTATTCTTCCTCAAAGAGTGAACCAAGTGAATGAAAAAGATTTCAAAGTCTTTTTTAATTAGGCAACAGGAACAGGAGCAATGCCACCCTTTGGACCCTCCCAAAATGTATAGAATGACTTACATTGTAGTAAATACACAAACAAGTGTACACTGTACATGCACACCCATACCTACTCTACATGTACATGTACATGTTGAATGCACTCTAAGAATGAATAATCCTACAGTGTATACATAACACACTAGCAGCAGTAAAATGTACACGTACCTTCTCTTCGGAATAAAGCAAAGAAATGTGAACTCTGTTGGCTTACTCAGTCACTTGTGGTGACGTGGCAGATCACAAAGTACATCATTTCCTTTTTATATGTTTGTCATGTTCAAAGTCATCGTACATGTATAGTCTTGTTGGACTTGGAACAAGTTTAGTCTTGAACTTGTGTTTCTCATTCTGGGGAAATCCCTTCTGACTCCAGAGTGAGAAATGACGTACAGTCCCAGATTGAATTATATCCGGCAGGTGGATTTTAGTTCAGGAATGCACGTATATCTCATTCTTGGGAAATCCAGATTCTGACTCTTGAATGAGAAATACGTGTAGTCAGCAAATGTATATTCCACCTGCTGGCTATTACACTCTGTGGTCAGACATCAGTGATTTTGTTCACCCAGCAACACTTTTTGACACAGATATTTCTTTTTATGATATAGCAAACTTTTGACGTCAAACACAGGTGGAAAATAAACCTACCACAAGCATGACAAGTGGACCCACATACATGTACATGTACAATGTATTCTACTTGTATTTGCACAGTTCACAAGTTCAAAATCTAGGGAAAAAAACAGTGGAACTTGTTTTGTCACTTTGTGTTTATTGTTTGTTTTATTTCTTGAGTCATATCAGCATTTAGTGGCAGTAATATTTCAATAACAATTTTATTTACATATAGGTTCAGTGGATAGTGACATTTACCTTAATAGATAAGATTTTCACCCATTGGTGTACATGTATACAGAGGGGGGGGGGGGATATGGACTCTGCAACGTTTGCTTTTTTTTTACTAAAAACCTGGATAGTCCATCTTTTCATTTTTTTTTATTTGTTGACTCTGCATGATCACATGGATAAAGATCAGGATTTGAAAACTTCAATAACACAAAGCCTTGTACTGTTTGTCGTTCCCAACACAGTAAACAGTTTAATCGAAGAGGAAGAGAAGAGCGGCATTCCCAGCAATCGCATTGTTATTGGAGGTTTCTCACAAGGGGGCGCTATTGCCTTGTACACGGCCCTTACCACCGAGCGTCAACTCGGCGGCATCCTTGCACTCAGCACGTGGCTGCCTTTACATGAACAATTTCCTGAGGTGAGAAAAGAAAAGCGGCGACTGCTCTATGTTCCGACAACCCCTCTGACACCCCTAGTTCCGACACCCCAATGTTCCGAGGGGACGTCTCTATAGTCTGAAGTACCATTGGTCCGCAGTCTCATTGTTCCAAAGTCCCATTGGTCCGAAGTCCCACTGGTCCGAAGTCCCACTGGTCCGAAGTCCCACTGGTCCGACGTCCCATTGGTCCGAAGTCCCACTGGTCCGACGTCCCATTGGTCCGAAATCCCTCTGGGTCCGACGGCCCATTGCTCTATACGTTCCATTGGTATAAACGTCCCATTGGTCCGACGTCCCATTGATCCGACGTCCCATTGGTCCGAAGTCCCATTGGATATAATGATTATAAGTCATGTCCTACTTCACAGCAAATGAACAAAATACCGCTGATAAAGGAATAGATCGAATATTAAAAATTTACTGTGGTTGTCTTGTTCATGCATATTCATGAAAGTTTTTTATCTGAACAGAGACTTGCTGGTTCAAGCCTGGACTGCCCTGTCTTACAGTGCCATGGTGATGCAGATCCAGTCGTTAATTTTGCCTTTGGCCAGATGACGAGGGAGAAGTTGAAGACGATCTGCAGCAACCACACTTTTCATAAGTACAGCGGCTTGGGACACAGCAGCTGTCCTAAAGTGAGTCCAAACTTTTTAAGAAATATTATTTGAAGATTTTGTTTTGGCCTGTTTTGCAAACTTTAAGGGGGTACCTGTGGACAGGGTCCATACACTTTGTATGTGCATAGTTGTCTTTTCATAAGAATGGATTACGATGATATCAGAAATCAGGCGAACTAGAAGGAGGAAATCAATTAAATATAATTGTTTATACAATGCCTAGATAAATCCCCTTAATCTGATTGGTGGTCTTTTATCACGTGTTATGGAATAGCACCGCAAAAATAGAAGTTCCATTGCATGGTCAATAAAAATTCCATTGCATGGTCACACTATTGGTTGGGCTTTCACCATGATTACACAGCTCTGATGGTTCTGACGCTGTACACTCAGTATACAAATATTGAGTGGCTCCGAGTGAAATGGGAGGAATATTATCGCAAGATAAAATCTGGACTTTCCATTTCATGAGGCGAAGCCGAGTGAACTGGAAAAGTCCAGATTTTACCGAGTGATAATATTCCTCCCATTTCACAATTTAAAGCCACTCAATATTTGTTTTATATAACTGACATATGGATCCTTGTCATTTGATATATTTGACCTTTTATTTCAATACAAAATTGGTGGAAAATGTATTTCTCTCTTCCAAACCACCCCATCACAAAAATGTTTGAACCCAACGCTGTAGCGCTGTTTCTTTGGAACAATATGCGCTACGCGCAACACTGAACGCGCACACCAGCACGCATTTGCACAAAAATACCGCGTCATGGAACAAGAATGATCCTAACTGTTGAATAGTATTTCCCATTCCCCATGGGTGAATGGGACTTTTTAAGCCCCGGCGTGAATGGGAGCAACAACAAATGCCACGTGATGTGAGTTCCACCAATCAAATGACAAGGATCTGTATGTCAGTGATATAATATCACTTCACGAGGTACCAATCAGATGCTGAGGCTTAAATCAGGCATATACATGTAATGATGAGTGTTGCTCAAATAATGAATGTTTGACATTTGTGCAGTGGAAAGAATAATTTCGCTCACTGACAGATGAAATGTTCCATTCCACTTGGCTTCCGTTCCACTTTGCCAAGTGGAATGTACCATTCCATCTGTCACCTCATGAAATTATTCTTACCATTGCACTCATAAACATTCATTACTTGTATGCTATTACATTCTTCTCACTCAGATGTTTTCCTTTTGTGTATATTTTACAGGAAATGGACGATGTTCGGGATTTCCTGGTTAGCGTTCTGCCGAGCCCTTCATCCAAGAATTGACATCTATCCTGAGCCATCTTGTTTAAAAGACTGGCGTTAAGTTGGAAACTGGACCATTCACAGGGCATTAGTTGATTCTGTCCTCTTCTCTTCTCCATGAAGAAACATCTGGTGCGTAATCTGTTTTTCTTAATTTTCACCAATACATGCATAAATGTATATTGAAAATCTGATTCTGTTGACTGCATCCTGGGAGAACTAGGCTAAGTTTTAATTCAATTAATTTACTTCAGTTTAACCAAGAGAATAAGAAAGGGTCGTTCTTTTCACATGGGAATGCAAGTGCGAGCAAAGGTCGTATTCATATTTCAGCAAGCAATTTTGTTGTAATATTATAGGTACATTTATAATTGTGATTGCTTATAGTGGGTTCTATGTGTACTGACTGGCATTCCTTAGCAATGATACAATGGTTTACGGTTTCAAAAGAGGGCAATATGTTGTGTGGAACATGACAATACTATAACGAAGGTAACGAACCTTAGTTGAGAGGCATGGAAGATCTCACAAATTCAGCATCTCCGTACACCGACATTTTCTTTGTTTAATGCATTGTTATTCCGTTGTAGGCAAGGCCTATTCTGTCGTAGTGAAAATGTAAATATCTATCTAAAATAGAGTGTATAGTGTAGGGGTGTGCATTTACAGGTTGTACAGGAACCGGGGACCCGATTGGAAAAAAAACACGGGTACTTAGGCCAAAAAAAAAAGTTTCCGGTTTCTGGTATGCGCGCACGTCGCCGTAGCCATGTGCGTCGGCAAAATGAAAAAGGTTTTTTTTTTCAAATAAAAGATGATGTCTCAAAACCGCAAAACTCACTGGTTTCACTGGAATCCTGCTGCTGCACAGTTTTAACGTGTTTTTAGATGGGGTTATGATCGAGAATAAGCTTTATGTGGCCTCTCTGGACTCCCATATATTTGCACTAAGTTTAGTCGGGCACCATTTGCAGTCATCAGCCGACATATGAAGCAAAAAAAAACAGGTAAAAAAAAAAAAAAGCCGCGTCGCCGCACCACTTTTTGGGCAAGCTCCATACCAGAAACCGGAAACTTTTTTTTTTGGCCTTAAGTACCTGTTAAAGAAACCCAACCCCAGAATTCAAATCTCGGAAGTTGATGTTGAGATTGTTCATAAGGGCCGCAAGCTAATCACATTTATGCATCAGTACAGTGCAAGATACAAGTGTGTACAGTGAGCTTTATACACTGTAGCTTTACAATGTGAACTGCAACTTTCACGAACGTCATAATCGTAAATTTGTTTTGTTTTCCCATGTAGCCTGCTTTTTATTTTGAAAATTCCCCACAAATGACATTCAAAACCTTTCTTTTTGATTGTTTTAGAAGGGTTACTAAATTATTTGTAAAGTTTGTTACGGCTACCTGTTCCCATAATCTGGAACCGGTTCCTGACATCAACGGTTGGGTGCTCGGGTACCCGGCTCCGATGCACAGCCCTAGTATAGTCTATATAACATACATAAGTAGTAGGCACACAAGCAAAAACCACATTTGAAGAAACAGGAGTTACGAGTTACGACAAATAATCCACAAAACACATTTTGCAGATAATGGCTTATTTTGAGGTACTATTTCATCAAACCAGTTTATTTTGCAATATTAAACAGGTTAACTTCAAATTCTCTTGAAATTTAGTTCATTTTGCCCTTTTCATTGTCCTGATAAAGACTTTATAAAATAGGCATAAATTGTAGATTTGATTTTATTGATTTGTTAGTTATAGAATAGGTATGTTTCTAATTTATGCAAATTGGTGTTAATTCCTTTCAATGACTAAGGGCCTCCATTTTTCCCAGTATGAAACAATCATCAAAAGTTGTAATAATTTTTAATAAAATTTTGTTTGTTTAGTTTGTTTGTTTTATCTAGTTAATAGCTGCTGCCATTAATTTTATTTAATTAATGTCCTCTCTTTTCTGATTAGTGGTACATCTTTTTATGAATTGAATTTGAGAACGATTTTATTAAGTAATTCAAATTAAATTATGTGGAATATGTATTACTTGATAAGACATTATTTGTGTATATAACATTTGATACTTGTACTTCTGGTGCCAATTTTGATTTTCATCCTAAAAAATTGTTTTCTATTTTTTGCGATCATGCACTTAATTACAGAGCGAGCTCTTCCCCTCAAGAAAGCCACATATTTTAAAGGTTGAAAAGTTGAACTTAAATGGTAACCACTACGGGGCTAAAGAGATCTAAAGTCTTTCTTTTGGACGAAATCTCTGTAATTGGCAGAATGAATAATACATGTTAATTATTAGACCCATCCATTTAAAGATGTTGAAGATGTTTTTGGAGTTCACAACAAAGACAGTTTGCCTTTGTCCATGGTTCAAGCATGGACATTCTTTGCTGCAAATGTAGGTACATGCATTACCTAAGTAACTCTTTCATTGTACCCCGCCCCCTCCCACTCCCCCCTCCCACTTTTCCCCTCCCCCTTCCCCTCCCCCTTCCCCTCCCCCTTCCCCTCCCAAGAGATAACATTGAGAGGATTGGAGATGAGGACTTCCTTATGCTACTTTTATGTTGAATGCATTCGTCAAATTCGTTTTCAAGGCATAGAAAAAAACATGGTTAAAGGACATGCATTTAACTATTTTTTTTAGCCCGAGGTGCTTACAAAAATCATGACAGAGTGGGTGATGGCACATGAAAATATTGCTGATTTAAGAAGTGTTGATTGACTAAGCGCAATAACTCGAATCAGGTTATTTGTATATTAATTAGTAATAGTTCATGTACAGTATTCTGCTGTTAGAGGAGTCCAACTTTGTGGAGCTGTTAAACACAAAAAAATGTTCTAAGCACAAACAAATATTTGCTTAGCTGAAACGGGTCACCAGCCAAACTAGCTTTGGATTTACATTGTGACTGGTTTGTCTGAGCCAATGTTAGCTTAGAACATAAATTTTGCTTAGCAATATTGTATTTGTAACAGCTCCTCATCCACTTAAGACCATGTACCATTTTCCATCTGATCCCATAGCTTTGCCTCTTCAAGAATCATGCCAGTAAGAGGGAAAGTCATCCAGACTCAACCACAATAAAAATATTTAAAAACCTTTAAGAATCTGGACACTCTTCCTCTAGACTTCAAATTTCAAAATTCTTTATTATTATTTTTTTAAAATTTGAACCTATGGACCAGACAGTACCTAAATCTGTAATGTACTTTTCTGTTATGATTGCGTGCCTTCCCCCATCTTTTCAACATGTTGAAGGCATGGGCGTTGCGGGGGGGGGGGGGGGAATTTGGGGGAAATGTGCTTCTTCCCCCCCCCCCCCCCCCCCCGAACAAATCCTGGCGACACCCATGGTTGAAGGCATAATAATGAAGGGCGGATCATTCTTGATAAATCAGCAATTTCTTTGAGAAAACAAAATTACATCATTAATTTTTGTACTATAAAATGTGATCTGCAGTGAGTTCAAATAAAAAATAAAATGTACAAAGCAATATGGAGAAATGAAAATTGTTTGTGTGTCTAATCATTGTATATCAGTTCTGTGTTTTCAAGTATTTTTTTTAAATGCTGGGGTGAAATTCGGTAGAACCTTGCTGGCCCTGCTACCACTGATCTCTGTCGGGCTGTCTTAGCATAAATCTTATCACTTTATTCAATCTTGAATTCATTTAAATTTCAGTCTTCTGGAGGGGAAAGTGGGTTTTTTTTTTTTTTTCATTCTTCCCACAATCCCACGATTGTTGGCAAATCGATAGTGCAGTGCTGCTATGGAAACTATAAAAACTCACTGAGTGGAAATAGTGGTGAATCACATTAAAAGGACTGAAAGCAAGTCTATCCAAACATCAACACGGTATCATGTTCCCATATCCCTCCTTTTATAGTTAGGCCAACACCACTGCACGCATCTTGAACCGCATGCGCAACGTGGTCACGGTGTACGTTTTCATACGGTTCAATTTTTCTTGTGACACCAACGAAACGTCATCGTAAACAAGTGCATTGTTAAGATTTTCCAACTGCCAATCAAAATGACCGTAGCTCCACTTTCAACCAATAGCAGTCACTCTGCTGCGTGCGTGGCTAACTTATCACCTGGTCTCATCTGAATATCGATCCATGTTACAAGAACATAGTGCCTTCCACAATTGTTTGAATAATGAAGCTGTTTGGTCAACAGAAACAAATTATGTGATTTTTTTTTGCCGAATTACTCTGAAAGGTGTAATTTCAGATGAAAAAAGTGTTGAAAGTACTCCAAATTAGGCACAATGAGGTCGAGAACTTGCGCGGAGGGGCACATTTATAAGAAACAAAGCCTTATCACTACCGTACGCCCGCTTTCTTAATTACGCGCTTGTTTTTCGGAAAATTATTTCAGTCACATATTTCGGAAAGAATGGATGCCATTTGTGTCTTGTCCATTTTAATGACTTCCTTTCGGCGTTGTCCATGGTTGTGGAGAAGGTATATTCCCTCCAACTCGACTGTGACAATGTCAACAATACTTCAGCAGCAAGTCCTGGAATTCTGAGGAGTATTTCTTGGAGAGAAACGAGCCTCAAAATGTGTCCTTAGGAGAGACGGCCTTGCATGCGGGTCACTGTGTTACGACCGGGTTTCAAGACCGCTGGCTGCCCCTTCAAAATAAATTCGACGTTGATTCGCTGCTCTACAAGTTCTACTCCAAGTTCAGGGGTTTTCGTCATGGATACGTCGTGAGTGAAAGTATTTTCAAGTGCTGCACATTTTCCAACCGAAGCTAGCTTTTTAATATATAACAAACGTTGAGTCAAATTCATCAAGCTGTGGAAATAGAAACATTTGTAATAGTACTTTTAGCAAACTTTGTGAAACTGACATAAGCTCTTAAAGTGCTCGGAATTGTTGGCCTCCAAAAACTCAAAGGAAAACCACTTTGCGCTAATTTTATGCAATGAACGTTTCAAGAACTGAACTACTTGCGACGGAATAATAACGTCGAATTTTTGAAGAATCTCCCCCGGGAATTGTCTGTGGAATATGTCGAAGGATTCGAGTGTTGATGGTTTGTGCTTTTTAGAAACAAGACTCGAATGCAAGATTGGGTAAGTCAAAAACAAATTTCCGAGGTAAGTGAAAAAAAATGACAAATATATTGTATGTGCATTAAACAATTTTGTTTGCTTTCCATATTTTTTGCTGTGTAATTACTGAAAACCTTCTCATGCTTCTGCTTCCCATGAATTTATCAGTGCCCATATTTTCAGAAATTACTGGTATTTTTGTCATGACAAAATGACCGATGTTTAGTACCTTAGGTAGGCCTATTCAGTGCCAAGTCACTCCCTTTTTAAGTTGTTACATTGTTGTCAACAAGTCTGAGCTTTGAAAGCCTACTTTTCTCGAGCCAAGTTTCATGTATTGATTTTTCTCCGTGGGGTATTGTCTGATATGTATTGTGTTTGGCTACGAAACACCTGTGAATTCTTTAACAAAAATGTCTTTCAGACACGAACAATGTAGACCTGGCCCCTGGACCGCAGTATGCAAATTGTTTGAACTTTTAACCTCATGCGTGCCATCCCCTCATTAAGGGGCCATGCAGTGTAGTTTTTTTTAATGCAATCTTTGAAAATGTACCTTTGTATCCCATTTAACCCTATTTTCAATTGTTGTTTTGCCATTTTCAAGGTTTTTTTATGCCTTTTGGTTGTTATGCTAATGAAATTTCCATATTCATGAGCAAAACTGTGATGTCATTTCAGGCAGAAATCTCAATTGTTACAGCTACAGC